ACTTGATTGAGTTCCTGTCTATGGGCTGTAATCCTGGCCCTGCCTCAGCCTTTGTGCGCATTCGAGAGGTGAACCACTGAATGGGCGAGCTCTCTTGTTCACTCTGTAATTTTGAGATACCTTAATAGAACTTCAGGAGGTAATTTTTTTTTAAAGATTATTTATTTTTATTGGAAAGGTAGATATACAGAAAGGAAGATCTTCCGTCCGATGATTCACTTCCTAAGTGACTACACTGGCTGGAGCTGAGCCAATCCGGAGCCAGGAGCCTCTTTCAGGTCTCCCATGCAGGTGCAGGTCCCAAGGCCTTGGGTCATCCTTGACTGCTTTCCCAGGCCACAAGCATGGAGCCAGATGGAATGCTGGGCTGCCAGGGTTAGAACTGGCATCCATGTGGGATCTCAGTATTCAAGGCAAGGATTTTAGCCACTAGGCCACCATACCAGGCCCAGGAAGTGATTTTTAAAATCTCTTGTTAGAGCCAGTGCTGCAGTTTTCTTTTGCTAAAAAATCATGTATGGAGCTACTGTGTAACCACTGAGCCTCAGAGATATTGGTGTTAACTTTTAAAAGATCTGTACCAATGTCAGTAATAAACTAGAAGTGATCATTTTTGTGGGTAATTTGTTAAATTATATTTTTTATACTCTTGAAAAATAGTATGTGCAATGAGAATGTATAATGCAGGGTCTTAGTTACTTTGCCTTGTCTGTTTAACTTGATTAGGCTAGTCTGTACTACTCTGGGAAAGTGAAGCGACCAGTGGACTGCTTGGAGCTCTGAGTTGTAACATTCCCTAGAGTGTGACATTGATTGCAAAGATTTGAGTATGGAGTTTCCTGGTCTAGTTTTTTTTTTTTTTTTTTCCTTTCTATTTCCTTGTCAGTCCATCAAGGGTATGCTGGAAGGAAAAAATGGGCTGAGAGAAGGGGCTGGTCGCCTGAGCAAATGTGCTGGTTAGTAGGAAGACAGTGCCCTCTGCTATGGAGTAGGTGTTCATTCTAGTCATGATTTGTAATGGGTGGCACGTAATTCTTACTATTCTTTTGGTGAGTTATTTGAACTACCTCAGCGGCCTTGAGGCATTGTTGTTACCTGTCCTGAGTTATATGTGAGGAAACTGGGACTCTGGTGCCCAGGGACACGGAATTGACACATAATGGCTGTCCAGGTTGATCCCAGTTGATGTTGGTAGTATGCTGTATGACTTCTCTAATTTTTGAGTGAGTGTGTGAATGCTTCAAAAACTGAAATATTGGTAATCACTTGCCACTCCAGTTTTGCTAGAGGAATAGATTGCAAACTAGGAGTCTTTGGTATTTTCAGGATTAATTAATCAACTAAGCAAACAGTTGTGTTTTGTGCCAGGAATTTGAAAGTAACCCAGACCAGGTTCCTGCCCTCCAGAAGTGTATGTTTCATGGGATAATCTGACCGTAAACAGAAGGAAAAGACAAGGTTAGTTAATCTTGTCAGTGTCATTAAGAAAGTTAATAACTGCAGTGGGAGCAACGATGGGGGCTGCCGTGAGCACTTGGGGCAGGTGCTGTGTCACAGCATGCTTAAAGTCACTCTGATTGTATGGTTTTGGATATTAGGCTTCTTTCTGTAGTTCCGCATTTCCTGAGTTAAAGAATATTAGACATGTGATGAATTTATTATGCCGGTCTTTAGAACTGTTTATTCCCTTTAAACTTGTATTATGGGAGCATGTTCTACAGCAGAAATAGGACCAGAGAGACATGCTATTTTAAAAATTCATTTAAAAGCAAGATAAGTGGAGCCAGGCCAGGTGATTTGGGCTGATGGAGTGGGTCTCTGCTGTGTGTGGCAGCATTGGTATTGGTGTGGACAGTGAAAGTCGGAGCCCTTCTGGACTGAAGCACAGCTCCTAGCTTGTATTAATGGCCTTCATAGTGAGAGCTTTCTAAGTGCCGCATGTTTGTTTATGAAGTAGAAAGTCTAAAGGAGTTAAGTGTTGTTTCCAGAGTGACACAACCGAAGGGTTTTAAAGCCATGATTAAACTCAGGTCAGTCTGTCATCATGGTTTATGTAGGTTGGTTTTCACGGTCTGCTTCACACTGAGAACTATATAAGAACTTTCTGCATTGAACTTCACAAAACCTCTTGGCTTCATCCAGTGGAAGGACGTTGAACTCTAGATTTTCTAGTTCCAAATTTCTAGAGAAGCAATTACTGGAGAAAAGAGGGCATTATGAATATGTGTATATAATGTTAATGTATTTTGGTACATCCTTTGAGTAGCTATGTGGAAGAGGTGACCCAGTTGTGTTCCATAGAATTAGTTTAGGGAAGTCATAGGTTAACTTGCGAAATAGTTTTTAGGTTTCCATATCTTTCACTGAATTAGATGTCCATTTTAATCTAATCTAATCTTAGATTTCATGTTTCCCACTCTTACTCTTTTTTTTTTTTTTTAAAGATTTATTTTTATTATTTTTTCATTGGAAAGGCGGATATACAGAGAGGAGAGACAGAGAGGAAGATCTTCCATCCGATGATTCACTCCCCAAGTGAGCTGCAACGGGCCGATACTATGCCGATCCGAAGCCAGGAGCCTCTTCCGGGTCTCCCACGCGGGTGCAGGGTCCCAAAGCTTTGGGCCGTCCTCCACTGCTTTCCCAGGCCACAGGCAGGGAGCTGGAAGGGAAGCGGGGCTGCTGGGATTAGAACCAGTGCCCATATGGGATCCCGGGCGTGCAAGGCGAGGACCTTTAACCACTTGCGCCACCGCGCCGGGCCCTACTCTTACTCTTTTAAAAAACAATATATGCTATAGATTACTGATTGGCTATTTAATTTCCACAATTTGATGTTACAGTTTGATTTTTTTGATCCTTCCTGTGAAAACTTTTCAATAATTTCCACAATCAACGTTGAGTTGTTCTGATGTTGTAGGTTGCATTTTGTGGTCCTTAGGTCCTGAACACTTTTTTTTTTATGAGTTTTGAGTTAATTTTATTTAAAAGTATGATTTCATACTCTTACATGATCCGCTGTGTTTATCTTTAAGTTACAAGTAGTAAGTGCTTGAAATGTGGCTGGTCTAAATTGAGATGTACTATAAATATAAAATAAAACTTGATTCTGGAGATAGATGAACAAAAGAACAAATCTCAGCATTTAACACTAATTATTGAAATATTTCTAAGCAAAAAATTACTAAAATTAGTTTTAGTTTGTTTTGTAATATATATATATATACATTTTAAAGATTTATTTACCTTTATTGAAAAGGCAGACATACAGAGAGAAGGAGAGACAGGAAGATCTTCTGTCCTCTGATTCGCTCCCCAAGTGACAGCAATGGCAGGAGCTGAGCTGAAGCCAGGAACCTCCTGCTGGTCTCCCATGCAGTTCAGGGTCCCAAGACTTTCGGCTGTCCCTTATTACCTCCTGGCAATAAGCAGGGAGCTGGATGGGAAGTTGGGCTGCCAGGATTAGAACCAGCACCCACATGGGATCCTGGCGCGCCCAAGGCTAGAACTCCAGCCACCAGGCCATCACACCAGGCCTTGTTTTGCTATTTTTAATGTGACTACTAAAATTTAAAAATTATGCACATAGTTTGCATTGCCTTTTGTATTATATTTATTTTGGACAGTATTTGTAATCTACAAAGTCAGACAAACTGTGCTGCAGGAATTTACCAAAAATTAGGAAAACTCAGCATATCTCTAGAGGGAAGTTTTTTTTTTTTTTTAAGATATGCTTAATTTTATTGTAAGGTCAGATATATATAAAGGAGGAGAGATAAAAGGGAAAGATCTTCTGTCCATTGATTCAGTCCCCAAGTGGTGGCAATGGTTGGAGGTGTGCCAGTCCAGAGCCAGCAGCCAGGAGCCTCTTGCGGATCTCCCACTGAGTGCAGGGTCCCAAGGCTTTGAGCTGTTCTCCAGTGCTTTCCCAGGCCACAAGCAGGGAGCTGGGTGGGAAGCGGGGCCACCGGGATACAAACTGGCGCTCATATGGGATCCTGGTGCATGCAACGTGAGGACTTCAGCCACTAGGCTACCACTCTGGACCCTGTATAAGGAAAATTTTAAAAACTTCGTGGAATTAATGGAAATCAATTTTTTAAAAGCAAAATAAGCTTGCTTGTAATTCTTTTTTTCTATAGCTCTTTTGAAGTTTCCCTAAAGTTAAAATTAATTTGTTTCCATTGTGCCAAAAGCTAAAATTCACCTATTTGAAATAAACAGTGATTTCAGTGCTTGGACTTGTGCAGCCTGAATTTAAGGAGAATATGCTAGCGAGTAGCTGAAGCAGATACACTGGCCTCCTGTGCACCCTTCGCTCCTCGCTCTCACTGTTGCTGGGGAGGTATGAGTTAGAGCAAACACAAAGTGTTTGAGAATAAATAACTTAATGTGATAATAGTAATGCAGGTAATAATTAACTTGTGAATCAGACATTTCTTTATAAGAATGCATAAACCACATTAATTCTTCAAAATGGAGCAGTTTTGTAGTAGAACTGGACAAGAAGAACTTTTTAGTTAGCTTACTAAATAAGAATTAAAATGGCTAGATTTCAGAGACAAAGTCTGTTAATAAGCCCTATAATAAACTGTATGTGGATGAATAATCGTTATCTGACTATTTCCACATTACTCTGAAGGAGCTGAAGAATTAGTTAATGTCTCAGGAGTGGTCCATAATGAGTTTATAGTTACTGATTTTTTTCAAAACATAAGTTACCGGTGTCATATGCGTCTATAGTCAAAAGCTTCCGCATACTGTGTTGTTTGCACTTTGGTTGGGGTCTCTGTTCTCTCTCCGTGGCTGTTGTTTGACTGGCAGTTGACTGAGAAGTGCTTCTGCTGAGGCAGCAGTTGCTTCCCTGCTGTGTGCTTGACAGCAGCCAGAGAGTGAACTCAGATGCTCCTGAGGTTGACCTGTTGATGGCGATTCTTTTTAGCCTAGGGTTTTACTTTCTTATACATAAAGCTGAATACACTCGTGTGTTAATTTTACAGACCCTTCTGCTGAGGAATTGAGAAATCTAATGATGTTGCATGGAGGTCAATACCATGTATATTATTCCAGATCCAAAACAACGCACATTATTGCCACAAATCTTCCTAATGCAAAAATTAAAGAATTAAAAGGGGAGAAAGTAATCCGACCAGAATGGATTGTGGAAAGGTAAGTTTAATTTTCTATTAAATTTAATTTAGCCAGCACTTTCTAAGGAAATTGGAATACTTTTTATTATAAATACTTACCTAACAGATGGCTTCAGTTAAGAAGGATGAAAAAATAAGTAGCATCTAAATAGCTTAACATTGCCTTTAGCCTCACAACGTTGATTCATGTAGCCAGGGTTTGGCATCCTATGAAAAGTAGTGTGTTAGTATTCTTGTAACTTACACTGTGGGCAGGCGGGGAGATGACTCAGCTAGGCAGTAGGAAGTGATTGTGGGAGTGTCTTGACCAAGTATGTTATTCATTCAGCAAGTTTGCAGTATTGCTAATGGGCTGGGCAGTGTTCTCTGTATCTGATTTGTATTCATAGTAAATTACACAAAGATCCCTCCACTGCCTCTTCACATTGTTGTGAGAGAAAAGGAGCTTAGTATCCAACTAAATGTTGTCACATTTTCTATTATATGTTATGTGTGATTTTTGCCCTTATGTTAATATATCAGAATTACATGGAACTGAGTTGCAGAGTGAGGAAAAAGAACAGTTTTGAATATTATTAGTAATTATTATTTGATTATTTTGTTTTCATTTTTGTTTGGAAATGATTACCATTTATGTTAACTTCCTAAGTCTAAATATGTCATGTAGGTTGTTGGTGATTAAATCAAGGGATGTGTATTTTGAGATATGTAAGTTGTATGAGTGGTTGCTAAATTTATAGGCAATAGAATTCAGAATATTTATAGCTTACTGTATGAGTAGATTATAATCTGTATGAATGGATTGTGTTGGGATACTGATGAAGCCAACAGCAAAATTACTTTTAAAAGTCAGTTGCCTTACTTCTGTTTGTTGCTTTCGCTAATTCTTGACAACTTTAATTAACTTAATCTGCGGCTTTAGTGTTGCTTGCTTGCCTTGTATGGTGTGCATTCAGTGAGAACTTACACTAAACTTTTGCGTGTGTTCAGTGCGAGGCAGCATATTAGTGGAAAGGCTGTAGTTGTTCACGGGAGACATACCTGGGTTCCCATTCAGATGCAGCAACTTCTGTGTGTAACGCGGTGAAGTTAGTAAACTTTATTCAGTCACTTGGTACCTTGTTTCCTCATTTGTTAAAAAAGGGTAATAATATCTGTATACTATACTTATGTGAGAAATGAAGTCATTGAACAAATTACTTAGCATGATGTCTGCCTTGTAGAGATGGAAATCTAAAACACAGCTGCTGAGCTTTCTTTATTTTTAGTCTGTAAGAAAATACATTAGATATTTTTTATTTGAAACAGTTACAGAAGTTCAGACGTTCATTACTGATTTCAGAAAGCAAAATAATATCTCACTAAGCGTTTTTGAAAGCCTGAAGAACAGGGTTGAAGACCTATCCTGAGAGGGTCCCACTGATCCTTCTCTTCTGCAGTGTTGTCATGACATAGTCACTGTGCATAGGCCAGAAAGGATGGAATAATGTGGCTTGCTGTGGTGTCTCCTCCTAAAAGGCTTGTGAAATGTTCAGTGTGAGAGCTTAGCATCAAGGGCCGGCCTCTGGCACAGCAGTTAAAATGCTGCTTGTGGTGCCTGGACTTCATATTGGAGTGCCGGGGGTGTTGAGTCCCACCTCCACTTCTGATTCCAACTGCCTGCTGATGCTTACCCTGGGAAGCAGCAGATCATGGCTCGGGCGCTGGAATGTCTGCCTCCCTGGTGCCCTGAATTGGCTCCATGATAGCCCATTCCTGGCAGTTTGGAGACAGTTGGGGATTGAGTAACATAAGAAGAATATTTGTGTCTGTGTCTCTATGCCTTTCAGATAAGTAAAAACATTTAAAGAAAATGGGATTTAGTCAGCAGTGGAAATATTTGACCACGATATTCGAGCATATAGGTACTCTCATTCTCATGGGAGAACTATGTCAGCGTAAGAGGCTGCGTTGTGGCAAGTGGGTTAAGCCCATGTCTGTCATACTAGCATCCCATAGGGTACCGTTTCAAGTTCTGGCTGCTTCACTTTAAGTCCAGCTCCCTGCTAAAGTACCTGGAAAAGCAGTAGAGGGGATGGCTCAAGTACTTGGACTCCTGCACCCATGTTGGACTCCAGGATGTGAAGCTCCTGGTATCTGATTTCAGCTGATCTAGCCCTGACAATTGGCATGATGAGGGAAGCAAACTAGCAGGTGGAAGATTATCCCCCGCCCCCTCTGTGTGTGTGTGTGTGTGTGTAACTCTGCCTTTAGAATAAATTAAAGAAATTTTGAAAAAAAAAAAAAAAAGCCTTTTAGCATTATTCCACATCTGAGTTGCTGTCATAGGTCATGCCATGGCTAGATTTAGATCTGGAGATAACAGTTTAGCTAAAAAAGGGATGAGGGGGGTGGTCTGTAAACAGGAGGGAGGTGGTGGAGGTGTTCTTCCTAGATAGGACTTAATTTATGTAGAAAATTTTGTTTTGGGCTCAGCATGATGGCTCAGTGGCTAAAATCCTCAATTTGTGTAGGCCAGGATCCCATATGGTCACTGATTCGTGTCCCAGCTGCCTCGCTTTCCATCCAGCTCCCTACTTGTGGCCTAGCCTTGGGACTCTGCAACCCCATAGGAGATTTAAGAAAAATTTATAGTTGAAAAATACACACTAACATTGTTCCAGGATTTCAAAAACAGTTCTCAGTAGTGGAATTGAGAGTCAGTTTCTGGGTTCAAATTAATGAAAAATAAAAAATTAATTTACCACGCCTAGTGCGATAGCCTGGTGGCTGAAATCCTCACCTTGCCTGCACCAGGATCCCATTTGGGCACTGGTTCCTGTCCCAGCGGTTCCACTTCCCACCCAGCTCCCTGCTTGTGGCCTGGGAAAGCAGTAGAGGATGGCCCAGAGCCTTGGGACCTAGCACTTGCATTGGGGACCTGGAAGAAGCTTCAGGCTCCAGCTGTTGCGGCCACTTAGGGAGTGAATCAGAGGATAGAATATGTAAATGTGCTTTTCCAATAAAAACAAAAAATCTTTTTTTTTTTTTTTAAAGATTTATTTATTTGGCTTTGGATCATCCTCGACTGCTTTCTCAGGCCACAAGCAGGGAGCTGGGATGGGAAGTGGAGCTGCCGGGATTAGAACCGGCACCCATATGGGATCCTGTCGCGTTCAAGGCCAGGACTTTAACCACTAGGCCACAGCGCTGGGCCCAAAACAAAGAAATCTAAAAAGAAAAAAGTCTCTAGGTCTCTAGTCATAACTGAAGTTCTCAGCAGCCACGTGTCAGGCAGCTGCTACCATGCTGGACAGAATATACGGACTCTGCCATCCGCAGGCCCTCATCTTAGCCTGCCTTCTGCTAATGTGTTATACCCTGCATTAGAAAGGTACTTTGGCACCTCTATGCTGGTAAGCACCTTAAACTGACATCCAGAGCTCTTTATAACATCTTGATGCCACTGACAAAAACTGTAAATCCTTGGGCATGTTTTCATGGCTTTGCCTTCTCAGTAAGCTGGGGGTGTGCCCAGCACACAGCTAGTGACCTGCTGAAATCTCGGGCAAGTGTGGTAATCCTGGGTACGCTCGCTACCCCAGGGCCTGGCAGAAGTAGCAGGAAGTTCTGTCTTCATGTTCATTCTTTAGGGGAAAAAACCCAAAATCAAAAAAAAACAAAAGCGACTTTAGACCCTCTCATCGTGGCTGCTGTTGCCTGATTAAAAAATCATTTTCGCTGGCAGCACATCCTGGTACAGGCCTGACCTGGGAGAAGTAGAGGAAGAGGTGGCACAGTGGGACATGTGAGCCCACAAGGTGTGCGCTGGGTTTGCTTTGCTGTTCCAGCAGTGTGTTTCTGGTTCTGCTGTGAATAATTGTCCTTCAGAAACTGAACAACCCCCTGCTTGGCTTTAAACTTGTTAAGTTACTACAGTTAATACCATGGTTAATGGTTTCTGAAAATACGTATGTGAGCATCTGAATGCACACATTTTGGCCTAAATTTTAAGAAAACCCAAGTGTTTAATGCATAGCCTGGATGTGTTTGCTTGTTAAAAGTAACACCTTAGGATTCATCTTTGCCCAAGTGATGAATGTAGAAGGGAGCAAGGCCTTTTCCTCTGGGCAGAGATGGTTTTGTAGTATTCCCATAGAGAAACATGAACTAGGCTTTAGCAGGAAGTGGGACTTACTGTTATGCCTAAGACCCAGCGGTTCATATCCAGAAATCCAGGCCCGGGAAAACGGAGGGAATTGCCTATATATAATTAGTTCCCCTGTCTTATATAATATTAGTTTCCTTGTTTTCCGTAGATGGTCACATTTAAGCATTTGCTGTGTACTTGCTGGTTAGGCAATGGTCCCCATTCTTTTTTCTGGTAGAGTCCTTAACTTTTCCTTTGGCCTGGGAGGCCCCTTAAATTTCCCTTTTGAAAGTTCCCTATCAAGGTTTGGTTTGGTATGGCATGGGTCAAGCTTTTTTTGTTTGGTAAAATTTTACTTGAAAGGCTGCATTATGGAGGGTTCGTACGGAAGTGAGAGAGAGAGAAAACGAATCTCCCATCTGCTGGTTTACTCCCCAAATGGTCGCTATTGCTGGAACGGGACCAGTCCTGAGCCAGGAGCTTCTTCTAGGTCTCCAACGTGGTGTTAGGGACACAAGCACTTGAGCCACTCCCCTCTGCTTTTTCAGGCACAGTCACACTGAGCTTGATTAGATCCGGAGCAGCCAGAACCTGAACTGGTGCTCATGAGAAATGCCAGTACCGCAGGCATTACGTTGATCTGCTAGCTCACAGCACACATGTGGAACCACAAAATTCTCATTTTTTAAAACTTTGTATATTGTAATGATTTCTTGAAAATCAAACGGCAGAAAGGCATGCTCAGTTTGTGAAGTGTGTGGGGAGTCGTCCAGCACACGGAGAACTTCAGGTCAGGCCGGGTGAAGTTTGTATTGCTTTCTGCTCATATCCCCGAGGCATCTGTGCTGTAGCATGTATGATCCATTGTTTCAATGAATACTTTTCATATTGCCTCTTGTTCTGTTAAAAAGTTTAAATTGTGCTTAGGAAAGTTCATGTTAGGAATTATCCCTGATTCTTTTAAAAAGTCTTTAAGAATATATTTCAGATAATATTTCTGTCCATATACAGTTATGTAGACACAGAAATGAATGAAATGAAATAATTGGGAGTTAACAGTTAGTATACAGAGGCCCAGCACAGTAGCGTAGCAGTTAGGGTCCTCGCCTTGAACGCACCGGGATCCCTATGGCCACTGGTTCTAATCCTGGCAGCTCCACTTCCCATCCAGCTCCCTGCTTGTGGCCTGGGATGGCAGTCAAGGATGGCCCAAAGCCTTGGGACCCTGTACCCGTGTGGGAGACCTGGAAAGAAATTTCTGCCTCCTGGCTTCAGATTGGCACAGTACCAGCCGTTGTGGTCACTTGGGGAGTGACTCATCGGACGGACGATCTTCCTCTCTGTATATCTGCCTTTCCAATAAAAATAAATAAATCTTAAAAAAAAAAAGCAATTAGTATACAGTGGTTTGGACTTCAAATGGTTAGGATTTCTTATCCTGTATTCATTGAACTATAAATCCTTTCACTAAATATCTGACACTATCTGATTTGGGAAGTGGCGATGTTTAAATTAATTGCTTAATTTAAATAATCTCCTTGGGTGTGCTTCCATAAGTCTAAGAATTGTGCTGTGTCCCGTGGCTCATTAGCTGGACGGGGTCTCACCCTTGTTGTGTCCGTGCTGACCCTAGGGAGCTCCCGTGGGATCTGCGTCCCTGCACATGCTGGTAGGGGAGTAGAAGTGCCATAGTGTGTAATCGGGTATTTCTATCTCTTTACACTTCGGCTTTTCCCAGTGTCAAGTCTGCTCATTATCTCTCCCTCTTTTTTTTTTTTTTTTTTTTAATTATTGGAAAGACTTACAGAGAGAAGCAGACCTAGAAAGATCTTTTATCCACTGGTTCACTCTCCAAGTGGTCACAACAGTCAGGGCTCAGCCAGTCCAAAGCCAGGAGCCAGGAGTCTCTTCCAGGTCTCCCACGTGGGTGCAGGGGACTGAGGGTTTGGCCCATCCTCTGCTGCCTTCCCAAGCTACAAGCAAGGGAGCTGGATGGGAAGTGGAGCAGCTGAGACATGAGCCGGCCCCCATATAGGATCCTGGTGCATGCAAATCGAGGATTTAGCTACTAGGCTATCATGTTAGGCCCTACTGACTATTTCTTACCTAAAATTGTGCTTAAGACGATGGAAGTTAATGTTAACGATTCTACCTGATATTCAGAGTCTGTACATTTTGGGAGTTGAGAAGTTGGAATGCTGTGGGGAGCAAGCCAGTTAATGCTATAAGAAAACATGCATACCTGGTCAGTTGAGACTGCTTGTTAAAGGAAGAAGAGTGACTGATTAAAGAACAAAGTGAAATGATAAACATCCTAATTTTAGGATTTGGATCCAATATTTCAACAAACTGTAATTCTGATAAAAATTTTTAGGTGATAATAAATCTGTTTGGGTAAAGTGTTTTATATTTTTATAATTTAGTAGTTTTTACTTACAGCTTAAACTGTTTATAGGATTCACTTATGTTTATTGTGAAGGCAGCTTTATAGAGAGAAGGAGAGAGTGAAAGATAACGATCTGCCATTGATGCTTCGCTCCCGCATGGCTGCAGTAGCCGGAGCTGAGCGGGAGCCAGGGTCAGTTGGTTTTCTGGAATCCAGTTTTTCATTAGATTTTGTTTGTTTGTTTGTTTGCTTTTCCCTAATGTTTCTGTTGACCACTAATTTTAAAAAATTATCGATCTTTATGTCTTCTTGTGGGTGAAATACCTTGTCCTGCAGTATTTAGTTAAGATAATTTTATACTGAGGCAACTAAAATTGAAAGAGGGCTGCAGTAGCCGGAGCTGAGCGGGAGCCAGGGTCAGTTGGTTTTCTGGAATCCAGTTTTTCATTAGATTTTGTTTGTTTGTTTGTTTGCTTTTCCCTAATGTTTCTGTTGACCACTAATTTTAAAAAATTATCGATCTTTATGTCTTCTTGTGGGTGAAATACCTTGTCCTGCAGTATTTAGTTAAGATAATTTTATACTGAGGCAACTAAAATTGAAAGAGGGCTGCAGTAGCCGGAGCTGAGCGGGAGCCAGGGTCAGTTGGTTTTCTGGAATCCAGTTTTTCATTAGATTTTGTTTGTTTGTTTGTTTGCTTTTCCCTAATGTTTCTGTTGACCACTAATTTTAAAAAATTATCGATCTTTATGTCTTCTTGTGGGTGAAATACCTTGTCCTGCAGTATTTAGTTAAGATAATTTTATACTGAGGCAACTAAAATTGAAAGAGAAGGAATAAATTAGGAAGACAGGTTATGTTGCTGATGACATTCTATCTTTAAGAACATTGATTTTTTTTTTTTTAATGAAGCACTCAAGTATGGAGCTCTAACATGGTTTTGCTTTTGTTTCAGCATTAAAGCTGGACGCCTGCTGTCCTGCATTCCGTACCAGCTATACAGCAGGCAGTCCTCTGTGCAGAAAAGTCTCAACTTCAATGCTGTGTGCAAACCCGAGGAGCCTCTGCCAGGTCCAAGTAATACAGCCAAGCAACTCAACAACAGGGTGTAAGTTTCCCTAGCCTGGAAATACTCCTTACTTGGTTGTTACTGAAGAGGAGGTACACACACACACACACACACACACACACACACCCCAAATACATCTTTTATGATGAAAGTTCCATAAAATGTAAAGAAGTGTTTCTGTTTATGCTACATTTTGCTTGAAATTAAATTGTTAGTATATTTTTCTCAGTTTCCTGAGTATTATTTCCTTTTAAGAGTAATTTGATACGGAGTGTTACTTCCATAGGATATTGAGCTGACTGTCCGAACTGCTTTTTTGTTATATGCCATGTGTGAAAAGATAGTAGTATGTAGCCATTTCTAGGTTATTTTTGAAATATACAGTTTCTAAACAGTCCTCAGGAAATTAGTTTCCTAAGTAATTAGTGTGTTGCCTTAGCTTGCGTTCAGGTGTTCATTACCACCAGTCCCGTAGTTATTAAATTGCTTTCCTTGGGAGTTGGACATTTTTTTTTTCCTGAAAGATCAGAAGTCATAATTAACCTGGGAGTATCGAGTGTCACTGTTTTCTGCCTTTTTGTGGTTGTCACTAAATGCTTCGCTTGTATTCACTTATAAGCATATTGGAATGTTTTTCTCATTACCTCAAAATTTTACTTTTTAAAATCATGGCATCGTTTATAAGTTGATAGCAGAAAGCCTTTCTGTAGAATATGTAGCTTCATCCTTTTTCTTACCCACACTAAGTGAAATAGAAATTAAGTATCTTTTCCAAAAAAAAAAAAAATTTAAGACTTACTTATTTTTATTTGAGAAGTGGAGTTACAAAGGAGGAAACTCAGTGAAAGCTCTTCCTGGTTCACTCCCCAAATGGCTGTAGTGGCTGGAGTGGAACTGAGCCAGTCTGGAACCAGGAGCCAGGAACTTCTTCCACATCTCCCACATGGGTGCGGGGGCCCCAGGACTTAATATCCTCTGCTGCTTGGGTGGATTGGAAGTGGAGCAGCTGGGACACAAACTGATACTTGTGTGGGATTGCAGCACTTGCAGGGGGAGGATTAGCCAGTTGAGCCGTGTGCTGGCCCTTCCTTGTGACAGTTTTAGGAAAAAATTGCCTGTTTGCCTTAACTTCTTGGTATGTTTATGCTGTTGTCTAATGACTTAAACTGTCGGTGGTGTTTTTAGTAGAGCTTTGCAGGTGCCTCCCCAAGCCTAGAAACTAGTACACAGAAATGTGTATTAACATTAATTTCTTGAATATGTACATTTCCCTTGCATTTGTTACTGTCAAGATTCTTTAGATATGTTTTTGACACAAAAATTAGATATGATTTGCTTTACATCACTCTTAGTGCTTCCCCTGATTTTTTTTTTTTTTTGTTCTGTTGAATACACAGTATAAATCTCTGAGCTGCTATGATGTGACTTTTTGCTTTCTTGTTTTCTCTGTCTGAAGAGCCAGGCTTTCTCTGACATGTAAAAGGTTAGATTTTCTTTCCTTCCTCTGTTAATCCTTTGCAGTTTTCTTTTGTGTTTTCCATTCTCTGACAAGAGCGTCTGTGTGGATGGACTCAGAGTTGGCTGTGGGATTCTGTGAGATGGCTGGTGGAGCCCACGCCTGTCCCTAGTGGGTGGTCATGTGTTACGTCTCACCTCTGTCATAAACCAAGTTGATACTAAAATGAAAGCCTAAGGACACAACCTGGCAGTGTGGCAGGTCTCTGGCCTGTGCCCTGGCACTGTGTGTGTGTGGCAGCCCTCTTCTAGGTCGTGACTGTAAGTGTGCTAATGCTGTGGACATTTCTCAGTGGAGTTTTACTGCATAATGCATGAGTTGTTGCTTATGTGAATGCTGTAATACTAATTGGTTTTGTCATTATTACCCAGCAATACGTGAAACATGTAGAGGATCCGGATGTGACCTTAGCAAAAGATTTAATGTTTATGAACCTGTCACTAGAAAACTTGGTCCAGATCGCCTTATATTATCTATCCTAAAGTTTAAATTTAATGTTTCTTGGGAGTGAAATGCCATTTTTCCTGTCAATAGGACAAATACCTCATTTTTCTAGGTATGAATTTTACTGATGTACTACACATGAACTGGTCCTAAAGTATCCACTTTTGCAACCACCCTGTTGATGGAGTAATAGGTAATTTTTCCCTAGCTGAAATTAAGTGGTCTAGATATTTTAATCCCTTTGTAGTGTTGTTTGGTTTAAGATGTTTAGCACTACTTTACATAAATACTAAATAAAAATAGAAATAGCCATTCAAATAGTTTTTGACCACTTTTGTGAGAGTTACTCACATTGGGTTAATTTAGCGAGTAGTTACTTGGTAAAAGCCAAACAGTGTGTTTTGGAAAATAGGTGTTTAGAGCTTATAAATCCAATGAATTTTTTTGGTGATAAAAGTAATTAAAGTTAGTGTGTGTTGTTTTTTTTTCTTTTAAGTGACTCAGATTTCATTCTATTCTTTGGGACTCTATAAAGTGGGGAAAAGAAATACTAAAACACAAGATGGTTAACATTCTAGAATTTTTCTGGTACTGTGGCTTAGTTTTGTCATATAACAGAAAGAAGGTAAAATTTTTGTTTAGGTCTTAGAGTATTTTTCCCCTCTTTATTTAGACAAACAGTGAAGAATTAGCTTTTGTTTAGTGATTTAGTGAAGAATTGTCCTGTCAGAACTGAAAGAACATAAAAATTTCCTGTAATTTTCAGAGTGTGCTTCCTCCCCTTCTAATTTTACCTGAGATGGAGCTCTTGTCTTGGTAATTACACCTGCTGGGCTGGGCAGGCTCAAGGTGGGAGCCCCGAACCAGGTTACTCTGGTGTGCAGCGATCCCGACAGGTAGCTGAACTGCTGAGCCAGAGCTGTACCAGTGCTCTGTAACTTCTCTGTCTTTAAAGAGGTCACTGCCAAAGTGTGTATAAAGAGCTCTTTTGAGCTGAAAGTCAGACATTACTAATCTGAGTTTTTTCCTGCTTTAGAAATCATAGAATAAAGAAGATTGAGACAGAAAACGAAGTAAAAGTCAATGGACTGAACTGTTGGAATGAAGAAGATGCAAGTAGTGATTTTAGCTTCGTGGACCTGGAGCAGACCTTTCCGGGAGGGAATCCTAACGGAATTCCACATCGTGGAGGCAGCAGTGCCATTTTTAATGGACACACTCCTAGCTCTAATGGTGCCTTAAAGACGCAGGATTGCTTAGTGCCCCAAGGCAACAGTGTGGCCAGCAGGCTTGCTCCAGACTCTGCCCAGGAGGACGCCACTGAGAACAGCAGCGCTGCTTTCAGAGACTGCACAGCGCAGCAGCTACAGCAAAGCACCAGAAGCGCAGAGGCCTTGCGGATTCCTCACAGAACTAATGCTTGCTCTTCATCTTTGCACAATAACATTAAAATCAATGGTGCTCACCACTCCACTGTTCAGGGGCCTTCAAGCACAAAAAGCACTTCTTCAGTACCTACTGTTAGCAAGGCAGCACCTTCAGTGCCGCCAAAACCTTCAGACTGCAATTTTATTTCAGACTTTTATTCCCATTCAAGACTACATCACATAGCAACATGGAAGTGTGAATTTACTGAGTTTGTCAACATGCTACAGAGACAAAGTAGTGGTATCTTTCCAGGAAGGGAAAAATTAAAAAAAATGAAAGCAGGCAGGTCTGCCCTTGTTGTAACTGACACAGGTAGATACTTACTGAAATTGTTTTCTTAAGAAACGGTCATGTTTGATCATTTTGCTCTTGCACCAACATTGGTATTCTCATGAATACTAAGATCTCACATTAAAGCCTCTGGGATTGGGCTGTCATGTTATCTGACTTACAGTAAATACTTTGGGTTGTGGAAAGCGTCCTTACTTACTAATTTTTTTTTTTTTTTTACTTTAGATTTGATTGTGGCTTACTGAAGGTTTTGTGGTAATTTTGAATAGCAGCACAATTGGCATTCTGATCATTGTGTTGCCCATGTACGCCTTACCAGTTGGTGAAGTTTTGAGCTGTACAAGTCTGACATGTTTTAATTCAGTTTCAGTCGTTAAACTCCTGTAAGAATGAAATTGGCTTGGTGAAGACCAGTGATTTTAAAAAGAAAAAGTAAATACCTTTGGCATGCAGCTACTGTGATCACAGTACAAAACTTTTAGAGAAATTGATTGATTGCATTTTGTTTTGTTGTGCTTTTCTCATCAGAACAAAACAAATCCAGCAATAAGTAGTTGTAAATTAGTATCTGGTTGAGGATTGCTTTTTTCCCCTGATTATAGGATTTTTGTTTCTTAGAGGAACAAATCCCATAGGTTATTTAGTATTACTCTGTAACTTACAGTATTGGAAACTGAGGTAAAGAGAAAAGCAAATGGTTCTGTCCTAGGAAGTAATAGAAATCTTGTATGAATTTTTTGTTACCTTTTGTTATGTTTGATGTCTTATTTTGTATCTTGACCTTGAAAGTTGGAGGTCATTTAATTTTGAAAGCTTCAAGGAACTATTAGAAGTTAGTTCCACGAATGAGAATAAAATGCGAGATTGTGATAGTGCTTGAAAGCATGCGGCAGATGCTTGGTTTACGCATTCTGAACTATGTGAAGGTATGACCTCACTGTTTTGGATTGTTGATGTGCTGCTTCAGCACGGCAGAATTGTGATTGTTGAGATGTATCCATCGTTTCTGAAGGGAGTATCGAGGGTGGCGAGGAAGTTCATGCCGCAAATGGACTAGCTTAGCCTGCATTCAAACCTCAGCTCTGCTGCTCTGTGTGGCAGGACCATGTGCAGGGTAGCTCAGCTCTCTGAGCCTCAGTTTCCTCTCTGCCTAAGCGTGGCCAATGCCCTTCATCTCAGGAGGGTGTGAGCTCACGAAGAATAACAGGAGCAGAGGTTCAGTGCCTTGCACATAGTGAGAACTAGGTAATTGCTGTCACATTCAGTTTGGTAAATCAAGTGATCCAGAAACTTTCAGGGGGTTGATCTTCAGGTTTTTTGGAACCTGTTCTGACAAGATTACCCCTCAGTTACTAAAGTGTTCTGAAACTATCAGAGGATAATCCCTTTATGAGATTGAGACTTTTACAAGCCCAGTGTCCTTAATTCCAGGATTTATGTGTCTTGAGACTGATAATAGAGGAGAACTCTGTGTATGGCTGGCTTAAGGTAAAAATGGTCCTTATGAATCTTTGTAGTTCAGTGTTATTAGAACCTGTTATCTTCAGAAAGACACCTTGATCCCCTCAAAAATATGTCAGAGCTGAGTTTTAGTGGAGTAAAATTTCCATTGGTGTTCTTACAGGGATTTTTTTTTTTTTATTGCAAAGTCAGATATACAGGGAGGAGGAGATACAGAGAGGAAGATTTTCCATCTGTTGATTCACTTCCCAAGCCGCTGCAGCAGCCCAAGCTGAGCTGATTCAAAGCCAGAAACCCAAAGCCTCTTCCAGATCTCCCACACAAGTGCAGGATCCCAAGGCCTTGGGCCATTCTGAACTGGTTTCCCGGGCCACAAGCAGGGAACTGAATGAGAAGCAGGCAGGGCCACCAGATTAGAACTGGCATCAATATGGAATCCTGGCGCGTTCAAGGCAAAGACTTTAGCCACTAGACTACCACGCCAGGCCCTTATTGATTTTCTTTTACAAAGAGGAAGAGGGCTCTTCATTCTTCTAGGTCACTTCTCATAAGACCCAACAGTAGTGAGGATTATGCCAGGCCAGAGCCAGGAGCCAGGAGCTTCATCCAGGTCTCCCACATAGGTACAGGGGCCCAAGCACATGGGCCGTCTTCTAAGCTGGATCAAAAGTAGAGAATTGAAACTTGCAACTGGTGCCTCTATGGGATGCCAGCATTGCAAGTGGTGGCTTAACTGGATATACTCCGAAGCCAGCTCCCATATTCTATATTCCTGAGGTGTTTTTACTCAGACCAGCATCATGGTAGTTAGCTCAAAAATCATATGAACATGAGTCTTAGCTTAAGCTGTGTTACTCTTGGTTACTAATCTAGAAAATGGGGGGTAGGGGGCAGAAATGACCTACCTCACAGTTTTGTAAGGAAATTGGGTAAGTTAATACATGTAAATATGACACCTACCAAACACTGGATCCCAGTACCCATTGTTACAGTTAGTATTTTGTCAAATAATGCTTTGTAGGTTGTCTAGTATTGCTCATGAAAAGGTACTTACTTATCTGCTTGTCACTGAAGACAGAAAAACAACTTTATGCATTTTTGTGTAAGATAATCAGCTTATATAATTTTTGAGGCAGAATGTTTTAGCTAGAAACTTAATTATTAGAATGTATACCCAGAAATCATGGTATCCTCAGAATTGATTTGAAATTATGTTTGGAAACACATTAGCTTTCTCTTTAGAGTAGATGTAACTATAATAGATTCTGTGTTTTTCAAAGGCTCCATTCTGCTTATAAACATCTTTTATATGCAGTCCTAAGATGAACTAGACCTGATACTTTTATAAATAAAAAAGGAAGGTTGGGGTTTGAATACTTTCTTTTTCCTTTTAGGAAATATGTCAGTATTGAGTTCACCCCGACACCAGAGCTGTATAATGCATGTTGATATGGATTGCTTCTTTGTGTCAGTCGGTATACGAAATAGACCAGATCTCAAAGGTCTGTATCCTCATTTATGTTTTAAGAAAATTGATATGTGTTAACAAATTATATATTCTAAGAAATAGCGTAATTTCTTAAAATGAATTTCTTTCTGATGTTCCTTGGTAAGTTCAGTTCCTGCTCCAGTTTCCTGGTCCCTGCTGTTTGTAACTATGCAGGTGGATAGGGAACTTGCCAGCTCACTGCAGAGACACCTCTCAGTGAAGATCTCACCCTTTACCTTGGCAGCTAAGAGGAACAGAGGCAGGGACCTACCCTGGGTGTTTCTGTATTTTAGTTATACTTAGTGCTCCTTTATCAGTGAGTGGAAATTTTATGGTGGCTAAAATGTGTGAGGCTTGCTGCATCCCCCACTCTGAGCAATAATGCCAGCATGCTAGGGCAGTCAGCACATACCCACCTTTGGCTTTTATAATCACTTTCTGTTACTGAGTTTTTCTAGAATGTCAGATTTTCTATGCACTTTTTGCTTTAGTGAAATCTTAGGTAACACAGATTTGTTTGTGAATTCATCAGTAGTTTTTAAAGCTCCCTCCATCTGGAAGAAGGAAGTTGTTATTGCCTTAAAAATGAAAGGTTGCTAATTATGGCACTGAGGCTACTGAGTTTATCCTAGGGCTTTATTTTTGTCATGCGTATTTGCTGCTGTAGCTCAGGAGCTTTCAGCATGTGTGCATTGTCAGTGATCTTTTCCTTGGTCCTTACAGCAGTTGGTAGCAATAAATATATACACATGAATCCTCTATGTTACTGCTTCATAGTTATCGTGTCATTTAACACAAGAGGAAGTGAAAGTAATTTTGTAACAAAAACAAAAACCAAGCGGCTATGTGTTTGATTCTTTTTTGTTTTTTTTACTGTGAAGCTGAAAGATAAATGTAGAGGTTAACCTGTTTTGATTCCAGAAATATATCAAGTGTATAGCTGTGTGTGCACATGTGTGTGTAGTATATAGACGTGTGTGTGTGTGTGTGTGTTGCTTTTCTTCCTCTCCTTACTTCTCTAATCTGAATCTGCAATGTGATTTGGCTATTTTGTAATGTAAGAAATCAAACAAAAGCCTTAGAAAACTAAGTGACACTGCTGCTTTAGCTTAAATAAATATGTCAGAATCAAAAAAAGTTTTTTGATCTTTGGAGAGTATTGGAAAACATGAATGATGTTTGCATGTTAGTTGGTAATGTTTAAAAGTAGTAGCTTCTTTAGGGCTAAACACCTAAATGAAATTAAAGCAAAAAAAAAAAAAAAGGCCTGTTAAAAATTCCTTCATAAATGTCCCTTTTCATGTTGCTAACACTTGTATTCTTAGGTATTAAGTCCTGTCTTCTCCTCACAGGAAAGCCAGTGGCCGTGACAAGCAACAGAGGCACAGGCAGGGCACCGCTGCGCCCTGGTGCTAACCCCCAGCTGGAGTGGCAGTATTACCAGAACAGGCTGCTGACAGGCAAAGCAGGTATGTGTGAACTCACTCTGAGATTGGAGTCCTCCTCGGGTGAATTCTGGGGTTTTTTTTTTCTTTTTTTTTTTAAGATGTAGTCCCTTTTTATTTCAAAGGCAGTGCTACAGAAAGGGGAGACAGGAGAGAAAGGTCTTCCATGCATGGGTTCACTCCCTAAAGGGCCACATGGTCAGAGCCATTTTTTCAAAGCCAGTAGCTTCTTCTGAATCTCCCATACAGGTACATTGGCCCACGTGCTTGAACCATCCTCCACTGTTTTTTCAGGCCAGAAGCTGGGAGCTGGGTCCAAAGTGCAGCAGCCAAGACTCCAACCTGTGCCCGTATTGGGATGCCAGCACAACAGGCTGAGTCTCAGCTGTGGCAAAGCACTGGGCCCTGTCAATGATGGCTTAGAGCAAGATCTCAGCCTATCACAAATGACTTGTTGTATACTTATTCTCTATTGAATTGTATGATGATATTTTTCTGGAACAGTGAAGAATATTGTAAACAGTGCAGTTTAATTTACCTTCTATAGATCTAGGTGGGGTATGAGAACCATGGACATCATTTTGTAGAAGCTTGTATGTTGAGAGTTAATTGCTAGTTGTTTAGTGACAGTATCACAATAATGACACTAAAATATGTGTTCCTCAAGAATTATGAAATCATTTTCCATGTCCTTTGTAGAGTCTGTTTCACATGAATACATTTTCCTTCTCCTCTTGGAGTTTAAATTTTGAAAGATGGTCCAGGTGGTTGGGTTCTTGGCAGGTGCAGTGCCCAGCTCCTGGCTTCAGGCTGGCCCAGCACTGGCCATCGAAGCCATGGGGGAGTGAACCAGTTGACAGAAAATTCTCCCTTCCCCCTCTCCTCTGTTGCTTTCCCCTTCTGTAATTCTGCCTTTCAAATAAAAATAAAAAATTTAAAAGAGATAAAGTAAATCATGAATTCTCTTAATTGTAAATCATAAGATTTGCATGTGTCTGCTATTTTTTTCTGAGGAATATTTGATGAGAAGTTATTTGATACTGATTTCCACATGATGACTTGTAGGCTAAAAATTTTTTTAAGTTAGTCTTTCAGGAAAATATTAACTAGAAAAATGTCATATACAGTGGATATGCAGATGTTAGATATACAATGGAATGGGAAGCATTTCATTTTGTTTTATCCCAATTTCAGTTTTGTTATTGCTTATAGAATATTGGGCTTATTTTAGAAATTATTCCAGTGAAATTACAGCAAAAGGAAAAGCAGGTGGATGTTTCCTAGAATTTGGGGGAGTTTGGAATCTTTTTGTTGGTTGTGATAATCTTGTTTACGTGGTGTAGTGTAGAAAAAAAATAATTGCAAGTACATGTTGTATTCATACATTGTACTGACTTTTAAAGCTTTTGTTTTTGAAAACCTTGTAAAGGATTTTGAGATTTTAGGATCCTGTGTGGCATGAGTATTGGGATAGCTGCCTGGTGATTCACTTGTATTTGTGTATTTTGATGTGCGCACACGGGGCATTTAGAAAGTCCTCACCGGATGTGTGTGGGGCCCAGGGCTGCAGTCTGAGTAGGGGCGTGCAGGCTGCTGTGTCCAGTAGCTCCCTCGGAGTGCGGGGGCTAGGCCTTGCTTGTCTTCCCTCACAGTCTGACCACAGGTTGCTTATTAATGGAATATAGGCATTGGTATTTAATTTTCCTCATCAGCTTAGCTATCATGCTTTCATAACATTCTAATGATATTTTATAATTTCACAACCCTCTTGACCTTGAAATGTGAATGGCAAAGCAGAAGACAGATTTTAGGAGAAGTAGTGAAATTCCACCACTACACATTGTCAGAATTTTTCCCTTTTGCTAGAAAAGCTGAAATAGGAGATGCAACAGTTTTGCTTGAACTTGTCATTTACTTTTACATCCTAAGCCTTTTAACCCATTAGGAACTTAGCAAGATATTTGCTACATTTAAAGGGAGTGCATTGACCTTTGCATAATGTTTGTTTGCAACTAAGCTTGTGCTCAGAACTTGTGTTTTTAAAGCTTTTGCTGCCTTTCCTTGCTCTTTCCCCATCTTCCTTTCTGTCGTCGTTAGGCCCTGTCCCAGATGTGAAAACACTGACAATAATGCTAGGAGTTAGATCTTTGAGTTCTGTGAAACAGCTTTAAGGAAAAAATCAGTTAAAACTGACTTACCCAGGACAGATATCATTGTTAGTTCTTCTCAGAAATTGGCTTCTTGGTCATCATATAGAAATTCTTGGGTTAGACTAGGTTAAGGAGGAAATCTCATCCATTCCTGACTTCTTCGGAAGCTCCTTCCCGGATAGTACTTCGCAGTGACGCTTCTCGTTGAAGATCTTACCTTGGAACCGTTTATGCCCCAGATCTCATGGCTGAGGCTTCCCCTTCCTGAAATCCCGGAGCACAGGGTTCTCTATCTCTTCAACAGCCCCCGTTTTTGTTCTGAAGAACAGCAGTTTTAAAAATCGTGTTAGTCATAGATTTATTCTCAGCGATTTCTTTTTCACAGACTGGGTCCTGGCTTCTGATTTCAACCGTTTCTCCACATTCTCCATGTGCCCGTCTAGTTTGTCAAGTTCTGATGAACAGTTCTCTGCTTTGCCCTCCAGTAAGGACAATGTGTCCCTGCATTTCCCTGAATCTCACAGGAAACAACTCACTCGGCTGGTGGAGGGACCCACGCACTCTGCGGCCCTGTGGAACAGGTCAGCCAGCCCAGGGAAGGAGCACCACGGTGCCTCACAGGCAGGGCGTTGGGGGCGCACGGACCACAGGCTGCTGTTCTTGCCTGCCTCGGCATGAGCTTTCTGTAATTCCCAAGACAGAGTTATCTTAGGTCGATTAGCCCTTCAACTATACAACTCTCAAGGCATGAATCTCAGCTATACTTTGAATGGTGGCAGGTTGTAACTGTTCAAACTTCTTTGTGTTTTTGTTTTTAGCCTAATAGCACCCTCTGTTGTTCTTAGAGATTTTCAGCTTAGAATAATTATAATTCACTTTTAGTCTATAGCGAGCCTTCAGAAGCATCAGGGTGGTACCCTCTTCATTCTGTCTTTAGTTTGTACTGGTATAGTTTTTCTGTTACATCTTATCAGAAAGCATAGGTTAGGTTTTCTACTTTTGTTGTTGTTGTTACCAGTCAGATTTGAGTTCACCTAGATGTCAGTCCTCAGAATTTGCATTTATGCTGTGTATGTCTGGGTGCTGAGCTGCAGCAGTGCTGGTATGGGTACGGTCGCACCTGCGCTCCATCTTAACCGCAAGGCCGAGAAGCAGTAGGGTAGCACCATCAAGTTGGAAATGTTGATGATTTGGTCAAACCACAGTGAGTTACCTTAGCACATGAGGACAGATCTGTTCCCTGGTTTTTGAGGTGGATGTTCATCTAACTGACTTTTCACAGAAAACTAAGTCTGAAATGAAGAGAGGAGCAATGCTGTACTTGTTAGCTGTGTGTTGAGAGTCCTCGGAATAGGCGTGTTTAGTGTTAACTGGAATGGTGGAATGGTAGAGAGGTAAAATAGCATTAGCCTAAAAATTGATAGTAAAAGCTGTGCTTTAATCTATTTCTCAGTTACTGGTGAGGCTGAAATTAGCGCCGGAAGTTGAGTGGCATGCAGGCAGTAGGCCGTCGGGACTGTGTGCTCTGATACTGTAGCGTAGAGTTGTATGGAGAGATGCTGAGAACTGTGCTGCTTAGAGTTGTGTTCTGCGAAGCAGTTGCCATTCTGATGATCCTGAGTGTGAACATGCATTGTTAAAAGGAGACGTGGAGGGAGCAGTGACCTCATGTGCTTTCTAAGGAAAGCCTCAAACACAGAATGAATCCTCTTCATAGTTTTGTGACAAAGATGATATTATTTGATTAAATGCTTTGGTAGAAATGTCATGTGTGTTGAACATGTTAAGTAGCTTTAATTGTTCTTTTTGGATTGTTCTTTTAGGACAGCCAAGAGTGATCTGAGAAGTTCATGTTTTTCTATTAGTTCTTTCCAACTGCAGAGCACTGTATGATCCCTTTAGCACTGTTGGAGGAGATTGCTTTGCCCGGATCAGTTTTCATCCTATCCACTTCAGGGGACAATATATTTTATATTTAATTTTCATATATGTTTTTAAAGATCTGTTAATAAAATATTCTGATAAGTTGATTGATTGCTGATGGAGAATATAATGGAAGTAATCATTTTTGAGTTAGCGCTTTTCTTTGTAAATAAAGAGCTAAAATACCATTGGAGATAAGAACATCTAAATTTTACTGAACAGATGTAAATCGGTGAAAATAATGGGAAATAGATGTTTTGATAAGAATATTTAGGTTTTAACGTATAATCATTAGGTTTTACTCCTGTTAAAGCAGATATACCAGATTCATCAACATGGGGTAATCAAGATTCTGCACAGACCAACGGAATTGACAGTGTTTTGTCAAAGGCTGAAATTGCATCTTGCAGTTACGAAGCCAGGTATGTAGAAGTTAAGTGTGTTCAATTACGAGTTAATTTAATGAATTAATTTTCCGTCATCTGTTGAAGTGGATCCAGACATGCAGTAAAGGCTTGTGACTTCAGTATGTTACAAGCATGCTATCTAAAGTTATTTTTTGCCTTAATCCCTCCAGTTACCTTCCTCCTCAACCTTCCCTGCCATAGATCTAGATAATTAGCTTCAAAACTCCCTTATAAATCAGTTTGTTTAATGATGGAAGGCAAAAAATTGAGCATTTTTATGTGTATTTTTTAAAGCATAAAATAAATGATTAGGTTGCTTTTTTTATTATTTTTTAAAGATTTATTTTTATTATTTTTTTATTGGAAAGGCAGATATATAGAGAGGAGAGACAGAGAGGAAGATCTTCCATCCACTGAGTCACTCCCTAAGTGAGCGCGATGGCCAATGCTATGCCGATCCGAAGCCAGGAGCCTCTTCCGGGTCTCCCACGCAGGTGCAGGGTCCCAACAGCTCCAGCTGTTGCAGCTAATTAGGGAGTTGAACCAGCAGATGGAAAATCTTTTCTCTCTGTGTCTCTCTCCTTCTCTCTGTAAATCTACCTGTCCAAGAATAAATAACATCAAAATAAAATAAGGAATAGGTCACTGGGGAATGTTAGGCCTGCAGGCTATGGAAACCCCACAAAATCATTTAGTTTGGGCCTGCCATAGCAACTGTAGGCAAGATGTTTGAATTTGAGGCTAATTTTTAAAAGGATGACTTTGGGGGCCCAGTGGCGTGGCCTAGCTGCTAAAGTCCTCCCCTTGAATGCGCTGGGATCCCATATGGACGCCGGTTCTAATCCCGGCAGCTCCACTTCCCATCTAACTCCCTGCTTGTGGCCTGGGAAAGCAGTCAAGGATGGCCCAAGGCCTTGGGATCCTGCACTTGTGTGGGAGACCCAGAAGAGGCTCCTGGCTTCGGATCGGCATAGCATCTGCCCGTTGTGCTCACTTGGGGAGTGAGCCATCGGACAGAAGATCTTCCTCTCTCTCTCTCTGTATATCCGCCTTTCCAGTAAAAGTAAAATAAATCTTTATAAATAAATAAATAAATAGATAGATAAAGGATGACTTTGTATGGCTATTGAGTGCTGTGATAAATATCCTAATGCCGTTTGACAGAAAAAAGGTTCTCTAGCCATGCTTAAAACAAATCATTACCTTCACATTGCTAAATGTAGGCTTCATGTGCTGAACTGCATATCTAGTGCATCACCTCAAGTTTGCCCTTTCTAATACTTGACATTTTTCTGCTTTACTAGTTTGGTTACTTTTGTACTTAACATGTTTATGTACAACTTAGATATGTGTGTGTGTATGTATGTATACACATACTAATTATATAATAACTGAATTAAAAACAAGGCCTGTTGAGTATGAGCCATTCTTTGCTAGGCAAATACATCATCATATCATGAGCAGAATGACATTTCTCTTGTTTATCTTGTTAAACCCAAACCCAGCACCTCACAAAATGCCTGAATGGAAGAATCGTTCTTGTCAGTTCCCCTTCTTTCATGCTTTTCCTTCCTGTGGAGGGCACCTCACTTGCCAGGGACTGTATCAGTGGGCTGTCTTGGTACGGAGTTGGAATACGGGAAAGGATGCGTGTGGCTTTGGGTGACTTGGCTTTCTGTAGGGCCTGCACATTGGGAGATTGCACAGACTGAGTAACTGAACACAGCATGGTTCTTAGAGCAGGCTAAACCTTTCTAAGTAAGCTCCTGGAAAATATTAAATAAAGGCATAAGATAACCATTTTTATATTACATAATAGCATTATATACCGTGGTGATTGTATTGCGTTGTTACTTTGCTTACGGTTTTACTACAGTATGTGCTTTTGGTTCTTTATGGAATGATCAAATGGAATTTTACTAATGGTGTAAAATTCCATAATTATAGTTTTATGCTGAATGCTCCAAAATACCAAAGGTAATGTGGGGCATTGAGACAAGCAGTAGATTTAAAATTTACCATTTTCAATTAGGTCCCTCAAAGTTCTGGAACCCTGGCTCCTGCCCAGAGTGATGTCCTACCATATACAATGCTGTTGGCATCTCAACCACTGTGGAGCCACTTCAGGAGCATGGAATTGGTCAATTGGGAATTGGGTGGTAATAGGATGAGTACATTTTGTCTGTTTGTCACATAGCACTGTTTTGTGTAGTTCTTGCGTTTATATTCTTTGTCTTTGGGGGCTGAACCCTGGCCAAACTGTGCCGTGTGTTAAGGGAAGTAAACCTCTTTTTGAAGCACATTCCTGCTCTGTGGTGGTTGTGATATCACCAGCATATGGCATGCTGGCATCTCTGCGAAGGGGCCAGAGGTCTGAATCGTAGGAGAAATGATCAGATACGGACAAGAGATGTCATTTATACTAATCACATGAGTGTGTGATAATTTTTTTGTTTGTTTGTTTGTTTTGGGGGGAAACCTGTACGTTTTCTTAATGCTTATATTTAGCCCCTAATGAGAGAGTAGTTAAGTGGAGATTGTATATTAGTAGCATGGGGAAATATCAATATATTTAATACTTGCTTTTGAAAGCTTCTAATGTAATCTCTGCTATATTTTTTTCTCTCTCTCCAGACAAGTTGGTATTAAAAATGGAATGTTTTTTGGGTATGCTAAACAGCTGTGTCCTAATCTTCAAGCTGTGCCATATGATTTTGATGCATATAAGGAAGTTGCCAGAACAATGTATGAGACCTTGGCAAGGTACAGTGTGTAATCCCGTCATCTCATGTCTGTCTGTCTTTCCATTAGCGACTGGTAAGGGCAGTCCAGTTTTCTTCAGCATCGTCAGGGTCGCTTTCGGCAGATGTTCCTCAGCATCCTACTTTGAAGGTCTTTCAGAAGCTGATCAGCACAATCTAGAAGAACTCTTTTACATTGCTGAAATTGTTCCAGCACTTCTTGTTGCTGACAAAAATATTTAATTTCGGGACCTCCGTAACTTCGAGTCAGTGGTTCTGGTTTTTCTGCCATGGAACCAGAGAGATTAAGATTAGAATTTATTTAACATATAACCATTCTCTTTCATTACATTTGATTTGTAGTGTTGTTTAGATTCATTACAACCTATAGTGAACCTTGTATCTTCTTGAAATTATTAGGTATGCCAAAGTTAGTTTTTAGAAAAAATTAGTGCTTTGTGGTGTTTTCCAAATGGGCTCATTAGCTGGCTTTACAAAAAAGATTAATCTTTTAAGTATTTTGTAAAGGTATTTTTAATGTTGGGTTGAAATTCAATTTAAAATAAATTTTGGCAGGCTGTGTATACTTGAAAAGCAGGGGTCAGTGCTGTGTCTATATGAGGGGTTAAGTCTGTCACAACTTCTCAGCTCCCTATGGACAGAGTGGTCAAGTGGGTGAGGCTGTGTGCAATCAAGCTTACCAGAACAGGCGTCTGGTTAGGCCTAGGTTTATCAATCCCTACACTGATGTCCTCACTTTCACCTCTTCTTTCTTATGTTGAATTTTGAACATCAGTGTGCAATACACACATGTCAAAGTTCCTTACTCTTAGTTTCAGAGAGAGAAGTAGGGTTCAGTCCTTGACTTGGTGGGATTTTACTTTGGTAGGGAAGGAAAGGGATAAACAGATAAATGAAGTTATCTGGCATCAGTCTGTGGGACTGAGTACTAAATGGTAAGCCCATGTGTCACAGCTACTTTTTAAAAACTAGGATTATTTATTCGTTTATTTATTTATTTGAAAGGGCAGATTTACACAGAGATAAGGAGAGACAGCAAGATCTTCCATCCTTGGGTTCACTCCCCAAATAGCCGCAATGGCTGAAGCTGAGCCTATCTGAAGCCAGAAGCTTCCTCCAGGCCTCCTGCAGATCTCCTATATAGGCTCAGAGTCCCAAGGCCGTGGGCTGTGCTCTGCTGCTTTCCAAGGCCGTAAACAGGGAACTGGATGGGATGTGGAGCAGCCAGGACACAGACTGGCACCCATAGGGATGCGGTGCTTGGAAGGTGTAGGATTAGCCAATTGATGCTTCGCACCTGGCCCCTAGTCACAACTATTCCTAAGACCAGAAAACAGGCATATTCCTGTTGCCAAGTGGAGAAAGCTTTAAATCCTAGTCCAAGGTCGAGGCTAGTGGCAGGTGGGTTCCAAGAATTGGTGACTCAGGGGTGGAGTGGTGCAGCTGGTGTTCTGAGCGTCAAGTCCCAGAGAGCAAACTGCCCACCTAGGCCTCAGATCAGGAGGATTTGAGGAAGAATTCTATCATGGGCCAGTCCTGAGAAGATTTTAGTCTGGAGACATTTTCAATGGCCTGTTTCTATTCTTAGAGGAAAAATTCAGTGTTCTACCATCCTTTCAAAATCCTGCCTAAGCTTCATACTCACCCTGCCTCGGTGCAGCTTTCACTCTGAAGCAATGTTCCTCACATCAGCTATACCCTTTTGTTCTTAAAAATTGTACTTTTGATTTATTGTAGCCTAAATAACACATTTTCAGTATTTGAACAGAGCAGTTACTCTGATTTGTATCCCACTGTCAGTTGAGAAAGGTCAGGCCTTGTTTTCTCAGCATATTCATTAGCAGGGGGTCATTGGAGACATTTTTGGCTGAAGCCTCTTTGGTTGCCTCTCATTGCTTTGCAGTCTGTTTCCCGATGCCATAGCCCTTACTGTAGATTAGTCTGGAGCTATGTAGCAACTTATTGTCTTCACCAGGTGACTGAAAGAAGACAATGAAAAGAAAACAATAAAAAGAAGGGGGTTTCCAGGGGATGCAGTTGGGGTTTTCTTGGGCATTTTGGACAATTATTTTCTTGATCCTGCACGTCCTGGGACCTGTTGTAAAAGATATTTAATTATAGATTTTTTGTTTTGTTTTGTTTATGAGAACAATAGTTAATTATTTGGTTGTGTGGTTTCTCTGTTCATTAAGTATTTTTATAAACTCTGGTTTAAAATGTTTTGGTTTAAAATGTTTTAACAACTTGGCAACCTCTTGTTTACTATTCATGGGTTTACAAAAGAAATAGAAAGGAATTCTCAGTGTGGAAAAACTGGAATGCTAACTCCTGTATTTTGGATAGTTATTGTGAAAAAAGAAGACTGACTTTGAACTTAGCAGTTGAGTGACTGAATAATGGCAGTTCCAGCAGTTCATGTAAATGGCTGGACTTCGATACCGTGAAGACTTTGTTTGCAACCTTTGCGTCAGCACATGGCCAGACTCCCTGCTTTGCTTTGTGTTGCTAGTTACACTCACCACATTGAAGCTGTCAGTTGTGATGAAGCACTGGTCGACATCACGGAGATCCTTGCAGAGACCAAACTGACTCCTGATGAATTTGCAAATGCTGTTCGAATGGAGATCAAGGACCAGACGAAGTGTTCAGCCTCTGTTGGAATCGGTTAGTGTCCAGCTTCTCTTGGACTCCTTTTGTTCAGTACAGTTGCTTTGGGATTCTTGAATGCCACTTGGTTCTGAACAGTGTTTTCATTAACTTATTACTATCTAGTGCCTTTTACCTTGAGTATCTCTTAGTATTGCTTACTTGTAGGCAATTCATAAGCTGAACAGTGTGGAGAAGCTAACAGAATGGTTGATACCGTTGTATTAAACCTGTTTGTTTACACATTTATTACTCATTCTTAAAAAATAAATTATATGTTGTAGGTTTTTTTCCAGGAGTGAATTTATAGTCTTCATGCAAAGTACAGAATAAATAGATACAGGTAGTCACATATGTATTAGATCAACTATATAAATGGAGACTGGCATACTGGGAAGTTAAGATATATTGCATTACACTTCTCCTGAATAAAAGTAGGACTCCAAAGAAACATTTAAATGTACATTTATAATACAATGCAAGAGTTTCTACCTTTGCCTATACCATGCCCCGATACACTTATTTCTGTTACTAAGGAATTATACTACTGTGATAAGATGAGGGAAAAGGACAGAAGGGAAGGAAGGGGCCCCTATACCTACAAAGCTATACTATGGGAAGTAATTTTTTTTTAAAGGGTGGCAGGCTACAGGTTACTGGTAGGAAGAGAGCTTAGTACCAATTTTTAAAAATAATTTATTTTCGATGATTTTCACTTGGTGAAGAAGAATACTTGCCATGTGGACTACCAACCAGGGTGGAAAGGGTCAGGGAATGGGGAAAAGTGAGTGAGACAACTATTCCAACTACCTGGTTTCTTCCTGTCCCTGGGGGACGTGGGGAGAGAAGGGAAAGGGCTGCTCCAAGCAGCCTAACTACATCAGTGCCCCAGGGATGGGGGGCGGCCACCCAGTGTCATTCCAGGGTCCCCAGTGTGGAACATGTTCTGAGAATACTGCCTAAGTGGTTTCAATACTTCAGTGATGCTGTTGAGTTCGTTGCTCCAAGATTGAGGAAAAGCCTTTCAAGGTTCATTGGCTGACAGTTCACCTTAGAGTTTCCATTTGCCCAGATAATCGTCCTCAAATCTTAACTGTAATTTGTTCTGCCTTCCATGGCACTAGATGTCCTCTGCAGGCCTCAGTGAACTGGCTGTTAGGGGTTCATGTGCATCTGGGCATGCCATGCACTGCACAGCCCTCGGCAGCAGAGGAGATCCAGTAGCAGTCCATTGTGCTGCCTCCTGGAGTGTGAGCCACACCATGCCTGAGGAGTCAGAGTGCTGACCTGCACACGGGCATCTTGGCGCACATCTGGCCTACCTGCTCTGTCGTTCCTGTACTTTGTTTCTTCAGTGGCTCTTCTCTCTCTCTCTCTTTATTATTATTATTATTATTATTATTATTATTACAAAGTCAGATATACAGAGAGCAGGAGAGACAGAGAGGAAGATCTTCCGTCCGCTGATTCACTCCCCAAGTGACCGCAACGGCTGGTGCTATGCCGATCCGACGCCAGGATCCAGGAACTTCTTCCGGGTCTCCCACATGAGTGCAGGGCCCCAAAACATTGGGCCGTCCTTGACTGCTTTCCCAGGCCACAAGCAGGGAGCTGGATGGGAAGTGGAGCTGCCGGGATTAGAACCGGCGTCCATATGGGATCCCAGCGCGTTCAAGGCAAGGACTTTAGCTGCTAGGCCATGCCGCCAGGCCCAGCTCTTCTCTTTTAACCTTTGTTTTGTTGACTCTTAAGTGGTATCCTCTGGAACCTGCTCTGTCCGATCTGAGCATTTCTGTGTCACCTGTTCCTTTCTGCACCTCTATGATGTCAGAATATCACAAGCAAGACAGAAAATTTGACATATTTAATACATTTGAATGATCCTGTGGCCAGCCTGTGTCTGACTCGTGCTGCTAGCCTATGTGGCCCTATAAACTTCACTATCAAACTCATTTTCTGTGTCCCGTTATGAGATTTGATATCTTTAATTGTAAATAAAAATGAATGATCTCTTGAATTATCTCTTTCCCTTTTCATGTTGTAGGTTCTAACATTCTCCTTGCTAGAATGGCAACCAGAAAAGCAAAACCAGACGGACAGTACCACTTAAAACCAGAAGATGTGGATGATTTTATCAGAGGCCAGCTCGTTACTAATCTACCAGGTAAATAGAAATTCTTTGGAAATTTTTTTTGGCTACTGTAGACATTCATAAGTACTTTACATATTTTTGTAATATTATCTTTTCCCAAGCATGAATATTAAACATTTTTTAGTCTGTTTCAATGTAGTGAAAAACGAAATTTGAATGTCTTCATTTAAAATCCTATTAATTATTTTCTCTGGACCATAATAGTACTTTTCAGTTTTGATTGTAAAGGTTGTTTTTCATGTAGCAAAATTAAAGGTTTTAAGAAATAATTTTCGGGGTCATTACTATGGCATAGCACGTTCAGCCACTGTCTGGCATTCAATAAGGGTGCTGGATTGAGCTCTGGCTGCTCCAGTTCTGATCCGGGTTGGTGCTACTGGCATGAGAAAGCAGCAGCAGAGGAAGGCACTGCAGCCATGTGGAACCTGCAAGGTGCTCTGTAATCCTGACCTGGGCTTGGCCCAGTCTTAGTCATTGCAGCCATTTCGGGAGTGAGCCAGCACTGTCTTTCTCCTCTCTGTTTCTGCCTCTCTCTAATTAAGACTTATTTATTTTTATTGGAAAGGCAGATTTACAGAGATAAGGAGAGACAGAGGAAAAGATCTTCTGTCTGTTGACTCACTCCCCATAAGTCCACAAGGGCCAGACCTGAGCTAATCCCAAGCCAGAAACTTCCTCTGGGTCTCCCACGTGGGTGCAGGGCCCCCAGACTTTGGGCCATCCTCTGCTGCTTTCCAAGGCCATAAGCAGGGAGCAGGATGGGAAGTGGGGCTGCCGGGACAAGAACCAGTGCCGATATGGGGTCCTGGTGCATGAAGGTGAGAATGTAACCACTGAGCCATTTCGCCAAGCGCAGTTTTCTAAGTTTAATGAGCAAATGAAGTAAAGCCTAAAGGTGAAGTGCTTTGTTTTCATAAACTTGAGATACTGTGGAACAATTTCTACCTGCACCTTTCTTGTCTAAGACAGAGGTATCATTTATTATAAAGCCACCTAGGTCAACCTCCTGAAGCCTCTAGGTACTTCTCTTTATGTAGACTTAGTGGTACTTGCAGATGCATAGTGTTAAGCCTCAAAAGTTATGTGGAGTTCAACTAGAAATATCTTCTTTGGTCATGAAATAGTAAATTATTGAAATGACATTTTCTGGTCAACAGATTCCTGACCCTCTAGTAAGTATGTAACCTAAAAATTTATCATTTTAAAATGATGAAAAGGATGTTCTTAATGGTCATCTTGAGGTTCAGTTTGAAGAGTAATTAGGATTATAAATTCTGTTACTTTAGTACATACGCAGTGATCCGTTTTTTGTTATTTTTGATAATGTTTACATTGTTTATCAGGGTGGGAAAGCTCAAGAATTAGAGGAGATTAGGGGTAAGACCTTTGTTTCCAATTTTTTTTTCTGTGTTGGAGAAGATAAGGGGAGAAGCCACACCCAGCCTCCCAGCTGCCCCAGTACCCAGGAGATGGGAAGGGGTTTGCTCATGTGGATTCCATAGTTCTGAAATGCTGTTTATCTCGCCAATCCAGGATGAGGAAATCCTTCCAGTCCACCTTAGAATCTCCATTTGTCCAAATATTAGCTGTCAGTGCTTGGCTGGGGTAGTTGACTGACTTGTTCTACCCTCCATCCTCTGCTGTGGTACTGGATATCCTCTGTAGGCCCAATGGGAATGCTGTATCTTCCATGTGCATCTGGATATGCCATCCACTGCTCCGTCTAAGCCACTGAGGAGGCTAAGGTCTGCCGCATGCACTCCATGGTCAAACCATGGAACCTGCAATTCTCCCCACGGTTGGAGTTCTGAGTTCAGTGGTTCATTTGGAAGATCCCCAAAGAAATCTTTTCTGAAGTGATCCCAGAATCCCACTCTCGTGTGTGCTTGCCTGTATGGGGTCCAGCTCTATCACCCATATGAGCCTATGCACACACTGGTAGTTGCAATTGCTGGGTTGGTTCTGTCTCCAGCCCTGCCTCTTATGTAAACCAATTGGTGCTCTGACCCAGCCCAGTCCTACCCACCACACACTCAGCCCTAATGTACACCGGTGGGAATTACAGCCTAGTTGAAACAACCCGCAATAACTTTGCTAGATCTACCCTGACCCTGGCTCCTGTGCTTGTCACTACTGCCTTCTGTGCAGCAGACTGATGCAGTCTATTCCACATCCCATTTAGTGCTCATACACGTCAATGGGCATTGAAGCCTAGCTCAACCCAGCTGAGCCCACTGTTAGGCCACACTCAAGCCAGCGAATTCCACCACCTGTCTAGCCAGGTCTGCCCTCAGCCCTAGTTCTCATGTTCACCCAGTGGGAGTTGCAGCCCATCAGAGAGGTGCTCACAGTTTCCCTACTGGTCCCACTGCTTGCCCTCCTTGCACTTTCCTGGTGGTTTTACAATCTTAGCTTAACAGGACTTGCCCTCTTTCCCAGTACTTACCAACTGATGCTGTGGCAAAGTTCAACCCACCTGCCCTTACTCTGACTCATGCCTGCACCAGTGCATACAGTCGGGTAGCCCAGCATGACTTCCCCTGACCCAGTTCACTTGAAGATGAACAGGCGTTGTAGCATTGCCTGGCCTGGCCTTCCCCATTCAAGTTCTCATGCTTACCAGTGGGGGCCCCCGAAGCTCCCCCATCCGACCCTCAGTCTCACATGCACTGGTGGGTACTGCAGCACAGTCTGGTATGGCTATCCTCACCTTGACATTGGCCCATGAGTGCTGTAGCCTGGCCCAGCCTGATCTGCCCTCAGTTCCAGCTCATGCTGGTGGGTGCTGCAGTCTAGCCCAGCTCAGCCATCCCCCAATCCTGGCCCTAAGGTAAACTAGCTAGTGTTGTGACCAACCTGGCCTGTGCTGCATCCTGTTTTGGTTCTCAAATCCGCCAGTGGATGTTATGATGTTATGAACTGGTCCAACCTGTCCTGATCTGGGCTGCTCCTGTCAAAGAGTTCCCCAAGTTCTTCTATCAGACCTGCTTCCCAGTGACAATTCCCATACATGTGGGTCCTTGGCCCAGGCTGACTTACTCTACTTCCTGTGCTGGCAGGAACAGTGGCATTGCCCAATTGGGCTGTACCCATTCGGGCTCTTACTGTGGGGAGCTACAGCCCAGTCATACCGGGTCCATGCCCAGACCTAGTTCTTGGGTGGTTCAGCAGGTGCCAAGACCTAGCCTACCCTATCCTACACCTGTCCTGGCTTTTATGAGCATCAACGGGTGCTGGAATCTAACCCAGTCTGGCAAACCCCAGTCCCAGACCACAGCCATGCTGAGCGACGCTGCAGCAGTGTCTAGACCAGATCCCCACCCCCATTCTGGCTTTTGTGCTCATCAGTGGGAGCCACAACCCAGGTTGGGTGTCCTCTTAGCTCCCCAACAGTTCCTGTTTCCAGCCACAGATCTTGCATGTGCCAGTGATTGCTCCCACCCTTCTGAGCCTTTGCCGTAGGATGCTGCAGTCACAAAATCATTTGTTCTGGTCTTAGCAAGGCAACTACAAGCCAAACTTGAAATTCAGTTAATTACAATAACTAATTTTGAGTTGATAATTTTGTAGGGTCCATACATGCTAACTGTCCAAATGACCCTTGGCAGCTGAGTACTCACCCCAGATCTCTGGGTCCCGGGATGGAGTAATAGAAACCTAGGTCCAGAATGGTGTAACTGGGACTGCAGCTTCTGCTCTGATGTGGGTTCCGGGTGTCCAGTGCAGTAGTTGAACTTGCTATAGCACAGGACCTGATTTCCTCATTCGCTTACCCCCAGCTCCCAGTCTGTTAAAGGAAACCAGTCAGGTTGGATTGGTACTTGCTCATGTGGCCTCGTTTAAACTTAATTATCTCTTGAAGGACTCAGTGTCCATGTATAATCACAGTGTGAAATTCTGGCAGTTAAGTATTAGATACACAAATTTGGCTAATACATAATTCAGACCAAAATACTGTCTTTAAAGTGAGTCAGTTTTATGGTTTTCTTTCACAGAAATAGTTTTACCTTGTTGATCTAGTAACCTTACTGTTCCCCTTCACTTGCTTCAAGGTTACTTGAGAAGAAAAAACATTTACATTAGAAAGTCTTAGAAGACTCCACAGAGCAGTGTTTATGTTAAACTAACATGTAAGTCACTTAACTTTATTCTTCCATGATGTAAGAAGGGACGGTCCCCAGCAGCTGACCCAACAGCAGGGACTGTGTCTACATGTTCTTTGGAGCTTCGGCCTGTGTGTGATCTGTGCCTCCATCCTCTGATTTCTGTCTTTATTGCATTTGCAGAAACACGATACAGATGTCTGTGGTCAAAAAGTCCAGTGCTAGCCTCATGAGGAGGGTTGCTCAGCTTCCCACGCAGGGCGCACACAAATATATCCATCTTGTGTGTTCTCAGCTTGCGAAAATGGAGCTCCAGGAGGCTGCTTGGTGTCTGGGTGCTGGGGTGGGACCACTACTGACCATTTGAAATCTAGACCAGGAGTTCTTCTGAGACACACCAGGTCCATCCCAATGGCCTGACCAGCAGCTCCCAAAACTGATGTGCTTCTTGACTTCTTTAAAGACTTGGTTCTAACGAGCATGTTTTCTTTCATAGGAATTCAGTTTGTGCCCTCTGCCTCCTTTACTTTTTCTTCTTTCCTGTACTTATATCAGGTGTTCAAAGTAGCAGCTCTCCAGGGTTCTGGTGCTGCTGCAGCCTCGCTTGTCTTCACTGTCCCTCAAGGTCAGCCCCACCCTGCCCTGCATTGCATCAGATCAGCTTTCCATGGAGTGGAACAGTGATGCTAGGTGGCATTGTGGTTAAATAGATGGTGTTTATTAGAGGCTGTTCTTTCATGCTGGTTAGTAAATAGTAGCTTTTTCCTCTGTGTACTCCTAGCTTTGATCGGCATAGCAGCAAGAAGACTCTGAAACTCTGAGCCAGCCCCTACCCCCTCGCACATACATGCACACCCCGTTAGTCCAAGAGCTTGACTGCCTCTTGCTAATCCCTTAAGTGCATGGAACAGACTGGCCTCCAGATCTGTGAGGGACAAATCATGATCATATTGTGGGAGTGGGGAACGAAGTGTCATGGAGAATAACACGAGACAGAAAGAGCTGTGCAGAATGTCTGTCCACCTTGTCTGTAACTCATGGTTCTGTTCCCTTGCATCTCTCCTCCCTGTGTTGGTTACTAGGTAAACTGACCATACTTGGAATTTCATTTTTAATAAGAATTATACTTTGCCTTAGTTACTTTGAAATACTTTCCCAGAATGTATACCTTTTTAAAGCTTATAGAGCAAATTGAGAAAAGCCAGTATCTCAGCTGAAAGAAGCAGAATTCATCGTTTTAATGGGATGGAAACTACTATTTTTTTTAAGGTTTATTTTTTCATTGAAAAGGCAGATTTATAGAGAAAGAAAGAACTTCCGTGTGCTGGTTCACTCCCGTAGTAGCCGTAGTAGCTGGAGTTGAGCTGATCTGAAGCCACGAACCTCTTCCAGGTCATCCAGTGGTTGCAGGATCCCAACGCTTTACTACTTCTTAAGAAAGTTCATCTTTCTTTTTCTTTTTTAAGATATATTTGAAAGATGGAGTTACAGAGAGGGAGAGATGTGCCATCCCCAGGTTCATTCCCCAATGGCCGTAACAAGCAAAGCCAGACCAAAGCCAGGAGTCTGGAACTCTATCCAAAACTCCCGCATGAGTGCAGGTGCTCAGGGACCTACGCCACCTTCCAGTGCCTTCCCAGGCAGATCACAGAGAGCTGGACTGGGAGTGAAGCTGGGATTGGAACTAGTGCTCATATGATATGCTGCTGTCATGGGCAACAGTTTTAATCTGCTGAGCCATAATTCTCCCCAAAATCATGTTCTTTAGATAAGTTTAGTTATGTATACAATAATGCTTCAAAAACTTTGTGAAAGATTTGACTTGAAAGATAATATTTTGCAAAAAAAAAAAATTGAAAATCTGTGCATGGTTTTTTCATAGTATATATATATCTTCCATGAATTTTTATAAAGGTTACTTGAAAAGCAATGACAGAGAAAGGTATCTTTCATCTGCTGTTTCATTTCCCCTATTAACAGGGTTAGTCTAGGCTAAAACCAGGGGCTTGGAACTCCAGGCACATCTTGTAGGTGGGTGACCAGGGCCCAGTCACTTGAGTGTTTTACGCAGCTTTCATTAGCTGCTTATACAGAGCTGGATCAGAAGTTAATATGGGATGACAGTGTTAAAAAGGATAGCTTAACCTGTTGCACTACAACTCTGATTCCCTTACATGAGCTTTATTTAAGGCTGTTTGTAATGTGTAGATTCCGAATTTTTTCACCTGAGCCACCTTCCTGGTGCCGTGGGTAAAGCCACCTCATTTGCCACTGGCATCACATATGGGCGCTGGTTCCAAGTCTGGCTGTTCAACTCCCAGTTGATGCACCTTGGTGAAAGCATGGATGTTGGCTCAGATGTTTAGACCCCCACTTCCGTGTCAAGGGGATCTTGGAAGCAGCTCCTGCCTTCTGCTCGGCCCTGCCCCAGCCAGTGTGGTCAACTGAGGAGTGAGCAGCACCCAAAGATCACGGTTTCTCCCTCTGTAGCTCTGACTTTTCATATAATCTTTGAAAATATTTTTACCAAAAAAAAGTCCCAAACAAGGTCTTTTGGACCAGAGTAGCTATCTTTTCGTTATCTTTTTGAAATGCCCTGAATTTGCCTCTCTGATTTATTTCTATATAGAGTCCAAACTAAGATAGATTCTGGAATACTATTACTGGGATAATTTTATATCAACAGTATTTCTTTCAGTCTTACAAGATACTTCAGTTTTTCCACTTATAAAGATTATTTCAAAGCAGTTATTTCGAACTTGAATGATTACTTTTAGTAATTCTGCAAAACTAAAACTGTGTTTATTCCTTTTCATAGGAGTCGGACGATCAATGGAATCTAAGTTGGCATCTTTGGGAATTAAAACTTGTGGAGACCTGCAATATATGACCATGGCCAAACTCCAAAAAGAATTTGGTCCCAAAACTGGTCAGATGCTCTATAGGTTCTGCCGTGGTTTGGATGACAGACCAGTTCGAACTGAAAAGGAAAGAAAATCTGTTTCAGCTGAGATCAACTATGGAATACGGTTTACACAGGTACTGCTCACATGACAGTCTGCTTTATCCTTAGGCAGTCCTGTTTCCATGTAAACCATGAGACTGCCGTATTTGAAATGAAATGTAGAAAAGCAACAGGAAAAAAAAAGATTAAAAAAATAAATTAGAAAAAAAGAAAGAACAGCAACAGGATAATGAACTTAGCAGTCATGCCTTATTGGGAGGATGAACGTTTGTACTTTTGTGTAGTTAGAGTACACAGACGGACTTTACAACGTTTACTTATCTGAGGGGCCAGCATTATTGCCACTGAGGTTCTGGCATCTTACATGGGAGTCAATGTATGTTCCAGCTGTTCCACTTCCAATCCAGCTCCCTGCTAATGGCCTGGAATAGCAGAGGAAGATCGTGCAAGGATTTGGACACCGACCCAGAAAATAACTTTAGCCGAAGTTTTCTATGGTCTGGTCGAGCCCTGACGGTGGCAGCCATTTGGAGGATGAGCCAGTGGGTAGAAATTCTGTCCATGTATAACTCTGCTTTTCACTTTGTGCATGTAAAGCCTGAAAAATAGCATCAAGCGGAGTAGGAAGGATTTTGCATTCCCTGACCCGAATGGCCACAGAATCCAGGTCTACACCAGGCAGAAGCCAGTAGCCATGCACTCCATCTGGGTCTCGTACGTGGTTAGCAGGGCACAATCACTTGAACCTGTAACCACTGCCTTCCCAGACACATTAGCAGAAAGCTAGACTGTAAGTGGTACGGCCTTGCTTTGAGTCAGGACTCGTATATTGGGTATACATGATGTTGGATGGCCAGGGAAAGAGGCGCTTTATCCTGCTGTACAGCAAGGCTGGCACTCAGAATGACCATTTGCCGTCGATGGATGGTTAGCAGGGTTAGTAAATAGCATTCCTCTTTGATATTAAAAGTGAAAACAATTACTAAGATACACAGGCAAATAACATGGAAGGTTTTCCCTATTTGTGTTTGAAACTATAGTCCAAAGAGGCAGAAGCTTTTCTTATGAGTCTATCAGAAGAAATTCAAAGACGACTTGAAGCTGCCAGAGTGAAGGGTAAACGTCTGACTCTGAAAGTGATGGTGCGAAAGCCAGGAGCCCCTGTAGAGACTGCGAAATTCGGAGGCCATGGGATTTGTGATACCATTTTCAGGTAAGCACAGAAGAAATATTGATAGTATTTTGGTGTGGCTTATTGGAAAACAAAACTAAAGAGTGTGAATAAAGAGCTGTCTTATGTGACGCTCTGTGGGTCAGACCTGTGGATCAGGTTAATGGGCTCGCATGGCCCTTTCGGGCGTGGGGGTTGGGGCTGCTCCCAGTTCCTTGTAGCAGCCTTTCCTTGGGGCCTCCAGGCTGTTCCTGGCAGCGTGGGCAGAACAGCACAGGGGCGGGGGAGCGGGGTGTGGCCCTGGCAGCTTCCCCTCAGGGGTCCGTGTAATCCTTCCAGAAACGGTGTAAGGGGTCCATGCCATTGCACAGGCATGAATTCTTTCTGTAAGGAAGAGCAGTTGGTTTCTGAATACTGGGAAAAAGCACTCAGGGCTGTTTTATTTTTTAATGTGAGGGTCAAATATCAAACTTAGTTCAATATTTGTGACATGTAAGAATAATTGGCTTTGCATGCTGTTATACTGCATGATAAACTGTATTTTATTTGTCAAACTGAAGTTAAATACTGTTGACTGTCAAGCCATGCGTCTAGTTTAAAGATTAGTTCATGTATATGATTAGTCTTTTGGTAACTGTCAGATACAGAAACTCCCAATTTTATTTTTAATTATTAACTTACCATCAAATCAGAGAGTATAAAGTACATATTAAACAAGGTACTTTCTAAAACATTTTTATGCACTTGACTTTTTTTTTTTAAGATTTATTATTTTTTTTATTGGAAAGTCAGATATACAAAGAGCAGGAGAGACAGAGAGGAAGATCTTCCTTCCGTTCGATGATTCACTCCCCATAAGTGAGCGCAATGGCCGGTGCTATGCCGATCCGAAGCCAGGATCCTGGAACTTCTAACGGGTCTCCCTAACTTCTAACGCGGGTGCAGGGTCCCAAGGCTTTGGGCCGTCCTTGACTGCTTTCCCAGGCCACAAGCAGGGAGCTAGATGGGAAGTGGGGCTGCCGGGATTAGAACCGGTGTCCATATGGGATCCTGGCGCGTTCAAGGCGAGGACTTTAGCTGCTAGGCCACGCCGCCGGGCCCAGTTGGCTGTTTTTAACTAACCTAATTTCATAACTATTATTATGGGTATGTATTTCCAATGATGATTGATTTTAGGTTAATAGAATATTGGTGGTCATTTCAACAATACACTGGTTGTTGAGCCCTTACTCAGGAGAATTACCCTTTCATATTTTCTGGAGGGAAATCATATTCAGTTTTGACACCTTTTCTGGGAATGCAAGATGTTGGTTTAACAGCTGAAATTCAGTTAAAACATAAACATTAGGGAATGTATTGATGCTGTTAGTCATTTTCTTACGCTCTGAAGCAGAGCAGGGGGCACTCGGCAGTCATGGGGGCCAGCCGCTGGCTGGAGTCTGGGGCTTGTGCTGCGTGTCTCTTATGTGTACACATACTGCTTAACAGTGCAGAACTGCTCCACTGCCAGTGAGTACACAAAGGATATCACTTCCGGTTCTCTAACAAAGTTTCATCCTATCATTTGCAGGACTGTAACTCTTGATCAGGCAACGGATAGTGCGAAAATAATTGGAAAGGCTGCATTAAACATGTTTCACTCAATGAAGCTAAATATATCAGATATGAGGGGGGTAAGTGTGTAACATGGTTTTGAATTTTGACTTGGTCTCAGAATGATGATGGTGGAGGTTGGAGGCTTATATACAAATCTCTAGCTCCTTCGTTATTATCTAAAGCAGAAGAGAAACTTACTGGAGCTGATGATTTTGGTTTTCAGGCAAGTTGGTATCTTAGATTTTATAGTGTATCTTAGATTTTCTAGTGTCTCTCTCGGGCTAGTTCTACATGCATTATCTTAGTATTCCGGTTATTGTCTCCTACAAGATGAGACTAATGATTGCATGTGTGAAACTTGTACAGACGGAACAGACACACACACACATGTAAATAAGAGTCCTTGGGAACAGATATGCAAGAGGATACCAAAATGTACAACCTAGGGCTGGCGCTGTGGCATAGTCGGCTCTGCCTCTACCTATGGTGCAAACAGCCCATCTGGGTGACTCCTGCCTTTGCACTGGCCCAGCTTCAGCCATTGTGGCCATTCGCATAGTGGACCAGTGGATGCAAAATAATTTTTCTTTCTGTAACTCGTTCAAATAAAAATATAACAAGAACCCAGGGGCCAGGGTTAATCTCCCGCTGGCAGCATCCCATTTGGGTACTGGTTATTATCTCAGCTGCTATACTTCCTGATCCAGCTCTCTGCTCAAGTTCTGGGAAGGCAGCAGAGGATGGCCCAAGGCCTTTGGCCCCTGTGCCCACATGCAAAACATGGAAGCAGCTCTGGGCTCGCAATTCAAGATTGGGCCAGCTCCAGTTGTTGAGCCATTTGAGGAGTGAGCCAGCAGTTGGAAGATCTTTGTCTTTCCTTCTCTGTATCGCTGACTCTCCAAGTAAAATAAGTTAAAATTAAAAACCTTAGGTTTTCTTAAAGATGAGTATCTCTAGATTTAACTTTGTACATGCTCATGAGTAAAGAAAGAGTACATGGTACATGGCTTGGTAGGGCTCCAGTGGAAGGATTAACAAATCATTAAGCGAGCATAATTGAAGTTGCTTTGTAAAACTGCACACTAGAGCTTGAGGGTGAGGAAGGCCTTGTAACCTGTGGGCAGTTCTTCCCCCATCACATTTTGTAGTTAAAATTACTAATTCCTAATATGAAAAAAATTGCCAAGTAGACTATATTTGAAAACATTTTTTAAAGTTTTCATTTAAAATTTTAGTCGACTGCAGTATGGTATACGTGGTTTTAAAGATAGACTAGATTTGGGTAGACTACTGCTCCGTAGCTAGGATACAACTGGTTTTTGTAGTAAGTCATATGCAGCACCGATGGACAATTTTTACAATGCACAGGATAGAGAAGGTAATCTTATCTTCAGAATTTCAGTGAAATTCGTCTCTCATTTTAGCTTCCCTTGTCCTGGAGACATACTCTCTTCATTCTGGTTCCAGGTTGGAATGCACGTGAATCAGTTGGTGCCAGCTAACGTGAAGCCCTCCGTGTGCCCTAGGCGCTCGTCAGGTCAGTCGAGCCACCACCCTGGTGGGTCCCATTCTGTCCGTAATCTCTTTCAAGTTCAGAAAGCTAAGAAATCCACAGAAGAGGAGCACAAGGAAGGTGGGTGGTTCTCAGTACCAGTGTTTTGTATTGGTATGGCTCTACATTTTTTAACAAATTTGCATCCCTAATAATGAGGAATTTAATAATGTATGTCCCATCCTGCAGTGTTTCTGGCTGCTGTGGACCGGGACGCGCCGTCTGCCTCTGGAGCTTGTACTCTGCTGCCCTCTGTTTCTACGCATCTGCCAGCTGCTCCCAGTCCTGACACGAGCAAGGGCGAGGCTTCGGGGAAATGGAACGGTCTGCATTCTTCCCTCAGTGTGCAGTCAAGACTTAACCTGAGTATAGAGGTCCCATCACCGTCTCAGGTATACTTGTGTAGTCATAAACAGAACCAAAAAATCTTGGCGAAGCTGGTTGTAAAAAAGAAAGTGTTATATCATTTATTCTGTACAACAAAGAAAGGGAGACGGGGCTGCTTGTTAGGATGGATCATGTTGGTGGAATTCTAAATGAGGAACAGTTGGTTAGGGGAGTGATGGAACTTGTGCAAAAGATTTGCCGCTCTTGGGGGCCCAGCACAACAGAGTAGTGGTTAAAGTTCTCACCTTGCACGTGTCAGGGTCCCATGTGGTTGCTGCTTCTAATCCCGGCAGCTCCACTTCCCATCCAGCTCCCTGCCTGTGGCCTGGGAAAGCAGTCGAGGACAGCCCAAAGCCTTGGGACCCTGCACCTGTGTGGGAGACCTGGAAGAGGCTCCTGGCTTTGGATTGGCTCAGCTCCAGCTGTTGTGGTTGCTTGGGGAGTGAATCATCGAACGGAAGATTTTCCTCTCCGTCTTTCCTCCTATGTATCTGCCTTTCCAGTAAAAATAAATCTTTAAAACAATACAAAAAAAGGTTTGCAGCTCTTGGTAGTTGCCCAGCTAGCTGAAAGGCATTCCCTGTGAGCTGCACCCTGTGTCAAACAGATGCAGTTTGTGTAGGCTCTTTGTGTGATGCACTCTGTTAGCTTACTTCCAAGGCGCAAGGGAAACCCACAGTAAACTACTGGGAAAGGTTTGCAGCCACCTTTGTTCTCCGACATGGAAGGAGGCCTAAGAGGTAAACACTGGCTGTAGGACTAGGAGAAGCAGTTCTACTGTTTGATTAGTAGCTGGTAACATGCAAAACTAGCCAGTGATAGTAAAGCAAGGTTGGTCTTTCCAGGATGTGGGATTGAATGTCTCCAAGGGCTTAAGTGTTCAAAGAAACAGGGTGAGAAGTTAGCTTAGAAAGCTCCCTTCTCCCAGAATGCTACTGGGATACTAGGAAAATTATTTGTACTTTGGGTAGTACTTTGTGAACATTTTATCCAAGACTTCATTGCCTTGCTCCTCAGTTTGAACAGTCTGCCACTGATGAAGTTCTGCCTTTCTGGCAATTCTGTTGCAAGATACCATGACTACCTGGACCTACCAGGTCAGGAGCAGACCTTCATCAGCTAAGGTTTCAGGGGCAAAGGCCAAAGTGTTACAGAAATGGGCTAGTTTGGGGTGATAGCATTTCCTATTCGTATAATCTGCAAACCTTATCCTCATCATTCATGATGTTCAAACCTAAATGAAAGTGCTGTGTTCACTGCAATATTCTGAGCATGCTTTATGTGTTTGGCATTTTGTAGCTTGATCAGTCTGTTTTGGAAGCACTTCCACCTGATCTCCGGGAACAAGTAGAGCAAGTTTATGCTGTCCAGCAAGGGGAGCCCCGGGGCCCCCCAAAGAAAGAACCAGTGAATGGCTGCAGCACAGCAGTCCTGCCGCAAGGAGTTGGGACAGTTTTGTTGCAGATACCAGAAGCTCAGGAATCAAACAGTGACACTGGAATAAATGTAATAGCCCTTCCAGCACTTTCACAGGCAAGTTAAAGCAGGGAGCGTTTTCTGTCACACTTACTCTTCTCTACCCTGCAGCGCCGGGGGCAGGGCTCATGTCCCTTTCTCCCCTGCGTCTTCACACGAGATAGTTCCTAGCTTGTCTGTGGAAGCAGAACTGAGCTTCATCCACCCCGCCTCATCTACAGATGGAGCAGCGTCCCTCTAAAGCACTGGGGGGCGGGGGGTGTCTATTAAGGTGAGCACTTAAAAACTTGTGTCTAGAATACATCCTGCTCCCCTTTGTATGGCTAGAACATGGTTGGGCCACACTTGAACACAGCAGGGTGAAGATGCTTGAGTATCTGCAGGGGACACTGTAACAGTTGGTCCTTCTGCCCGCATCTGCCCTGACTGTCCTGCTACAGCAGTTGTGAACTGTCCGTGCCCGTGTCAGCTGGTTTAAGCCAGTTAGTCCTCTGCTTACTCTCCCCATAGATGTTTTAAAGATTAATGAGTTTTGATACTGAGAACGTATTAAGAACTTACACAAATCAGAAGAAATATAATTTGCAGTGTTGTAAGAAAAAAAAGCCAGTACCCATCTGGAAGGAACGGGAGGCTGACTTCCATTTCTTTTCCACTAGGTGGACCCTGAGGTGTTTGCTGCCCTTCCTCCCGAGCTGCAGAAGGAACTGAAGGCAGCTTATGAGCAGAGACAGAAGCAAGGAGAGAATGCCACTCACCAGCAGCCGGCTGGCACGTCCGGTAAGCCTTTCAGGTGGTACATGACAAAAATGAAGCTAAGAATAATGGAGTTGTTTCATATAATGGCCAAAGTCTAAGTTCATTTTAAGATCTCTTCATTTACTCCAGTACAAAATGTAGGTAAGTCTTGAGAGTCCTGAATTGGGATCTGTATTAACAGTAAAGAAAGGCAATCTCAAATACCTCAGTTGTCCTCAGACTGAGACATAAAGGGTATAAGTTAAAAAAAGGTTTCTGGACACCTGAACTCAGGGTTGCTGAGTTCAGCCAAAGTAGAACAGAGAGAATTATAGGCCCTCCCCTTTGGCGATTGCCATTCTGTCCCTCTTACTCAGCAGGGTCTGTTGGGGTAGGGAATGCAGAATGCAAGGGATTTTATCTGGAAGAAGGAAAGAGACCCATGGTACCATCCACACGTGTTTATTGAGGATCTTACATCCACCTTCTTCCAGTGCCAAAGAACCCGTTACTTCACTTAAAGCCAGCAGCAGTTAAAGAAAAGAAAAGAAGTAAAAAGAAAAACTCCACCAGTCCCCAAAAGAAGATCCAGAGTCCTCTGAAAACCAAGCTCAGCAGTCCTGCAAAAGCTCCACCGGGGGCCTGTGGGAGCCCCCGGAAGCTAATGGATGGATTCCTAAAGCATGAAGGCCCTGCTGAGACACCCCTGGTAATTATAGGTTTTAAAAACTTGACCTTGCTCAGACCCTAATGTACGTGACCTAGAACTTGTGTAACTATAGCACTTGTTTCCTTTAACAGGAGGAACACGCTCTTTCTACATCAAGTGTGCAGCCTGAGCCATGCGGCAGTGGGAGACCTCCAGCACCCAATCTAGCTGGAGCTGTCGAATTCAGTGATGTGAAGAACTTGCTCAAGGAATGGATAACTACTATTTCAGGTTGGCTTGTCCTGTGTAAAATGAGCAGACTGAAGGGTAGTGCTGCGGTCTGTCCCGTGACCTCTGCACACATGCACGCACACAAAGTCGTATTTGTAACCAGCTACTCCCGACATGGCAGATTTGGAATTCTCTTACGGTTGCTTCCTTTGATAGCTCTGCCTTTGTTTTACCTGCAGGAAGTTAACATTGGTCCTCATTGGAGGTTTTTCCCCTCTCTAGATCCGATGGAAGAAGACATCCTGCAAGTTGTGAAATACTGTACTGATCTTATAGAGGAAAAAGATTTGGAAAAACTGGATCTAGTTATAAAATACATGAAAAGGTATGTTTATTCAGCACTTTCATGGGGGCAGGAGTAGCAAGTCACAACAACAACTCATTGAGTGTATACTGAGCAACACTTCCTGGGGTTAATGCACCGCAGGAAATGCCTGCTGGCAGCTCCGGAGGTGGGTTAGCACTTTCCTCACCCTCCTGTTTTTCCCTCCAGGTTGATGCAGCAGTCGGTGGAATCTGTCTGGAATATGGCATTTGACTTTATTCTGGACAATGTTCAGGTGGTTTTACAGCAGACTTACGGAAGCACATTAAAGGTCACGTAACGACTGCCAGGGAGCCCCGGGCTCTCCACTAGCTGTGCCATAAGTGCTTGTGAGGTATTTGCAAAGTGCATGATAGTAATGCTCGGAGTTTTTCAGATTTCTTTTTAAGCAAGTGTTTTTGTACATTTCTTTTCAAAAAGTGCCAAATTTGTCAGTATTGCATGTAAATAATTGTGTTCTTTTACTGTAGCATAGATTCTATTTACAAAAACATTTGTTTATAAAGTTTTATGGATTTTTACAGTGAATAAGTGTTTACAGTTGTTTAATAAAGAACTGTATGTATATTTTGTACAGGCTCCTTTTTGTGAATCCTTAAAAACTCAACTATAGGAAGCAACTGCTATTAACTGTACTGAAAAATCTCCAGGCCAGACCGTTGCAGGCTCCGTGCTAAGCTCTGAAATTCCTGAGAGGCCCCAGCCTGGGAGTCTGCTGGTTCCAGGAGGGGGCAAAGCTCCCACAGCATCTTCCACTCTTGTCTCCATGTGAACACAAGGGCATGTTACAGAGTCCTTTACTTCCCATGTGAAGAACTCCACATGCTTTTAGAACGCCTGGGAAAACTACATCCTTTCCCACAGATAGTTTGGGGTTGTTGATCTCCTTTGCCTCCACTGGACCTTGAGAAAAATTGACAATGAAGAATGGTACTGATTTTAGACATATTTTTCTATGCTATGCCATGTTTAGAAATAAAAACTACAACTTTATCCTAGTGAATATTTGGAACTTATTCCTCAAATACCCTACCAGTGACTTCTAAAGTGTTCCAGAATTCCACTTATCTTACAGGTTTCTTAGCTTGGGGTAACTACTTCTTGTAGCCACAAGCTCCGGTTATCATCAGAGCACAGTGATTAAGTCACTGATGTGTCTGACTAGTGACTGTGTTGTCTGTTAGCACGTGGCAGGAGTACACAAGGTCCACTCACAGTTTGTGCTGAGGAAGAACTGGTGGCAGAGGAGCTGCACTAGCATGGAAGCCTAGCAGAGGTTACGGGTCCATGTCTGTTTATTGGAGTTTGGACTGTCATGACCACACAAGTGATAAACAGCAGTCAGCTATGCTTTACAGCATTGTTTCACACATAAGCAAATAAAGAAATAGCAGAATGCCTAATTTTCTATTTTTAAAAAATCCCTAAGGGCGTATGGCAGAACAATGCTGGGAAAAATTACCATGGGAAGAATGTGCATAAATAAAGTAGTAGTTCTTACATCAAAAAGTCCCAAGAATCACAAAATCTGCAGAAGCTTGGTTAATCAAATACTGCAGTACTGATTTAATCAGTATAAAATTGAAAGACCTTTTAGATTTGTAATAAAAATCCAAATTTTGGGAAGGGCAAACTTTAAAACAGCAGCCAAGTAGAGAAGGGTAGGGCAACAGAGGGTGGGAACAGGCACATTGAACTGTGGGGACATGTAAATTGACCACTGTCAAACCAGTGTAAGTTTCTTGGTTTCTCATGGAAAACATTTTATACACCCATTATTTTTCCTTCCATACCGTCCCTCAGTGTTCAGATACATCTGTTCCAATTTTGTCTTGCTTTTGTTGGTGATGTTACAACACAATATTGCATTTACTCCAATTTCTGTGCCATGTGGAAAAATCAGATGATTTCAAATACTTTCTTGAGCTCCACGATAAGCTGCCAGTCACTCTTCTGCATTTCGTCTCTGAACCAGTCCTTGAGTGCATCGATGGACTGCCGACTTATCTGCAATGCAAGAGTCACAGACATGCTAACAAGGTAAGCAGCACATGCCCAACAAGTCCCTGGGGCAAGACGGTGCACACACAATCTCTGCTAGATGAAAGCAGGGATTTCCCTCTAAAAGACCAGAATTCCCAGTTGACATGCCAATCTGGGAACCTCGAGCACTGACAGCACCGCTCCATAAACACGTTTCTCCACAAAGATGAACCACATTCAAACTGAACCCCATGTAGGATCTGATCCCATCAGATGCCACAAGCTCAAACTTAGCCTCACACAAACTGACATCAGATAGAGAAGATGCCAGCCTGTTTGTTAAAACACGCTGCCTCTGCTCACCTTACTGACAAGAATGTCTGTAGCTTCAAAGTGTCTTCCAAACATTTTGGGAGATTCACCAGGAATAGGTTCTATTTTAACACAGACTTCTTGTCCTTTTTTTGCAACATCCACTTGTTTATGGTTTATTTCAATACTCGTTACTATTCCAATGTCGACAAACTGTAAAATAAGAACAAAGTATAATGCGTACTAAGGAAATCACGCCTCCGATCTTGTCATGACAAACCAGACGAATTAAAAACTGGAGCAAAAGAGCCTACTTTCCATACCTTGGCAGTAGGAATCTAACAGTCTCCATAATACTCATGAACACCAATTCATACCTTAGCTCTGGCCTTGACAAAATAGTTAACAAGGGCAAAAGATCATTTAATGTGCTTTGTAAGTTCTTGGTCCTGATGCAATGTCTTGTCTTACGAATGTTCTACCTTTCATGGGACCAATGCCACATTAAAAGCAAGAAGCAGGCACAGAGATTCTAAGTTACAAAGGAGCTTGACTGAAGCATGTGGTGGCAATTAATTCTGGAAGACATGCAGGGAAAACAAAGAATGTAGCTTTGAGAAAACCCTGGCTGCCATGTAGGGATACACAGTGAAAATGTAATCTGTTTTGGTGTGTGGAAGGCCAAAGCCACAAACAAGTCACTAATGGCCAATGAAACAGCATCCAAGCAAAGAATGCCAAAGTAGTGTTTCCCTCAAGGAGTCAGGTCTGGACAGGGAAGTATTAAGTGAGCCTGGGGTATCTTGCTGAGTCAGAAACCAAAGCAAATGCTGCATGTGATCTGTGTGTGCCCTCCCCTGGCCATTCTAAATGCACGATGTATCCAAAGTAATGGTAGATAATACTCAGATGGCTCTAAGTGCACAATTTCATCACCACTTATGTAATAACTGACCTTGGTGAAGATTGCCAGTGGGTACTGAAGCCAGCAGAATAAAGATGATTAGGGTGAGTACTTCATAGATAACTTGTAATTGCAAAAGGGAAAAACACTTGTTTTTCTGATGGAAATTTGACAGGAGCCTCTTGCATACTTCCCAAAGGAAATCCTGTACAGTCATCCCAGTCTGAACCACATAGGAACTCTTGAAAACACCACACACACCAAAAAAGGCCCAATACAGCACACACTGAATTACCAAAAACACATTTGAAGCAACTGGTGTAATGTGAATGAGAACCAGGAATGACAGAACATAGCTGAAGTACTGCTAATTTTCCTTGCGTATGTAATCACTATCAGGCAAAATAGGGGTCTTCAATATACTATCTTTAAAATTTTTCCCAAGTCTTCAAGATCTAAAAGGGGACTATAAGAGTAATTTAGGACCCTAATTAAACAAGTGCTAAGACTCAACCAGCAATTTATACGATACCATGGTGCATATTAGTGGGTGACAAGCTCTGCTTGTTTCAAATTTTTTCACCTTTGTTTACTGAGGTGAAAAAAATTTCCAGAGTAGACACCCTGTTAAAAACACCCCGCTATTATCAACTACAGGCACACACACTTGCCACCACTCTGCTGCCCATTTGCTGCTTTTGTATGTATCTGCAACTTACATTTTTGCTTGGGACACACATGGGTGTCCCCTGTTTCACCTGTCCTGCTTCCACAGTTACCCCCATCACGATTGGATCTCGAGAATTGAAAATATACTGAGGGAGGATTTTCATCTTGCAGGGAAATACTGCTATGTGCCTGAAAAGAAGAAACAAGGAATTTTTATGCTTACAAAATTGCTTAGGCACGGTAGACGGAAGCAACTTCCTTCAGAGGCTGCATGGGGAGTAGGCCAGGCACTGAATCCCTTGGGTGCTTCCTGTGTGCCAGCGTACCTAACCCAGCCTGTGAACGCTGGAGATGCTTTGCAGCACCATCCTGCAGCTTGCAACCCTGGCAGGCACAGTGTTTGGCACGTGGATTAAGTCCTCCCTTTTCTACACCATGTTCCCACATTGTTGATCCAAAAGACCACTATGTGGTCAACTTATCACATATGTTTAAAAAGCTTTCAAGATTCTAGAATTCCTCCAAATCAATGGAATCAAACCACCTTCACGTTTCACAATCTAAAGAAACAGTATCCCAAACTAAGTCCCAGTATTTCCCAATCAGCTCTACTTTAAGAATTTATCATAAATTCAGCCATGCCTCTTTCGACAATAACTCTTCTTGTATTCAGTCATTCTTAATTTCATTTTTGGTATACGAAGTAAATAAAATTAACTTACTTAAATTCTTCTTGTTTCTGTTTCTTGTAGTCTTGTCTGTACTTTGTAAAGGCATCAAATAAATGATAGATGATTTCTGCACTAAAGATTCTAACTCCTAAACTATCAGCCATTTCTTGTGCGTCTCGTTCAATTCTCACATCAAACGCCAAAATTACTGCATACCTTAAAAAGAAAAATATTGAAGCTCATTCAGTGAAAAGCGGTGTGGCACACAGGGCAGTGGTTAACACAAAGGCTGCCGAGCTAAAGAATTACTTACTGAGGATCATGTTCTAGCATCACTGAAGCTTTCATAACATCTTTTTTATGGACTGGGCCAATGTTAATTCCTGCATACTGAAAAAGAGGGGTTCTGAATTTTCTGCCTACTTCTGGAGGTCATGGTAACAGTATCCCAAACCACAGCCAAGCTGATCTGCAGAGCAGAGTACAATTACTTACGGGCACTTCGGATGTTTTGAGAAATTCAAGTAGAGCTTCCAGAGAGCCCAGTGTAGATGCCTGGACATAAACTCCTTTCTCCTCCAATTTAATAGCATTTAGTGTCTGCTTTAACTCATGGATCAATTCATCCTTGAAATGCAAAAAGATTTAACCAGGTTATTCATCTTCAGCCTCAGATAAAATGGTTGCAAAATCATTTTATGTGCTCATCTGAAAACACAGAGTTTAGGCTTAGAGCAAGTGTAGCGTAAGGGATTTAGGAGCCATATAGCCGTACAGCTTGCCATATCTGACTTCACCCTCATCTGCCCTGGGTTTACCGACTGTGTAGCAGAGTGACCTCTGTGACACCTGACAACTACAGGACACGAGTGAGCTGAATGAAACAAAAATCCAACTTTAAAAGTATCAAATATATTGATAGCCACAAAACTCTGCCTATTTTCATTATAAAATCCCATAATCATGACATCAGTGGCTCTTTCCTCAACCACTGAACCCCTGCAGAAGATGACTTTTTCACTAGCAGCAAGCTAAAATGATTGATGCAACCAATCCCACTCGGGACTTGAAACAGGTCAACAGGCTGTGAGGCGTCGAGTCCCTGATGGTGGGTCTCATGTTTCTTAAGCGGGTGTGGGTGTGTGTGTGTGTGTGGTTGTGGTGGTGGTAGTGGTCAGAGCATGTTGGAGCTACACGCTGCTAACAGTTGCTACAATTAAAAGCCTGCCTTTGTGACACTATGCTGGATATGGGCCACTTGCTCGTGTGAATAAGCAAGCAGGCTTTGAAATGACAAACAAGTAAAAATATTTTATTTAGCCCTTTCTACATTCGTATATCTAAAAACAAAAACAGCATCTCGAAGCTTCCAACTCTGATTTGATAAACTTCAAGTATTTAAAAGCATTAAGTCTGCTAAGGATGCAATCCGGATGCTAAGCTGTACAAAATCAATTCCTCATTTCAGTCACCATTCCCAGCACGTTTTCATTGGTTTAAAAGCGGACTCACTTTGAGAACAGGAATTTCATCTTCCTTATACGCCACGAGGAGAGGTAGGCCAGCCAATGTTTTCTCCAAGTCTTTTCCAAGAATCTTCACCCCCTGAGCTGCTTCTACTTCTTTATGCTTCTCATACTGGTTCTACGCAGAGAAAAACTGTCATGACTACTTAACTTGAAAATGGTTAGCAGGACATATTCTCCATAGCCTTGGAGTCAGAAAATCACTAACCTAAATACAAACTGTAATAATCATGAAGTTCAAGACAGACAAAGTCAACAGTAAGTATAGCTTATTCTAGCAGTTCAGACACCATGTGCCAAGTCGGAGTGGCCTGCATTGTGTGCTCATTTTTGTTCCCCAATTACAGCTTCCTGCAAGTGCAGACCCTGCCTGGGCCAGCGGCTATGGGCTCAAGTCCCTCGGTTCCTGCTACACATGCGGGAGACGTGGATCACATCTCCACCCAGTCCCGACCACTGTGGACATTGGGGGAACCACCAAATGGACAGAGTGACTCTTTCCCTTTCAAATGAACTTCAAAACTAAAGTATTATCATTTCTCAAAATGATAGATAAAAATTAATGCATCACAGGTCTGGCTTGGTAGCCTAGTGGCTAAACTCAATGCCTTGCACATCCCAGGATCTCATCTGGGCACCAGTTCTAACCACAGTGGCCTCGTTTCCCATCCAGCTCTCTGCTTGTGGCCTGGGAAAGCAGTAGAGGATGGCCCAAGGCCTTGGGACCCTGCACCCATAAGGGAGACCTGGAAGAGGTTCGAGGCACCTGGCTCCTGGTTGCAGATTGGCACAGCTCTGGCCATTGCGGTTACTCGGGGAGTGAGTGAACAAACAGAAGATCTTCCTCTCTCTCCTCCTCTCTGAATATCTGACTTTCCAATAAAAGTAAAATAAATATTAAAAAAAAATTTTTTATTTAGCTGCATCACCTAGTAGGGGATTTATACAATATACAACCTCATACTAATCTGGGAGATACAGTGACATCTCTGGTATGCCTGTAAGATAGACAATTGAGGAGGAAAATGGAATTTCATAAAGAAACAATTAGCAAAGTAATAACTGAACATTCACAATCAAGAAATGGAAACAGTAAGGAATGTGGCATACTAACCCACCAGAAAGGACAAACTAAAATCCTGACGACATCAAAGAACTGATAAAGAAGTGGAACAATATAAAACTAAAACCCTGCAGCTGGGAGTTTTTTTTTAAAAGATTAATTTATTTTTATTGGAAAATTAGATTTACAGAGAGGAGAGACAGAAAGATCTTTATCCGCTGGTTCAGAGTGTAAGTTTCTATATCAACTGTGAAGAGGAGTGTGACCATACCAAGTAAAACTAGAACCCAGAGCCACGTCACAGCGGCTGCATCAGACACCTGACATAAGCAAGAGAGCAGATTAAGCCATGCCAGATTCACCACATGGAAGAATGTGTAACTTTTTTTGACAGCAAGGAGCCAGCAATGGCATACTTCAAAGTCTGTGGAAGAATAGCAGCTAGAGTGCTGAAGCTGAAGACTCACATTTCACACAGAAATACGTGGGCTTGGATTCCCAGCTTCTGACCAATGCAAGCTGGAAGGGTGGCGGTGGCGGGAGGTTCCTGGGTCTCAACTTTAGGCACACCCAAGTCCAGGTACTGACAGCATACCAGCCAGCAGGTCACTATCTCTGTCCCTCAAATATGTAAATATTTCATTTAAAAGTTCATGGATCAAAGGGCTGGAATCACGGCACAGTAAGCTAGATTTCTGCTTCGGCTCTGGCATACCACAATGATCACTAGTTCAAGTCCTGGCTGCTCCACTTTTGATCCAGCTCCTGGCTTATGGCCTGGGAAAGCATCAGAGGATGGCTCAAGTTCTTGGCCATGGTGGGGGACAGGAGGGGCTCCTGGATTTGGATTCAGCTCTGGCCACTGCAACTATTTTGGGAGTGAACCAGCAGATGAAAGATTCCTGTAACTCCCAACCTTTCAAAACAAAAATGGTGGGATGAAGCAGCGTCTGCACCCTGCTCATCCCCACAGGCACCGGATGTGTCCTGGCGCTCCTCTTTCAATGCAGCACCCAGATCAAGGCTTGAGAAAAACAATGTAGGATGGTTCAAGTTTTCACCTCATCCATGTCGGGGATCAGGATGAAGCTCATGGCTTTAGCCTGGCCCATCTGGGACACCTGGGCAGTGAAGCGCTCCCTCCACCTCCCTTAACTCTTTCCAATCAAAACACCACAAGCCTTTTTAAAAATCTCACGAATAATGTATGCTATGAATACAGCAGAATTCAATTTCAGAACTTCTACTCAAACACAAGTATCTTTTAACCACGTTTCCACAAACTCTGGAATGTCCTTGTACAGATACACACTGAGCACAGAGATGTCCTGCAGGTCCATGAGCACGCGGTCAAGGCCATCCGCTCCCATCATGCATCTCTGGTGACACTCGGGAAGCGCAGAACGGACACTGCTCTGATCTTCACATGGCTGCTGCCCAAGAATTACCTTCACCCCGGCCACAATGGGCCATGGTGGAATCAATCAGCAGATGGAAAACCTGTCCTCCCTGCAACTCTTTCAAATAAATAACTTATATCTTAAAACATTACTGAACCAGGCCCGGAGCAATAGCATAGTGGTTAAAGTCATAGCCTTGCACATGCCGGGATCCCATATGGGCACCGGTTCTAATCCCGGCAGCTCCAATTCCCATCCAGCTCCGTGCTTGTGGCCTGGGAAAGCAGTCAAGGACGGCTCAAAGCCTTGGGACCCTGCACCTGCGTGGGAGACCCGGAAGAGCTCCTGGCTCCTGGCTTCAGATTTACTCGGCTCTGGCCGTTGCAGCCGCTTGGGGACTGAATCTTAAGACAGAATATCTTCCTCTCTGTCTCCCCCTCCTCTCTGTATATCTGCCTTTCCAATAAATAAATAAATAAGTAAATAGGGCCTGGCACGACTGCATAACGGTTAAGGTCCTCGCCTTGAACGTGCCAGGATCCCATATGGCCGCTGGTCTAACCCCAGCTGCTCCACTTCCCATCCAGCTCCCTGCTTGTGGGCTGGCAAAGCAGTCAAGGATGACCCAAAGCCTTGGGACCCTGCACCCGCGTGGGAGACCTGGAAAGAAATTTCTGGCTCCTGGCTTCAGATCAGCGCAGCGGGCCACTAAGGCTATTTGGGGAGTGAATCATCGGACCAAAGATCTTCTCTGTCTCTCCTCCTCTCTATACATCTGCCTTTCCAATAAAAAAAAAAATAAATCTTTGAAAAAAATAAAAATAAATAAAATCTTTAAAAAAAATTACTGAGCCTTCCATTTATCTTATGTACTTCTCAGTATGAATGTCTAACTCTTTCAAAAGTTAATGGAGAATCAGTTAGCAGTACAGAGCTGAAAGGAAGTATGTTCAGGAGATCATATGTAGTAAATGTAAGTGACAATAAAAAAAAAATTCACAGAAAATTAGATTGATGCAAAAACTGTACATAGATTTTAGATTGTTTTACAGATCAAAATAAACATTTTCACTCTGACAGCTGAGCAGCTAAACAAAATGGAAACTGAGCGATCTGTATTGTGCACTAAGTCAGGCACTCTGAAAGCAGAACGCAACCTCAGCAAAAATCTCAACTCCAACCTCACTTGTCAGCACTTTCCAACTGGCTTACCTTCACACGTAATTCCTTCATAGGAGGAGGTAACAAGAGACCCCGAATCTGAGTTACAATGGGCCCTTCCACTCCAGGAACAATGATCGTATCTCCTTCCTTCAAGCGGCCATTGATCAATATGACATCTATAGTGGTGCCCATTCCAGGGAGAGCTTTAACCTAACAGACAATATTGCAAAGGAAATGAAACCTGTTCAGCGCACCAGGTTCAGTAAGTCTACAAGCAGTAGATATCTAAACACCAAGAAATTAAAAGAAAAAAGTGGCAAGAAAACCATTACCTCCATCACCTGTGCTCTTAGCTCTTCACAGTGCGCAAGTCTCTTGCTCAACATGGTCTGAGTTAACTCGACAAGCAGGTAGATGAGACTTCCCATGCCGTCACCCGTATGTGCAGAGGTAGGTACCAAGGACACAAAAGTGCGGGGATCTTTATTCTCATAAAACAAAGCAGCATTCAAACCCTGCAATCAAAAAAGTATTTTTTTGCAAGCTGCAAAAAGGAGATACCTGAAGGAGGAATAACTAGAAGTTAAATGAACAAATAGGCAACCATTCAAAAAATGGTCATGTTTATTCTGCAGGCATTAGCTATATTACAGAAAAGTCGTTTCTAAGTATGTTTTTAAAATTAAGACATTCAGAATGCAAAGACAGACCTATGAAACAGCATTACAGTAACAGAAAGGAAAGGAGATAAAGCAAAAAAAAAAGATACACTAGTTAATAGGGGAATAGGAAGGGTACTGATGAAAATGGTGACTTGATTATAAATATAATATAAATATTGTATGATAGGTTCTTCAAACAGGAGGAAGAGCTTTTTTACCTGCTGTGCAAATTCAACAATAATAGCCTTTGCTCGCTCCTCAAATTCATCTTTTGTATTCTTTTTCTGCTTCTTTAAAGTAGCAGCCACATCAGAGTCAGGACTCTTTTTCCAATCATACAACCTATCAATCTGCAAAAAAATTTTTTTCATGAGAAACATCTCTAAAAAATTTAGGAATATTCAAAAATTTAACATCAGTAGTTCCAGAAAATTCCTAAAGTAGATCTTATATATGTAGAATATACATATATTATATATGTAGAATATACATATATATTTAGAATATATATGTAGGATATACATATATATTCACTGTACCAAAGTTCCTTATGACCAATCACTGCACTTCTTCTTAAATAACAAATTACTGATGTACCGATGTAACCCGCTACCCGCAGGCCTTTATACAGTTCACAGGTTGTAACTCGTGTAAGCTGAGATAGAACAACTATGCTGTGGGCAGTAACAGCTGTCAAAATTTCAAGTTTTGTGAATGGTAGGCAAGAACGAGTATTGGGGCCAGAGCTGTAGAGTAACAGGCAAAACTGCTGCCTGTGTCTTGGGCAACCCCACATAGTAACCAACTCAAGACTCAGCTGCTGAGCTTCCAATCCAGCTCCCTGCTTGGGCCCGGCACAGCAGCCTAGAGGCTAAAGTCCTCGTCTTGCACGTGCCAAGATTTTGTGTGGGTGCCAGTTCTAACCCCAAGAGCCCAAATTCCCATCAGGCCCCCTGCTTGTGGCCTGGGAAAGTAATGACAAACCAAAGCCTTGGGATCCTGTATCCACATGGAAGTGCCAGAAGAGGTTCCTGGCTTCAGATCGGCTGAGTTCTCGCCATTTGGCCACTTTGGTAATCAATCAGTGAATGGAAGATCTTCCTCTCTGTCTCTCCTCCTCTCTGTATACTGACTTTCCAATAAAAATAAATCTTTAAAAAAAAAAAAAGGCAGCAGCAGTTCCTGGCTTTGTCCTGCTCCTGGCACAGCCCTAGTCATTGTGACTATTCTAAGATTAAACCAGTCGACAAAAGAGCTGTTTCTTTTCCTTTATCTCTGCCTTTCAAATAAATAATGTGACCAAAAAAAGTCAGGACTAAGTACAGCAAAAATCTGCATACATTCACACTAAAATAGTAATTTTTCAGAACAGCATTTTGATAACTATTATAGCACAAGTGAAGATCAAACCTAAAAGTTCTGTAGAGACAGATTTTTCAGAATCTTACGTTTTTTTCAACAAGAGTGAGAAAAAACCAAAGGAAAAGTATTTAACAGTAAAACCAAAAGATATGAACTGGATACTCAAGACTAGGGTGATAATATCAAGAAGTAGGTCAATCTGAAAGCTAACAAAATCAATCAGTAAAAATAAATCCAGAAATGAGAAAGGTGACAAAATTAACATTAGGAGACATAAAACAATTTTTAAAAATATATTTAATAGCTTTAAAAGGAAAATCCTAAAAACAATACTTGAAAGTTATAGAACTAAGAATACACTTATACAACTTCAAATGAAGATTTCAGTGAGTGAGCCAAAGCTAATTAATACATGCAAAAGGAATGATCAGTGGTCTTGAAGACAGAACAAAAATTAAGCAAACTGAAGAAATAAAGACAAGATCTACATTTTGTGACAGAACAAAACTAAGAACTAGAATGCTAGAAAATCTTAGATTTCTACTAACAAAAAAAAAAGGGAAACAGAAAAAGCACTTGAAGAAATTATAGTCATTGGATTTTAAAAATTTAAGTTACACCACGAATCATAAATTCACAAAAATCACTATCAGTCCAGCATGATAAAAGATTAAGATCTTATGACACTGGTAAAACCCCAGTCTTAAAAGCAGCTAGAGTGGAAGAAATACACACCACCACAAAGGATGACTGGAGATAAAATTAAAACAAATGGCATTTATTAGCTTAGAATTCTCCACCAAATAGACATCATATAGATGTGAAGATGAATTAATTTTTTCAAAAAAAAATATACAACTTGGCATATATTCTAGTTGGCATGTATCTCAAAGAAGTTTAAGAAAAGTGGTTCAAGCTGAACAATACAGTCAAAAGTAAGCCTGAATCTGCATACAGATGTTACATGGGTGAATACAAAGATTTCTCAGGGGAAGTGAATTATTAGATGGGAACTAATTCTGTGCATGTATCTGGAATAAATAATTCAAAAATTGTGAAAGTATTATTAATTAAAAGGAAAATTATATGTTTAGAGCCAAAATATTAATACACTATGAATTCATAACTTGCAAAATGTAAAATAACAGTGTAAAAACACAGGATAAATATCACAGTAGTATATTACTATAATGTTCTTAGAGTTTGGAGCTGCTGGGAGTCCTGGACCAGGTCGGACTCCATTCTTGGGCCTAGCTCCAGTCACCGCAAACACACAGTGAGCTGTCCCTGGGCCTGCACGAGCTCCAGGGGCTTTTTCCTTCCTGGTGAGTATGCTGAGAGGGAAAGCCTGGAGAACAGGGCGGGCGAGGGCTCCACCAGCTGCCAACATCGTGTGGTGAGTGGGATCAGGAGGGTGCGACCTTGGCATCTGGGTAGGAGAACTTCCAGCAGCCTGCTGGCTGTTGGGAGGTCATGGGCCGGGTTGGACTCTATGCTTGGGGGCCCTGGCTCCAGCCATCACGACCATGCGGTGAGCTGGGCCTGGGTGGCCAGTGCGCCATTTGGCACCAGGCCCCACCTGCTGGTCACCAGGTAGCAAGTTCTGGGGTCTTGGGAGTATGGAATTGCTGCCTAGATACGTCCAATGTTGACCCCACTGTGCTTGTGGGTTGCAAAATCAATCCTGAAGGACTCCCAATGACAGAGAACTTTTCCTTGAAGGTGAGCAAGGGTACTGAGACCTGGTGGTTTAGAGGAGAACGGATGATCTGTATGGGTCACACTGATATACCAGCCTATTTTTGAGTCATGTGTAGAACTTGTTATCACCGAACAATGCTGACCACAACACACCAGTCCAAGCAAAAGTAAAGGCTGGGGGCTTGTCCTGCGGGGCCAGATTCTAGTACCTGACAGAATGCTGGATCAGGGGATGGACGGGTCACATCAGGCAGGGCCATGAAACTGCTAAAAATGTCTTGAAAACAGGATGCTGTACTTTCTCCTACTACTTGTACCTACACTGTTATGATACACTTAAATAGCCTGGGAAAGCCCAATGCCTTGGAACCCTGCACCCAAGAGCTCCTGCCTCTTGGCTTTGGACTGGCTCAGCTCCAGCTTTTGTAGTCACTTGGGGAGTGAATCAGTGTATGAAAGATGTTCCTCTTTGTCTATGTATCTGACTTCCCAATTAAAAAATAAGTCTTAAAAAAATAGCTGGAAAAAACTTTTAAATTTTATTTATGTTTATTTGAAAGACAAAGAAAGGAGCAGTGTCCACCTGCTGGTTCACTCCCCAAATGCACATATAGCTGAAACTGGGTCACATCAACCCAGAGACCTGGAACTCAGTCTGGGTCTCTATTGTGTGTGACAGGGATCGAAGTACTTCAGCCATCATTACCTGTTACTTCCGAGGGTATACCTGAACAGGAAGCTAAGAGAAAACATGGCAGTTGAACTGAGAAACCCTCATATGTTTGCAGGCAGCTCGAGCAGTATCTTAACTGCAATGGCCAAATGTATGCCCTGCCAGAATGTTTACAAATTAAAACAACCTTTAAGATGATTGGTCAAGAGCCCAGCATGATGACTCAACTGGCTAATCTTCTGCCTGGCTCACATATGGACACTGGTTCATGTCCCACTGCTCCACTTCTCACCCAATTCCCTGCTTAAGGCCTGGGAAAGCAGTAGAAGATGCCTTGGGACCCTGCATGCACATGGTAAACCAGGATGAGGCTCCTGGCTCCTGGATTTATAGTGGCTCAGCTCTGGGTGTTGCAGCCATTTGGGGAGTGAATCCGCAGACGAAAGATTTTTCTCTGTCTTTCCTTCTCTCCGTAAATCTGCCTTTGTAATAAAAACAAATAAATCTAAAAAAAAAAAAAAGGAAAAGAGGAGGGGAGGAGAAGGGAAGAAAAAATAAAATTTCCTTGGTGTATTTCTTATAGCTAGAGGCTTAGCACAATGGCTAAGATGCCACGGGGATGCCATGGGAACCAGAAGGTGGTGCCTTAACTATCTGGTCCTATTACTCACAAAAACTGAGAATGAGTTTCAGACTGCTGGCTAGGCCTGTCACAGACCCAGGCGTTGGAGTGATGCAGCACATGGAACCTCTCTGTAATTGGCCTCTATCTTTTAAATAAACAAATGAAAACAACCTAGAACTAACATTACAGTCAAAGGTCTAAGACTGAACATATTCTAAAATGAAAAACAAGCAAGGATGTCCATCATCACTTCTATTTAAGCCTGATCTAAAAGAACCAGTTAGCGCAATAAGGCAAATAGATTTATAACACACACAAATAAGAAGGAAAACATAACATTTACATATGGAAAACAGAAGTGCTTAAAAAGCTCAATGAAGAAGCCCCTAGATATAATCAGTAAATCTAACAGATCACAAGCAGCAAATATGTAAGTATCAATGGCATTTCTAGATAACAGCCATAAATTCCAGATGAAAAACAGACATACATTCTAAAGGTTTAAAAGCTATTTACAGCAGCATCAAAACCGTAAGAATTGGATGAATGTAGAAAAATGAACAATAAAATCATAAAATAATGCCAAGGCCAAATAAAGAATCTAGATATATACAGAAATGCCATTGTTCACTGATCAGATTAAAGATTATTAAAATATCGCTTGACTCAAAATTCATCTATAGATTTAATGCAATCCCATTAATGAACAGAAATTAACAAGATGAGTTCACACTTCAAATTGAAACTCAAAGACCTAAACAGTCAAAACGCTTTTAAAAAACAAAGTTAAAATGCTTGCCTGCCACTACTGGATTTCCAATCTTGACAAGGAAGCTACAATCAACAAGATAAAGATGGGGCCAGCATTGTGACACAGTGAGCTAAGAAGACACTGGCAGACATCCACCTGAGCACAGTTCAAGTCGCAACTGCTCCACTTCTGACCGATTTCCCCAGGAATGGGCCTGGGAAAGCAACTGAAGGTGGCTTCTGCCACCCACAAGGGAGACTCGGATGGAGTTCTACGCTCCTGGTTTTGGCCTGGTCCAGCCCTAGTCCCAGCCATTTCAGGAGTAAGCCAGAAAATGGAAGCTCTCTCCTGCTCCCCTCAATTCTTCCTCTATAATTTCGCCTTTCAAATAAGTAAATAAATCTTACCAAAAAAAGCTATAGAAATCAATGAAACAGAAGAAAAATTCCAGAAACAGATATATGCAATCAATTAATCTTTAGCAAAGACTTCCAAGTAATTCGATATATGAAAACAAAGATTTTTAAGTAACTGAATATCCAAAGGATAAAAAAGCAAGCTCTGGGCCTTACCTATTACTACACAAATTAGTCTCAGTGCAAAAGCTAAAACTTCTGAGAAACACTGAGAAAATTTTAATGAACCTGATATAGGAAAACAAATGAAGGATAAACCATAACAAAAACTTAAATGTTATCAAAACTGGAAATTTCTTCTGCTCCAAATAGTCAAAAAATGATAACCAAGAGTTCCAGAGGACCCTGGCATGATAGCCTAGTGGCTAAAGTCCTCGCCTTGGAAATGCCAGGATCCCACATGGGCACCGGTTCTAATCCCAGCAGCCCTGCTTCCCAACCAGCTCCCTGCTTATGGCCTGGATAAGCAGTCCAGGACGGCTCAAAGCCTTGGGACCCTGCACCCACGTGGGAGACCCAGAAGAGCCCCTGGCTCTGGAATGGCTCAGCTCCAGCCATTGCGGTCACTTGCGGAATCAATCATCAGACAGAAGACTTTCCTCTCTGTCTCTCCTGCTCTCTGTATATCTGCCTTTCCAATAGAAATAAATTTAAAAAAAAAAAAAAGTTCTAGAGGGCAAACTGTCATATGCAATAAACTGACAAAAGAGCTGTGTAAGAAATAGCTTTAAAGAGTCCATAGACAACGAAGTTAAAAGCTGTATGTGCAGGTCAGGCGTTAAGACTCAACGTTACAAGCTCAGATGTAACACTGGGATCAAGCTCTGCCTCCCAACTCCAGCTTCCTGCCAAGCAGCCAGGAGGCAGCAGGTGACAGACCAAGTAACTGGCTTCCTGCCACCTGTGTGCAAGACCCAGCTGCAGATCCTGGACCCTGGATCCTGCCTGTTGCTGGCACTGGACAAACAATCCTACAAATAGAAGCTCGTTCTCTGCCCCTCTCCTAGTTTTCAAATAAAAATCCTTTAAAAAAGATAATGTGGGGGCCCGGCGCAATGGCGCAGTGGTTAAGGTCCTTGCCTTGCACGCCCGGCATTCCATATGGGCGCCAGTTCTATCCCAGTGGCCCCGCTTCCCTTCCAGCTCCCTGCCTGTGGCCCGGGAAAGCAGTCGAGAACGGCCCAAAGCTTTGGGACCCTGCACCCACGTGGGAGACCCGGAAGAGGCTCCTGGCTTCGGATCGGCATAGCATTGGCCGTTGTGCTCACTTGGGGAGTGAATCATCGGACGGAAGATCTTCCTCTCTGTCTCTCCTCTCTGTATATCCACCTTTCCAATAAAAAAAAATAATAAAAAAATAAATCTTAAAAAAAAAAATGTGGGAGCCCACATGCTGGTGCACTGGGCTATGTCAGTGCCTTTAAATTGGTACCCTGGGGCCCGGCGCGGTGGCGCAAGTGGTTAAAGGTCCTCGCCTTGCACGCCCGGGATCCCATATGGGCGCCGGTTCTAATCCCGGCAGCCCCGCTTCCCTTCCAGCTCCCTGCCTGTGGCCTGGGAAAGCAGTCGAGGACAGCCCAAGGCTTTGGGAACCTGCACCCGCGTGGGAGACCCCGGAAGAGGCTCCTGGCTTCGGATCGGCATAGTATCGGCCCGTTGCGCTCACTTGGGGAGTGAATCATCGGACGGAAGATCTTCCTCTCTGTCTCTCCTCTCTGTATATCCGCCTTTCCAATGAAAAAATAACAAAAATAAATCTTTAAAAAAAAATAATAATAAATTGGTACCCTGTATGGGTGCTGGCTTGAATCCCTGCTGCTTTGCTTCCAAACCATCCTCCTGATTAAGTGCCTGGGAAGCAGAAAATGGCTCAAGTGCCATTTGGAATACCTAACTGGAGTCAACATGGAATACTTAACTGGAGTCAAAAACATAAATAAAATATAACATGCACTTTCATAAACTTTGTGAAGATCTCCTTACAAAGACTCATAAAAATCAGCAATGCACCCCAACTGTAGACAATTACTTAGGTTGCCTTGTACCTAGGCAAGTGTTACAATTCTGGAATAAAAGCAGTCAGTAGCTGGTGGGCATTGTGGGCCTGGTTAATGCTAATTCTGTGTAAACTATGCCTGTATACCAGCATAGTTGCCTATTCCAGTATCTCGTGAAAGATCTGGGGAGAAGGAGCAGATTGCACATAGAGCCACCACAGGTGCATGACAGCCAGGGCCACCCACCATTATCACCACCACCATGATGGTGGGGCATCCACCAACCGTGCCACTGTGCCTCCAGGTCATCAATGGAGCTGAGACAGGGTGGATCACAAGGAAGAATCACAATGGCTGCCCCTCACACAAAAACAGAGAGCATACCCAGATGAACATGAAAGGAGAGCCTCATGTTCACATATCACAAATGGCTCGCACAAGCCAACAGAAGACTGAATATCTCATCAAAAGATGAAAAGGACAGTTTGAACACTCCACACAAATCTGGGGTCACACTGAGGTAAATAACAACAGCTAACAGATCTTAGAAAGGATTTCATATCTGTCAAAGAAGAAAGCCAAGAAGCTCTCAGAACAATCAAGACCACTCAAGCGACATCCTTTGAGTATTCTTCCCCATATCAGGGCCCACTGGGCCTCAAAGACCATTCCCATCTTACAGTACTGATGTGGTGTGCCAGCACACAGCGGCCCACTTTCTGCCCTGCCCCATGGATACAGGAGGGAAAACCTTCATTCCAGCCCTTTCCCTGCCTCCAAACCTCCACTCCCATTCAATCAGAACCAGAGGCTTATATGGGTTTGTAATCCCCTCAACACTGTAACAAATATTTTTAAAAATTAAAAATTCAGTGATGAAGATGATTTTAAAAAGGTGTTCAAACAGACAGATATGTTGCCACCTCTGTAAGAGTCAGGGCATGAAGAGTTGCTCAACATTATCAGCCACAAAGGAAACACCAACTGAACAAAATAGTAAAACATCTATTAGAAGGCTAAAGGTAGACAAATGGCATCCAGGAAGCGAAGCTGTTCTTAAAATTTTCACATTTTTGAAAAGCAAAGAGCCAAAAACACAAACACATACAAAGCAGACAGCATCAACCAAAAGGCTGGATCAGGCTGAAAAGCAGGAACCCTGAACTCCTCAGGGTGTCCCACCTGGAGTGGCAGGGACTCAAGTATTTGAACCATCATCCACTGCCTCCCACATGACACACTGTCCAAGATAAGAACCAGGATGGGATGGAAACATGAACATCTATGGCAGTAACTCCCCACTGAACAGTGGGCCATTCCAGATAAAGGAACTCCTACACAATGCTGATAAAATGGCAAAATAGTAGGGTCTGTGTGGAAAAATGTGTTGAGCTTATCAACTTGAACATTTATACACACTACATGACGCAATGCTATTCATAAGCTTTTAAGGAAACAAAAACAAATAACCATACAACTATATATAGGAAAACAAACATGTCCAACTTAAACCTGAAATAACCTGAAAACTGAATCAATCAAAATGTCCTTCACTGGACAAATAAAGCTTATTATTTGAGAGGTGGAGAATGTCCAGTTTGCTGGCCCTGTAAGTCCTATGAAATCATTAGGTTTGGCCCCACCATGGCAAACACAGGTGGGTGTAGAAATTCAATAAACCTATAGCCAGCTAATTTTTCAGTTGATAACTTTGTATGGTCCAAGAATGGTTTTACAAAAATCTAAATGGTTCTTGATAGGAAGTTGTCCACTCCTGAAAAATGAACTAGAACTCAGAATAAAAAAGAACAATCTATGATACATCCATAACACAAGAAACAACAAATGTCAGATTTAAAACACAACATATTCTGATTTCATTTATAAAATCAACAAATGGCAATACTAGTCAAGGATCGCCAAAAAGAATGCATGACAAGAAACAGGAGCATTAACAATTTTCTGGAAATATGAAGCGAGCTGTTCTCTGAATAACAGCTAAATTTATCCAGGCATGTTATACTGTACACTTAGTATGGAGGCCATTGCCTGTGCTAACTATAATACATTTAATGATTAAAAAAAAATCTTTTTAAAGTTTGTTTTGCCAACTCAATTCTGAAAGAAGTGCTTACCTTATTGAGTGCAACAATGAAGGGACATTTTTTGGATTTGAGAAGGTTAATAGATTCAATTGTCTGGGGCTCCAAACCATGCATTATATCAACAACTAAAATGGCGATGTCACAAAGAGAGCTTCCTCTGTTCCTCAGATTACTGTTGACATAAGGTAAAAGTTGTATAAGCAGAAAATCAAGTTATTTTTTCCCTAAATTATATGATTTCCTTTTAAAACCTAAACAAATAGAAGAAAAGTTATTCTTCAGTATCTATTGGGGGGGGGGCAGGTCGATCCTGGCCCCTCCCCTTCCAAGGTCACCAAAGTCACCAAAACCCTTACATAAAAAACATACATTTTGAAATCCTGATGTAACTTTTTGAAAAACGCTTTTTCCATCAGCTTGATGACCACTTGTATGAATGGATTTCAAAATTTCTGCACCCAAATACACATCCTCTAATTCCACTTTCTGTAAAGTTTTGATTATACTGAGAACATCTCCCTAATCATTTTCATCATCTCTAGATTACTCACATTACCTAATAAAACATACATAAGTGGCTGTTACAACTTTGTTCAACAGTAACAAAACTTAGCATGTTCAGTATGAACACACAGGAGTCTTATCATTTATTCTTAATTTTTTAATATTTTCAAAGTTTGAAAGGCACACAGAAAAAAAAAAGCAGTAAAAGGGAAACGTCAGTGGAGATAAGAAGGTATTTTGCATCTGCTGGCTCATTCCCTAAGTGCTCACAACAGAGGCTGGGCCAACTCCAACCCAAGAGAGCTCCACCTGGTCTCCCACAGGGGCAGCAGGAACTCAAGTATTTAACCAGGCTCTGCTGCTTCCATAGGTGCATTTAGACAAAGCTGGATTGCAAGTAAATGCAGGACATGACCCTAGGCACTACTACATCATAACACTCAACTCAGAAACAAGGTTTGGAAAAATATCTGTAATCTGCTGCAGGTGGAATCAATGAAGGCAGAAACTGTGGATACAGATGGTCAACTATATACATGTTAAATCATATGGGCCCGGTGTGGTAGTCCAGTGGCTAAAGTCATAGCCTTGCATGCACCAGGATCCCATTTGGGCACCGGTTTCTGTCCTGACCATCCTTCTTCCATTCCAGCTCCCTGCTTGTGGCCTGGGAAAGCAGTCGAGGATGGCCCACAGCCTTGGGACCCTGCACCTGAACAGGAGACCTAGAAGAGGCTCCTGACTCTTGGCTACAGTGCAACTCAGCTCCAGCTGTTGTGGCTGCTTAGGGAGTGAATCAGCAGATGGAAGATCTTCCTCTGTCTGTCTCCTCCTCCTCTGTATATCTGCCTTTCCAATAAAAAAATAAAACCTGGGCCAGGCATAGTGGCCTAGCAGCTAAAGTCCTCATCCTGAATGCTCCTGGATCCCATATAGGCACCAGTTACAATTCCAGCAGCTCCACTTCCCATCCAGCTCCATATTTGTGGCATGAGAAAGCAATCAAGGATGGCCCAAAGCCTTGGGACCCTGCACCCACATAGGAAACCCAGAAAGAAAACCCTGGCTCCTGGCTTTGGATCGGCTCAGCTCCAGCCACTGCAGTCACTTGGGAAGTGAATCATCGGACCGAAGATCTTCATCTGTGTTTCTCCTCCTCTCTGTATACCTGACTTTTCAATAAAAATAAGTAAATTTTTAAATTGTACATGTGCCATTAGCCCTCACCTTGCCAAACGCTTCTCTGATACAATGATTTGACCTTTTCCAGAGTTCATTCTGGAAATTAGTATTTCTGTTCATTTTATAAACAAAATGCTTTCATGATAAAGAATATTTCCAAAGGACAAAAATATATTTCATATGGACTGAGATCCACAAAACATAGGCCAGGTATCTGCCAGGATATGCTCTGCATAAAAGGTGTTCTTTCAACACCTACATGAATGAGGCAGAGAAAGTTTGGTAAGTACATGGACCACAGACCTCAAGTAACCACCCAAATGTCAACGACTACTAAACTTGTGAACGCCATGGTTTTAAGAGACTCATAAAGCTTACCTGAAAGACTCGTGCCCAGGAGTATCAATAATCAGCATTCCTGGAATCCGTACATTCTCTCTATCAAACTGAAGACAATGGGAGAAAAGTAGTTTAATGAAGACGTAACAATGAAAGCCCTACCATGAAAATTTAATACATCTTTGCCAAATGAACTCAACGAGTTATAGTATGATGGTTAATATTTTCATTTACATTGGTTCACAGAAAATGCAATGAAAAGCTATCCAATTAAGGTCATAAAGCAAGAGTGTGGTTCAAATTTGAGCTTATTGTTGGATGTGAGGGTGATCTGGCTGCAACATCTGTCACCCCACTGATCGCCAGGGTCGATTCGGCTGATCTGGCTGGCTAGGCGGGTGTCCTCTTCCTCCCTCACCGCTCCATGTGCGTCCCTCCCAAAGTTGCGCGCTCAGTCGAACAGGACGACCATCCCCGCTAGAGGAGGACCGGTCAAGGGTATATGAGTAGCTGCGCTCCCCTGCTAGAACCTCCAAACACACTCTCAAATTTGAGCATACTGTTAAGTTATGATATAAATAACCAAGCAGTAATGAGATTATGTCTAAAATCTGATATGCAAGAGGCAGTTCTCAGTTCTGAGAAGTTCATCTGATCCAATGCTACAACAATTCTCAGCAGTGCCAAAATTTCACAAAGCTATGTCTGAAGTGGGATTTACACATTGATAAAAAATGCTGAATAAATGCACAATTGCTTATTCGGTGCAGTGGATGGCATACCCAGATGTATGGGGCAGGGGATATGGCAATCCACTGGAACCTGAAGAGGACATCTAGTAACATAGCGGAGAATGGAGGACAGAACAAATTGGACAACTCTCCCAACAAAGAGTTGACAGCAAGTATCTAAGCAAATGGAGACTCTAAGGTGAACTACTGTCAGCCAACGGATCTTAGGATTTCCTTATCCTTAAAGCAACGAAATAAATCAACAGCATTTCAAAAGTATCAAAACCACCTGAGCAGTACCCCAGGAGCACGCCTGCATCAGGACCCTGGGAGGACATCAGGTGTCTGCCTGCCCCCATCCTCAGGTAATGATCCAGTTGGGATGCTGGGTGTGGCTTCTCCCCTTCCTCCCTGCTTCCCCCCAGCTACAGGGGGAAAAAAGGAAACTGGAAGCAATGGTCTCCCACTGTAGTCAGTGCTCCATATGGGCATGTATCCTTCTCAACCATATACACATCATCAAATTTTTTTTAAATGCTAAGCAAAACACTTGATTTTCAGAACAAAAGCAAGTAAATAATTGGAAACATTCCAAGAGACCTCATTTGGACAGTCTCTAACATATGCAACAAATTTCATACAGATTCTTCACATGATTATCTACATTACTGCTAATCTTCAAATGATCTGAAATTTTATATTCTAATCCATGTCAAAATGATTCAAACATAAAATGCTTCGTAACTGCATTCTGGAGGCATTAAATCAACAAGCACTAAGTGCCATAACTATTTTCAGTTCAGGTCTCAGCTACAAACAACAATTAACATTGTCACATAAAGGTTATCCCAAGAACTTTAACTCAGGACTAATAATTACCTTGCTCTTTATGTCCTAAAATAACAGAATTTCAAGTTCTGGCAAATGGTGAACTAAGCTGTTATGATGCCTTCAATGACTAACACTGAGTTCATATTCAAAATACACTTAAGTTTGGAAAGGAGCAATTTAAAAACTGTCTTAAAAAATTCATAATTACATAATGAAACAGAGCACCAAATAACCAGAAAAATAAACCAGAGAAATCATCAGCCAGAGGCAAAAAAAAAAAAAAAAAGAAAAAAAAGTTCACCAATCTTGTAAGATAAGGAAGATTGGATCTGGATCAAATTTAACAGTATAACTGCAAGAAATGGGAAATTCAAGATATTTAAGGGAAACAAAAAAATTCTGAACAAAGGATTTCACATACATGGCCAAAAGACCTTCTCGGTAAGCCTACATAATCATTCTTTAATACTCAAAAACTACAAGAATGTTATTCCCATAATTCTTACAAGACCCAGTTGAGTCTTGGGTTTTCTGCATCAAACGAGCCTGGGGCACCATGTTATGTTAAATAATGTAAAATACAAAATGGACCTTTATGGGTCAAATCAATGCACCAGCCCACCCAGGTGACCTAAGGAGCTGGTTAGCAGGGAACACTGCTGACCACAACACACCAGCCCACACAAGCAAAGGCTGGGGCCTGTCTGGTAGGACCCACCAGTGAGTATCTGAATAAGGGATGTGTAGTGTTAGACTAGGCCATGACACTAACCAATACGCAACAGAACTAGGTCCAGGGGTAGATTCTGTGGGGCTGTGTGGCATAACCCTGTGGAACTGCAAGTCCCACTGGTTAGCTTAAAAGTGGACAGTAGTGATGGGCTGAGCTATGTATAATCATTGAACCTGCCGGCAGTCACAGGTAGTAGGGATGGGTAGGTCCAGCCTGTAGCACCAGCTAGTTTACCCTGAAACAGGTTGTGCAGTGGGTTGGGCCACAAGGTCCACCAGCTCATACAAAAGCCAGGATGGAGAGGGCAAACTATGATGGGTTAAGGGCTTACCACCTGCCAGCAAGCATGAGATCTGGGTCTAGGAGTGGGTCTGATGGGGGAAATGGGAAACTCCCCTGGTGGGCCATAGCTACCGCTGATAAGCACATGGTTCAGGTCTGGGAGTGTGTTAGGCCTGGCAAGGTAGCTCCAACCACTGAAAGTGTGGGTTGGTTTTTGGAAGGAAGTGGACCAGACAGGGCCAAATAAACCTTAGCCCACAGGAACCAGAGTGGAGTACAGGTCATGCCAGGCTAAGCCATCACTCCTACTGGTTTGCATGAACCAGGGATGGGAACAGACTGAGCACGGCCAGGTTCCAGCACCTGCCAGCCAAAGTTGGGAGTGGGGACTGGCCAAGTCAGGCTAGGATGTAACATCCAAAGGCAAAGGTTAAGACAGGTGAGGGGATATGACAAGTTGGGTCAGAGCAACCAACGGCAAACACAAGATCTGTGGCTGGGAATAGGCTTGGTTTGGGAGCTAAGGGGATACCTCGGCTAGGTTGTGGTTCCCATTGGTAAGCACAAGTGCTAGAATGGGGGTGGCAACCAGGTCTGGCCATGGCTGCAGTTTCCCTCAGCATGGGAGTAGATTGGATTTGGGGTTCACCAGACTGGGCTACACTCCAGTATCCTATGGTACTCATGAAAACAAGGGTGGGTGTAGGGCAGGCTGGGCTGTAGCACCAAACAGTAAGAATCAAATGGAAACAGGCCAGTCAGTCAGGAAAGGCTACTGTTCTTGTTAGCACAGGAGGTGGACTAAGTCAGGCTGGGCCATGGACCCACCAGTGTGTGCGAAATCCGGCACTGGGAGAGCTGACGGAGGAGCTTTGGGAAATCCTCTGTCAGGACACAGTCCCTTCAACTGAATACAAGAACAAAAGCTGTGAGCAGCCCAGACCAGGTTACAGCATACATATGGCTCCTGTCTGGTGGCAAGCCTGGCTGGGCCAGTTCATATGAACCACTGGCAGATCCAAGAACCAGAACTAGGTGTGGGACAAGTTGGGTAGGGCCACCAAGACCAGCCAGGTTATAGTAGCGCAAGGACTGGGGGCCAGCTGGGCTGGGCTAGGCTGGGCTGTTGTCCCCACCATCATGAGCTGAAACTGGGGGTGGACCAGGTCCAGCCAGGGTACAACACTCATTAACAAATGCTGACATGAAATGGGTCATGGCAGGCTGGGCCACAGCACTCAACCAGCACACATGAGAACCAGGGGGGCAGGGTGCAGGTAGAGGAAATGGAATCCCAGCAGGGACCTGTGGGAGGCTCCCATGCAGGACCATTACTCCCACTGGAGAGCGAAAGAGGTGGGATCAGAGGCAGACCAGGCCAGCCAGTGATAGAACACCTGTTTGCCTGCATGTGGACTGGGTTAAGGGGAAAGCCAGGCTGAGCCGACTACTCACTGGTACAAATAGAGGTCAGAGTAGGTGCAGTTTGGTTGGGCTTTGCCACAGCATCTGCTAGCAGGTGCTGGCACCAGGGGCAAATTCCATCAAGCTAAACTGCAGAACCACCTGGAGAGTGGAAGATCTGGAAGTGGGAATGGGCCCAGAGGGAATTTGTGGGCACCTCTCTCTTAGGTTGCCAGTCCCACTGATGAGCATGAGAAAGAGGACTGGGGGCAGACATGGTTAGAAAGAGAATGGCACCTGCCCACACAAATGTGGGCTGGAGAATGGGGTTGGTTGGTTTGAATTAGGCTTCAATGCCCATTGGCACACGAGAGCTGAATGGGATGTGGGACAGACCAGATTAACCTGCTATACATACTTTCAAGCACAAGAATCAGGGCAGGGGTGGGGCGCCTGGTGGGGGTTATTTGGGGTCGCTCCAATTGGGCCACAGTTCCCACTGGTGTGGGTGAGGGCCAAATGTGTGGTGGGCAGGATCAGACTACTGGGTTGCAATACCCACTGGTTTGCGTAGGAGACGGGGCTAGAGACAGGGATGACCCAGCAAATGCAACCACCAGCGCGCATGGGCTGATGTGGGTGACAGACTGAGCCAGACCCTATATCGGCAAGCACACGCAAGAATTAGGTCTGGGATCACCCCAGACAAAGAGTCTTTGAGGAACCCTTCCTCAACTGAACCACTGGACTTAGGACTCCAACCACTGGGAAAATTACAGGTTCCATGGTCTGTCTGTAGAGTGCATGTGTCAAAGCTGAGCCACTAAGTGGCTCAGATGGAGCAGTGGACAGCATATCCAGGTGTACATGGAGAATATGGCAGTCCATTAGGGCCTGAAAAGGACATCTGGTGCACCAAACAGCAGAAGCAGGCTAGAACAGATTGATCAACTACCTCAGCCAAGTGTTGACAGTGAGTATCTGGGAAAATTGGGTCTAAGGTGGACTATGTCAGCCAGTGGATCCTGGAAGGATTTTATCATACTTGGAGCGGTGAGATCCAAGCTATTCAAAACTATTGAAGTATGAAAACCACTTCAGCGAGACCCTCCAAGCATGGCACACATTGGGGAACCTAGGACGACACTGGATGGTTGTCCACCACATTCCAGGGTACAGAGGTGGTTGGGAGGCTAGATGTGGCTTCTCCCCTTATCGTTCCCCTTCCCCTAGATACAGGAAGACAAAAAAAGAATATGGAAACAATGGTCTCACCCACTTTACTCTAGCCCTTGACCTTTATCACACTAGACAACTATGTGAACATCATCAAAAATTGAAAAAAAAAAAAAAAAAAGACATGAACATATGAATATCTACAGCAACAGTTAAAATACAGAAAAGAATGACAAACAGTGGTTGCCTATGGGAGAGAAAAAGAAAATGGAATGAGAAAACTCTTACCACAAGTACTCCATTAAGAAAAGATCTAAAGCCACTGGGTGAAGGAACAGATAAGTAATTTTGAATGGCAGGGATCTGTTACAATAATTTCTGTTCATTTTGTTACACTGGTTCATAATTCATTTTTCTTATAGAATTAAATATACATACTAAGTACTTACATTTTTAATCATCTTAGTCTGTTCATTAATAGCCTCCAGGGGAACATTGGTGGCTCCAATTTGCTGGGTGATTCCACCTGCTTCACCATCCTGTACATGTGTATGACGAAGCTACAATACAGTGAATACATATCAGTATTTTTGATACAGAAAAACACGGAAGAGCAGTAAGAAATCAGAAATTCATGTGTTCAACTAAAGTGCTAGATATTCTATAAGCCAACAATGAACGGTACAATATTTCCTTACTTTATCTAGAATTTTTGTTTTTCCTGTGTCCACATGTCCAAGTACACAGATAACAGGGGCTCTTAGCTTTTCTGTATTTACATTTTTACTGTGTTCAAGTCGACGTTTCTAGAAACAAACAAAAAATTGGAGGATTAACATTATTTCAGGTACTCACATTCCTTATTTGGCAAGGAAATGACACTACCTACACCCAAATTCTTACTCTTTTGAGTTGTGTAATTTATAATAACAACTTTGCAATTTAATTTCCATGATAGCTCCTCTGAACATAGAGAAACTGATTTAGATTTCAGAGTAGTACTGTTAAATGTAAATTGGGATGCTGTGAAATGTCACCTCAAACTTTTTGAATATTGTTGTATCCGTCATTTTTTACAGACTAATCATTTTATGATACTGAGTATATAGTATATCCCAAACACTAATATGTGGAGAGTTTCTATAAAATGAGGTAAATTTAAAAATTTCCCTACAGTGTTAAGATATTTAACATGACTTCTCTCATACTTTGATCCAATGTACAAATATGACAAAATCTCTGTAGGAAGCAAGTTCATAAGAGTCTGAGCATAAGCAAACCCAATGACATTTCTTGCCTTCATAAGACACTACCACCTCCACAGAGAACAGAAAGAGTAAGGCCTCCTTCGAGCCAGTGTTTCTCTTTGCAGCATTTACCTGAGGTCCAATGGAAAACACAAACTAGCATAGTTCTATTTTGAAACGACCAATCTAAGCACAGTAAACCTGGCATTCAGATCAAGTATTTTCATCAATGTCATTTTTTAAAAACTTATATATTTTTATTGGAAAGCCAGATTAGATTTACGACCAAGAGAGAAAGATTTTCTCTCAGCTGGTTCACTGCCCAAATGGCTGCAATGATCAGAGCTGAGCCCATCCAACCTGAAGGCAGGAGCCAGAGCCTCTTCATGTCTCCCACAAGGATGCAGGGTCCTAAGTCTGGGGCCATCCACCACTGCCTTCAGCGGCCACAAGCAGGGAGCTGGATAGGAAGTGGAGCAGCTGGGACATGAACCAGGGCCCACATAGGATCCCAGCACATTCAAAATGAAGATTTAGCCCTTGAATCATTGCACTGGTGCCATCAATGTTACTTTTGTAAAAGCTCTTTCCTTTATTTCTAACAAGAAATACTGAAGTTTTTCATTGAAGCTACGACAAAAGTTTTTTTTTTTTAATGTCAAATGAGAAATACTAATGTCGATCACAATACAGCCCTTATGAGCCCACAAAGCAGAACTTATCTGGCATGTACTGCACAAGGAACTCATCATATAAACAACTCAAATTTGAACACTATGACTTTTAGTTAGGATTTGATTTGGTTACTAAATGCAGATCTCTTCCATACTTGGTTAAAAAATTCAATGGTTCCGAGCCCAGCACAGTAGCCTAGTGGTAAAAGGATCGCATATGGGTGCTGTTTTGTGTCCTGGCAGCCCCGCTTCCCATCCAGCTCCCTGCTTGTGGCCTGGGAAAGCAGTCGAGGACGGCCCAAAGCCTTGGGACCCTGCACCTGAACAGGAGACCTAGAAGAAACTCCAGGATCCTGGCTTCGGATTGGGGTAACACTGGCGATTGTGACTGCTTGGTGAGTGAATCAGCGGACCGAAGATCTTCCTCTCTGTCTCTCCTCCTCTTTGTATATCTGACTTTCCAATGAAAATAAATAAAATCTTAAAAAAAAAGAATTCATTGGTCACACTAATGACAGACAAGTATACAAATCTATATTTCTCTGGTAATGCTTTCTTTATGCTGTACTGCTTATTAATAAAAACTCAAGGGGGCCAATGTTGTGGTGCAGCACGTAAAGCTGCCACGTGTGATGCTGGCATGCCATACAGGTGCTAAGTTCGTATCCCAGACTCTCCAATTCCAGTCTAGCGCCCTGGCGATACCCTGGGAAAAGTAGCAGGAGATGGGTCAAATATACGGGTTCCCAGTCCCTATGCTGGGAACATGAGTGACGTGCCTGGCAGGGCCATCTAGGGAGTGAATCAGGGAATGGTAGCTCTGTTTCTCTACTATGTAACTCTTTCAAATAAATAATGCATTTTTATAATAAAAAATATTTGCTACAAACATTTGTAATGATTTACTATTCTTTTGTTGGAGATTTCTTAATCAGTTTCCCACCAGATCCCCCAGCTGGCACTTAGCTAATGCCTCTGAATCATGAAGAATCTGACTCAGAGGTCTGGAGTAAATTTCAGAAAGCAAAATGTAGCATGGTTTTGACCCTGAACCGCATTTCCCCAAAATATATAACATTAATGTGTTAATCTCCAATCTGACTGTAAACGGAAGTAATCAATGTGGCATAAAGTGATAAGGAAAGGATCCTAGCATGACAGTATTGGTGCCCTTATAAGAACAGATGCCACGAATTGATCTCTCCACATCTGCACAGAAAGCCGTGTTATGCCACAAGAAAAGGTGTTAAAAATTGTATAAACTTGGGGCCTGCCTTATAGTATGGCTGTGAGGCCAACATTTTTACAAGGGTGCCAGTTGGAGTCTTGCTAATGTGCCTGGCAAAGCATTGGAGGACGGACCAAGTGCTTGGGTCCCTGGTTCCTGGCTCCTGGCTCGAACTGGTCAAGGCCTGGCCACTGCACACATTAGCAGAGTTAACCAAAATAAGGAAACTCAACTTCTCTGAAATCTGCCTCTCAAATTAACCAAAAAATTTTTAAAAGATTTATTTTATTTTGATTGGAAAGTCAGATATACAGAGAAGAGGAGAGACAGAGAGAAAGATTTTCCGTCCAATGATTCACTCCCCAAGTGACCACAACGGCTGGTGCTGTGCCAATCCAAAGCCAGGAGCCAGGAACCTCCTCCAGGTCTCCCGCATGGGTCCCAAGGCTTTGGGCGGTCATTGACCGCTTTCCCAGGCCACAAGCAGGGAGCTGGATGGAAAGTGGAGCTGTCGGGATTAGAACCAGCACCCATATGGGATCCCGGCATGCTCAAGGCGAGGACCTTAACCACTAGGCCATGGTGCCGGGTCCAAATTAACTAATTTTTTTTTTTTTTTAAAGATTTATTTTTATTATTTTTTCATTGGAAAGGCGGATATACAGAGAGAGGAGAGACAGAGAGGAAGATCTTCTGTCCGATGATTCACTCCCCAAGTGAGCGCAACGGGCCGATACTATGCCGATCCGAAGCCAGGAGCCTCTTCCGGGTCTCCCACGCGGGTGCAGGTTCCCAAAGCTTTGGGCCGTCCTCGACTGCCTTCCCAGGCCACAGGTAGGGAGCTGGACGGGAAGCGGGGCTGCCGGGATTAGAACCGGCGCCCATATGGGATCCCGGGCGTGCTAGGCGAGGACCTTTAACCACTTGCGCCACCGCGCCGGGCCCAAATTAACTAATTTTTAAAAGCATATTCTCTGACCTCAAGGGTCAGAATTTAGTATTGTAAATAGCGGAAACTGGGAAAACTCGTAAATATTTGCAATTTTAACAGAATGTTTGAAAATAAGTCAAAAACTATAAGAGAAATTAGAAAATATTTTGCAAAGAATGAAAATAGAAATGCATCAAAGCAATACCAGAAATTGATAATATCAATCCCTGTCTGGCTTCAGAAGCAAGTCTCAAATAATCTAAGAAATTAGACCCCAGGGTTCAGGCCCTGGCAGCAGACCCTGAGGTCACAGAGGGTGAGGCAATGATGGTTCGGAATATCTGCTGTATCACGCACAGTTTTCCACTTTCAAAGGGTAAGAAAGGGGAGGGCAGGAGGAAGTCTTCCGGCAGACCCCACCACCACCAAAGACACCGTAACTGCCTACACGACATGTCTATTTCCCTTCATCTTCTGGTCATGTTCCACGTGGATTCCCCTTGACCTTCTAGCCATGTCGGAGGTCACACTCCAATGTAGGCCTGGAAGCTGTGCCTCAGACCACAGGGAACTAAGGTCTAAGCCCCACCCACCACGCAGCAGGCAGTTGCCCACAATTAGATGAGAACTTAGCAAAAGAAATAAAAACTGTAAAACTCAACAAAACAAAGGAACTAACAAAATATAAAAAGATAAAATTCAGTAAGACCAAAAGTTGGGTCTTTGAGAACATCAAAAACAGGGAAAACCTTCAAACAGAAAAAGAAGTCCTATATCGCTAAAAGTGGGAACAAGGGGCGACCACTGCCTGCCATAGAGAACTTAAAGAATTGTGAAAAGATACCAGAGTACAAATACTGTCAATTTCCAGAAAACTTATCTAAAAAGATACAGATTAGTAGTTGTGGCTGAAAATAAGAAATGACTGCAAACTGGCCAAAGACATCTTTTACAAAAACTTTCCAAAATTGGGTTGTGATACCTGTATAACCCAGTATATTCACAACACATCACTGAATTGTGTATTTAAATAAACACTAATAGATAAATACGTCAACACAGCAGCTTAAAATAATTTACAGTTCAGAGGTCTATAACAGTACACATCTGGGCCCGGCACAGTAGCCTAGCAGCTCAGCTCAGCTCCAGCCATTGTGGTCACTTGGGGAGTGAACCATCGGATGGAAGATCTTCCTCTGTCTCTCCTCCTCTCTGCATTTGACTTTTCAATAAAAATAAATAATTTTTTTTTTAAAAAAGCACACATATCTAAAAACCTTATTATTGAACATTAGATTAACATTTTTAATGTGAGGTTCAATTCCAGAACTATATTTAAAATTTTTATTTAAAAAATACTTTTATTGGGCCTGGCGCGGTGGCGCAAGTGGTTAAGGTCCTCTCCTTGCACGCCCGGGATCCCATACGGGCGCCGGTTCTATCCCGGAGGCCCGGCTTCCCTTCCAGCTCCCTGCCTGTGGCCCGGGAAAGCAGTCGAGGACGGCCCAAAGCTTTGGGAACCTGCACCCGCGTGGGAGACCCGGAAGAGGCTCCTGGCTTTGGATCGGCATAGTATCGGCCCGTTGCGCTCACTTGGGGAGTGAATCATCGGACGGAAGATCTTCCTCTCTGTCTCTCCTCTCTGTATATCCGCCTTTCCAATAAAATAATAATAATAATAAATCTTTAAAAAAAAAATACTTTTCTTTGAAAGACATGCATGAGAGAGAGGCAGGCACATGGAATGACAAGGACAAAAAGCACACAGAGCTCCCTCGCATCACTGGTTTCCCCCAGTGCACGCAACAGCCAGAGGCAGGCCAACAAAAGTCAAGAGGCTCACTCAGTCGGGCTCTATTGTGTGGTTTTAAGGACCTAAGCACACGGGCTGCCATCTGTTGCTTCCCAGGGAGCACAACAGCAAGACACCAGAATCTGAAGTGGAGCAGGTACCCGACCCGGGCACCCTAAAAAGGGACGTGGGCACCCCACATGCCCTCTGAATACACTGCACTAAGCAGCCATTAATCCCTGACACATTTTTCTTTGGAATCAATCATCAAACACTTCAACGTTCCCTCAGAGCACGACACCTGACCAAGTGCAGCGGGAAGAAAGTCACATCGAAATGGAAAACAAACGATCCTGGAATCTAAGAGGGAGAGGCCAAGGAGGCCGCCCTGTTCAACATTTTTATTATAAGGAAGCAGACAGTCCCCATGACCGAAAAGATTCATCTGCTTCAAAAATGTCAACACCATCGGAATGGAGTAACACTAACTTAGAACATATCCTTTTATCCTTCAAAAATGTATATAATTTACCCCTGTCTAGAATTTAAGAGAGGGAAAATAAAAATGTTGCTAAAGTCATCAAAACAAAAACTGAAACATCATATACTGGGATAACAAACACTGAAGCTTAGTGTTAAAAGAACCAAACCAACAGTTTTGTAATATATTACCAACATATTTATCTGACACAATTAGAGGAAACTTGTTCATGAAGTCAGCTCACATTTTCATTTAATAGGAAAAATGCAGAAAGGCTTTTTGATACCTGAACTTTACGAAACAGAAGCCTCTCCAACTCCCAAGGTGCAAACAAAAATGACCAAATGTCTCATACTGAATAAGCAAGATATGCAGGACAAACAAAAAATGATGTGCACGATGACAGCACAAATGTTCAGAAGACCTCTGCATCCTTATAAGCGATCACTCAAGGAGCACATTAGATTTTGGAGAAAATGAGGAAAAACTAATGAAGCAGCCTTCATTCTGACGTGAGTAAGGAGGGAGGCTCTTGGGTGACTAAACTGAAGTATATTTCAACACCCTCAAACAACACTGGGCAAGATACTTCCTTGAAAATTATTTTTGAGAGATGCTCAAAGCATTGAGTCACAGTGCACATTCTCATGATGAAAGAGGAGGTGGGAGAAAAGTAACGAGAATAAAAAACAAATACCTCAATTCTGCGTTTTGCTTTGTCGTAAGCCCTTTCTTCTTTGGTTCTGTCATCATCAGAGTCAGACTCGGACTCTGAGCTCACTTCTTTACTTGGCTTTTTATCGAACGTTTTCCCTGAATCTTTCTCATCTGACAGCTTGTCGTCATCTTCATCACCTTCACTGCCTTCACTTTCTCCCTCCTCTTCCTCTTCCTCCTCACTTTCTTCCTCCTCTTCCTCCTCGTCTTCCTCCTCCTCCTCTTCTTCAGGATTTTCTTTTACTTCTATATGGATTGTGTTTCCATCTTTCAGAAAAATACAGACATTTAAAACAAATGAAATTAAGCAGCATATATCAAGTACAAGAAACTTTAAAAGAAAAATATTTAAAGTGTATTAATTACTGTATTAGCACAATTTTCAATGCATCATGAATAAAATGTGTTTGGAAGAGGCATATTCTTGTAACTTCTTCACTGTGGAAGAATTTTATTTCATTTTCAAAGACAAAGGAAAGCTCTGCTGGATACGTTATCCCGGGCCAACAATTTTTTTCCTTTTAGAATCTGGAAAAGGTCACTCCATTCTCTTCTGGCCCAATGAAACTATATCTTGACCATAACATGCTGGACTCTGCATTGTCCATGCACGCAATGATGGACATGTGACTGTGAAGAACTACACGCTAGTAATAATACAGAGGAACGCATTTTGGGGGAAGAAGACTTGGAGAGGGAGTAAAGGGAAATCTCAGGGCCTATAAAATGATAATAAAAAAGAAAAATAAATAAATGTGCTTGCCTATATGCTATAATGAAGGTGGCTATGTTTAAACAGTTAAAACTAAAGGCAGTAATCCACAGGCAAGTTATTAAAAAAGAAAAGCATTATAGCTGGGGTCAGTGTGGCATGCTATTCCTCTGCCTAGATCATCCGCATCCCATATAGTCACCAGTTTGCGCCCCAGCTGCTCCACTTCCTCTGCAGTTCCCTGCCAATGGCCTGGGAAGGCAACAGGGAACTCATCTGGGAGACCTGAAGGAAGCTCCTGGTTCCCAGCTTCAGACCATCCTAACTCTGGTTATCATGGCCATTTGGGGAGTGAACCAACAGATGAAAGACCTTTAAAAACCTTTCTGCCCCCCTCTCTCCCTATATTCTCTTTGAAGCAAAAATAAACAATAAAAAGAGAAAAGCAGTACTAAGCCAGAGATTAAAGGAAAACTTGCAACACATCACAAGATATAATCCAGGAGTTCAATGTTGACTAACACTTTCTGTTTCGGGTTCTGTGCTGATTCTGGAAGATATCTCACTGAGCCTATGGAATCTTAAGGGGGTTGTATGTATAGGAGGGTAAACACTGGGTTACAGTTACTTCATGATAAAATTCAGAAGAGTTGTATTCCAGAAGCATGAATAATAAACAGAATCTGCCCATCATTGGCAGATCACATTTAAAACCTCTCACAAATCTAATGTGACGTTAGATTGCTAGTTTGCACAACTCCTAGGGAAGTACTGAGAAATCTGCTCTGTCAGAAAGATATCATTGACTTCAAGTTACTTCTACAGTTTAAGAAAAATATGCAGTCCAATATCCATAAAAACAACAAGCCACAGGGCTGGAATGATGGTGCAGCAGGCAGGTCCACATCCGTGAGGCCAGCATGCTATGTGGGTCCTAGCTTATGTCTCAACTGATCTGTTTCTAATAGCACTCCTTGCTAATGAACCTATGAAAGAAGAGGAAGAAAGCCTAAGTTACCTAGACACTCACCCATGTGGAGTCCTGAATTGATTTCCACGCTCCTAGGTTAAACCTGGCACAGCCCCAGTTGCTACAGACATTTGTGGAGTGAACCAGATAACGGAATATTTGTCTTTCAAGTTAATAAACCTAAATAAATATTAAGCCAAATAAAGGAAACCAGCATTTACAATTCCCCAAAGGCTACCATATATTGAAATTATGAAGCCCAAAGCTGAAAATAACTTTGCTTTCACCATTAAGAGAATAATTAAAAATAGAGTAAATTATGCACCTATAAAAAACCAAAAACTATCAATTTATCAGATGGAAAGTCTATAAAAGTTTCAACTGACAAAATTAAGAACCAAGAGATGGGCTCAACAGATGACAATTTATTAAATACAGAAAATTAATGACCTTGAAGAGAGTCAAGTGAAACCAATGCAGAATCCAGCCAGAAGTCCCTGAAAGTTTCTGGAAAATCTGAATGATTGATAGCTATTTATTTTAGTGCAAATAGCATTGAAATGCATATGTATTTATTTCATAATGCACATTTTTCAGGAAATGAAAAATTCTCCTCCCATGCAAAACACCAGGATTTTATATGGGTACCGCTTCATATCCTGGCTACTCCACTTCCCATCCAGCTCCCTGCTTGCAGCTTGGGAAAGTAGTAGAGCATGGCCCAAAGCCTTGGCACCCTGCACCTGCAATGGAGAACGGTAGAACTTCCTGGCACCTGGCTTTGGACAGGCTCAGCTCTAGTCACTGTGGCCATATGGGGAGTGAACCGGTAGATGGAGGCTCTGTCTCCTCTTCTTTCTGTAACTCTGCCTTTCCAATAAAAATCAATAAACCTTTCAAAAAAAAAAAAAAAGATCCCAGCTGTAAGCAACAGCCTAGGTTGTATTACACCCATGCAAGTGTTACACTGCTAGGAGAAAAGCAGCTAATAGCTGGAAGATATCCTGGGCCTTGCTAATGACAAATATGTGTTAACTGCATCAGTGTGCCAGCATAATTGCCTAGCCTATTCCTTTTTTTTTTTTTTTAAGATACAGGGGTGGGGGAGGAGTGGTGCCAAATATGTGAGCCCCAGGGACGAGGGGATCAAGCAGGCCCAGGTCACCTGGCCTTGGTCCTTAAGCCCACCTGTGCGGTGGGTGCCAGGTCCATAAGCCCCAGGATGAGGGGTCTGATGGGGCCCAGCCCAGGTTACTTGGCCTGGTCCTTTGGTTGGCTTGCATGGTGGATGCCAGTTCCACAAACCCCGGGTATGGGGATACAGTAGGGCCCAGGTTACCTGGACTGATACAGTTGGTGCAGGTCTGTAAGCCCCCTGACCAGAGGTCTAGTAGGGCCTGGGTTGCCTGCCCTGGGTCATTTGTCACCTGTATGGTGGGTCTCAGGTCCATGAGCCCTGAAGGTGAGGTTCAAGCAGGATGCAGCCTGGGGCACCAATGGCACTGTGCAAAACCCAATTGCTGCCTGGCAGCACACTTCTCAGTATTTGGTGTGTGGGGTTGCAGGGAATCTAGGGAATGGAACAGGTGGTGCATGGGGCACATGAGAGCCCATGTCCAGCACTGGTGGTCTGTCTGTAAAGTTCAAGTGTCACAACTGGTCCCCCTCAGTGGATGGCTGGCCCAGATACACAGGGAAGACAATGGCAGCCCACTGGAGTCTGCAGAGGACACCTGGTTTCACAGCAGAGGAAGGAAAACAGAACAAATTGGACAACTAACCCAGCCAAATGATGACAGTAAGTATCTGGAGACTGAGGTCAACTATGTCAGCCAACGAATCTTGGAAGGATTTCCTCATCCTTGGATTGGTGAGATAAACAGCATTTGAGAACTATCGAGACCACTAAGTAGAACCCTCAGAATACACGCCACATCAGGGACCCTTCGTTGATACTGGCTAGCTGTTCCCTAATTTCGCGTGCTGACAGGCAGGGTGTGGTTTGTTGATGTATTTCTCTCCTTCCCCGAGAAACAGGAAGATGAAAAACATTTGGAAACAATGGTCTCATCCACTGTCACATAACCCTTGACTTTTCAACCCCGATTCACTATCTAAACATTAAAAAATTAAAAAAAAAACTTTTTTTAACTAAAAAGGAAAAAAACAGAAACTACTGAAGATTATTGTAGAGACCTTATAAATAGAAAACACAGAAAAAGTGAAGCAAGGACAGTTAAAGATTACAGCTATAATGGGAATCTTGAGAGTTAATAGCTCCTCACTTCACACCATTTCAACAACACACAGTTATACAGTCCTAGAAGTAGAATAAATAAAAACAACTCTATCATGAATAAATAATAATAAAATTAGAGAATCAAAGAAATGAGAATTTAGGCCAATACTTGAATTCTCAACAGAAGCAATGACATCCTAGACAGGGAACTAATAACCCTTAAACATTGGATAGTGTGATCCAAGAATTCCTCATTCAGTAAATAAATCTTTGAAGAATGAGGCTGAAATAAAGACAGCTTTAGAAATTCAGGAATGCAAGGTATCACAAATTTATACTAAAGGAAATCTGAAAAGATGTTCTTCTAGCAAGCAGAAATGATCACAAATGGAAGGTCAACAATGTAGGAAGAAATGAAACAAAATGGCAAACAAATGGGTAAACGTAAGTAGATATTTCTTGTATTAAAAAAAGATAAGCTAATGTAAGATTTAAAATAAACAACAAAGCAAGGATCTACCAAGGGTCACAGAAAGTTCATGAAAAATGTGCATTATGAAATAAGTCTATATGCATTTCAATGCTGTTTGCACTAAAATAAATAGCTATCAATCATTCAGATTTTCCAGAAACTTTCAGAGCTACCAATGCAAAAATTTAAAGTGGGAAAAATGTTGAAGTATTTCAAAGTTCTTACATCTTCTAGAAAGGAGTAACATCAGACACTGTTAGTTCCAGAATGTGCACACTGAAAACCTCTGAGTGATGGCCTAGCAGTTAAGATGCCACCTAAGGCCATTTTTCACACGTAAGAACTGGATTTGACATTCAGTTCTAACTTTTGATCTCAGGAGGTAACTAACAATGGTGGTTCTTATAACTGGATCAATGGCAAAGGTGAGTGACATCGATGATGGTCGCAACTCACACATTGGCCTGGCTCAGTCTGGGCCATTAAAATATTTGAGATGGACCTGGCGGCGTGGCCTAGCAGCTAAAGTTCTCACCTTGAATGCACCAGGATCCCATATGGGCGCCAGTCCTAATCCCGGCAGTCCCACTTTCCATCCAGCTCCCTATTTGTGGCATGAGAAAGCAGTCAAGGACAGTCCAAAGACTTGGGACCCTGCACCCACGTGGAAGACCTGGAAGAAGTTCCTGGATCCTGGCCTCGGATCAACACAGCACCAGACATTGTGGTCACTTGGGGAGTGAATCATTGGAACAAAGATCTTCCTCTCTGTATCTCCTCTCTGTATATCTGACTTTCCAATAAAAATAACGAAAATCTTAACACAAAAAAACTGAATATTCTTATAAAAAAAAAGTAAAAGCCTGGTACACTCAGAGAAAAACAACAATCCACCAAGTTAAAAATTAGGAAAATGGGGCCCATCACAGTGGCCTAGCAGCCTAAAGTCCTTGCCTAGAACATGCCAGGATGCCATATGGACGCCGGTTATAATCCCAGCAGCCCCACTTCCCATCCAGCTCCTTGCCTGTGGCCCAGGAAAGCAGTCAAGGACGACTCAAAGCCTTGGCACCCTGCACCCATGAGGGAGGCCTGGAAGAGCTCCTGGCTTCAGATCAGCTCAGCTCTGGCCACTGAGGTCACTTGGGGACTCAATCATCAGACAATCTTCCTCTCTGTTTCTTCTCTCTATATCTGACTTTGTAATAAAAATAATAATAATAATAATAAATCTTAAAAAATATTAAAAAACAGAAGTGTAATAAATGGTTTTGCGAGTCAAGGCTCAAAAGCAGCACTTCATTAATTAGGTCAAATGTACAATATATCAGGCTGAATATACTACATCAGACATGAAGATTCATAATGGGTATTTAGTCTCATCACCGAGACAACACATCCACACTGGACTCATTCACTGCCTCTGCCAACTGGGTCCCTGCCATCCTGGCCCTACATTTCCAGCCTCAGCTTCTGCCCAGTTTTGCACTCTTGGACAGTAGCGGAGGATGGCCCAATGACATGGACACCTGAAAACCACATGGGAAATTTGGATAGAATTGTCAGCTCACTGTCATTATCCAGTCCCAACCACTGTGGCCACCTGAGGAATAAGCCTGTGGATGGAAGAGATCTATCTACCTTTTTCTGTCACTCTACTTTTCACATAAACAGTAAGCATAAAAAAAGTGTGTGTGTGTGTGTGTGTGTGTGTGTGTGTGTGTGTGTGTGTGTGTGTGTGAAGGTCTTCTAATAGTTAACACCTTTCTAAAAAAGAATATACAGAGAATTTTTCCCACTTCGATTTCCCTCCTTTTGGTCACAGAGGACAGTATTCTTCTGCTGTGGAGGACAAGTGGTCAACTCAGATGCTGATAATGGTCCTCTCCACACACCGATGCTGTCACCCTCATCTTGGACTCTAAAGCTTCAAAACTGTAGGAATTACTTTTCTTTAGAAATGCCCAGTGGGTGGTAAGTTATTCTATTCTATCACTATAATTCCTAGAATAGGAAACAGGAGTCACCACTTTAGCACAGCTGCTATCTGCATATGGGTGCCAGTTCAAGTCCAGTTGCTAGCTTCAGTAGCACATACACCAATCCAGCTCCCTGCTAATGTTCCTGAGAAAGTGGTGAAGGTTCAAGTGCCGAGTCCCTGCATCCACATGGGAGAAGCTGAAGAAGCTCCTGGCTCCTGTCTGGCTCCTCTTTAGCCAATGGCTGTGTCAGGACACTGAACCAGTAAATGAAGGGCCTCTCTTTCTCTCTGTAAACTCCACCTTCCAAATATAATATATGCTTTAAATAGGCTGGCAATTAAACAAAGCAAACATTTTGGCAAGAAAGGAACAGTGACTAGGAATTACTTTGTGAATCTTTTCAAGACATGTTAGGTTACCAGGACTTTTGGTAAGCCATCTTCAATAATGCTACTTGTAACACTATCACTCTAAAAATCACAGAAATTCTGAATCTCAAGTAGCTCGCTAATAAATGATCTTCAAAAGATACACTCATTGATAAAATGAAGATATAGACAAGGATTTGCAAATCAAGACAATGCAGAGAGAAGACAGGTCCCTATCCCCCAGTGTTTATAAAACTTTCATAATTGGCTTAAACATATTAATCTAATTACATACATATCTAATAATCATAGAATTTATCATTTCATGTTTATGAGTGATTCACCTTTTTCTCTCTCCTCATCACTGGCCATAGCTTCCCAATCATCCAGTCCGGCATCTTCAGTATCTTCTTCTTCTTCTGTAAAGACAAATTTCCATTGAAAATACAGAATATTTAGAAAAATCAGGCTGCTTTTGGAGAAGTGGAAAAATTATGCTCTAACAAATTGTTTTAATGCTGCTCAAAAATATACATATGCACAATTTTGTTATTTTGGGAACTATCTTTTTAACACAGCTAACATGGTATGATTTTCTGCTACTCTATGCATCATCCTTTCAATACATCATACGAAGCAATTCAGAATTCATGTCTGAAGCAACTAACAAATCAGAAATTCAAACAATGAAATGCTCCTCAAAATTGAATAAAGAAACATGAAATAACTGTTTTGGATGACAAATAAAATTTTTCTTTCTTCAGCTTTCAACTCATACATGAAAACTTTTTCATTCATTTTGGTAAGCTTTAAACACACATCCAAATACTGCTTAAAATCCAAAGCTGAAGGTGCAAAGCTGTCACTACCATTCCAGTTCAAACAGAAGAATGCTGTGCTTATAATTTAAAAACAGCAGATATCTGAAATTCTGAATAGTGCTTAACTATTAAAACCTTAATATTCTCCCTAATAATGATGCTTGTCCATTGAAATCCAAAGCAAACCTATTCTTACAAATGTCAAACCACTTCCGCAAACCTCAAACACATAATGAATAACTTGAGTCCTCTGATTAATACAAGCTAACCACAGGTTTTGTTTTAACACCAATCTTCCTGTTCCTTAAAACATTCTAATTAAAATTCATTCCCACTTGCCTCTGAAACACTGAACTAAAACTTTATGTCCTCACTGAACTTGCTGACCCACAAATATAAACATTTGAGGGAAGCCCAAAGCATTCTTCTAGAAAAACATTTTACTGACACTTATAAACATCACAACTGTTGAGGTTGCACTTGGATGGACACTTAACAGTGGAAATTATAAGAAAAACCATTCAGACATGTATTTTGATTTTTCTAAACTATTTCATGACAAATAGGATTATGAAATCGCATACTGCTTAATATGAGTTAATCAACTAATTCCACTAGCCTGGCTCAGCAGGAGGTGGTGTATCTTCTTTCTCTGGTCCTTGTTCTACAACGTCTACAGCAGCACTTAATTCCACTGGTTCAGCCACTAAACAAAGAGCAGAAGCCAAGTTAGTTATTTTTCGGCATAACAATACCTATTAAGTACCAAACAACACAAAAATCAGTAGTTACATCTATTTCTTCAGCGAACTATAAACAAGGCTTCAGTAGCAGGTATGTTTATAGAAAGCTACTCTTCCTGCTCAATTACTTAAAAAAATATTCTAGAAAGCTGAGAAGCAAACAAACAAGGAAGGAATGACAGATTGACTTTCTGGAGTTAACAATGTTATTCACAGGGCAACACCCAGATATTTTTCAGTTACCTGACATTACAATCAGGCCAGAATGATGGCAATGAGCAGCACAAAGATACAGAAATAAGCTTTACTAGGCTGTTCTATTTCTTTCTAAAAACTGTCTGCTTTGAAGTTTGTGAAGAAAACTCGTTTCTAAATCAGAGGCTATTTTTAGATACATACCTTCTTTATTTTCCACCTGCTGTGGTATTTTTTTCTTCTTTTTATCTTCATAAATTGGCCTTTTCTTTGGCAAAGAGTCTTTTGATGGCACTTCAACACCTGAAGAATAAAAATAGAAAGCCTCAAGTTTATACCTGCATGTGTGATCTGTTACACGTAAAAAGGCAGCATTTGGGAGGCTGGTGCAGTGAAGCAGCGGGCCAATTCTCCACCATCTGGCACCAATTTATATACGGCAGCTCCACTTCCTATCCAGCTCCCTGCTTGTGGCCTGGGAAAGCAGTCGAGGACGGCCCAAAGCCTTGAGACCCTACACCCACATGGGAGACTCAAATTCTGTAAGAATAAAATTTGGGGGTTCCAACACAACAGTTCAGTGACTAGATCCTCGCTTTGCAACCGCCCAGGATCTCATATGGGCTCCATTTCATGCCCCAGCTGCTCCATTTCCTTTCCAGCTCCCTGCTCATGGCCTGAGAAAATAGCAGAGGATGGCAAAAAGCCTTGGGACCTTACACCTGCATCAAAGATCCAAAAGAGGCTCTTGGCTTTGGAGCAGCTCAGCTCCAGCTGTTGTGGTCATTTAGGGAGTATACCAGGAGACACAAGATCTTTCCCTCTCTTTGTAAATCTGCCTTTCCAATAAAAATAAAGAAATCTTTAAAACAAACAAAACACACAGAAGAAAAGGAATAAAACTCTGACATTTGGCCTTGTGGTTATACTGCCAGTTGGGAGGCTGGTATTCCCCAAAATCCAGCCCTGTGTCTTATTCTGCCTTTCTGCTAACACATCCTAAGTTCCAACTAGCCTCAGTCCGGCCATGGTTGGCAGCTGATTAGTGAGTTAGCAAACAGGGTCTCTCTCTGCCTCTCAAACTTTCTGAAATTTGAGTATATTTTTTTACAGCTACTACTCCAAGCCAAATCATTGAGAGAACTTCAAAAAGTTCACAGAAAATGGAATTAAAAGTATTCTTGCCTTGCTGAAAATTTTGAAATCCATGCATAATTCCTTCATAGTACACATTTTAATGTGGTTTTCAAAGATTCCTTGCACATACTTAAATTTCACACCAAAATAAACTGCTAATTCTATTTTCTATAAATGATTGGCGTATTCTTATGATGTATGGTAAAGAGACAGTCACAAAGACCAGTTTAAATTGCAGCTCTAGAATGTCAGGCAAGCTATTAAACCAATGATTCACCATTTCCTCATCTGCAAAATAAGATTTTTATGAGGAAAAAAAGGGTAATGTTGAAGTTTTACTATAGCATCAATTACACACTAACTACACAATAAATAATATAATTACTATAATTACAGCATAAGCACCAAAATGACAATTTCTCAAAATCTGTAGACTACAAGTCCAGGAGATAAGTGGAGGTCAATATGGTCCTTCCAATAGAGCAAAGACACTGTTTTAAACTGTCAAATCCCATCAAAACCTAACTGAATACCCATACTAGGGTCTCGACACACATACAGCATAAAAATAAAACAAGGCTCTAGGAGGAAAATATCTCATTCCAATCCATGGTAGAAAATTAAGTAGCCAACCTGTAGGATTTCAAAACATGTTTGTCATGAGGCTGACCAGCTAATAATGCAATCAGAGAAATCCAGAATTTGACAAATTCTAGGCAATCATCCAGTATTTTCCAACAAATTAATGTCAGGCAAAACAATAGCAGAGGAGTGCATAGAGGTAGTGTTAGTTAGAAACAGGTCAAACAAAAGCAATGTGTGGATCCCACCTGGATCATGATTTGAACTAACCAGTTGTAAAAGCTAAAGACAACTGAAAAATACTGAACACAGAAACTTAGATGATATCAAGCAACTAATTTTGGTAGATATAATGTATACCCTACTTAGGCTAAAAACTAAAATGATTTTATCTGATGGATACACACTAATATACCTGAGGGGCAAAACAAAATACGCCATCTGATTACCTTTAAAACACAACACAGGAAAAAGTGCATATGGGGAAGCCCAAAAATGGCAAACATTAATACTGCTGAAAGTGGTTTATTATCTCCATCTTTGAAAAGAAAAATGCTATTTATAAAAGACATTAAGTGTTTGTCCCAGTATATATTACGCCTTCCTAAACCATAAAATTATATCACTCATTGTTTTGGACATTTTTACAGAGACTTTTCTGATTCTGTTCAAATCTTCTGAACAGTGTGAAGATACAACCATATGAGAGACGCTCCCAAACGGTACAGCTAATGAAGAGAACCACTCACCCTGAGCTTGCAGAAGTTTAAGGGTGGCTTCAGCTCTGGCTCTGGCTTCTCTCTGGGATTTAGTTAAAAGTTTCCCTTCTTTTTTCAAGCGTTCTTTTCTTTCTTTTTCTTTTTGTTTTCTCCTTTCTCTTTTTTCTTGTTCCAATCGCTCCTACAATAGCACATCAGAAAAAAATTACAAAAACTGTAAAACTGCATTATTATTATGAACAACTCAAATCAAACTGTTGAGATATAAATGATTACGTTAGTAGATTCCAAATGAAAATATTTCAAATTCTGTAAATGATTAGCATTCTATATGGTTCAATTCTTGGCTGCTCCATTTCTGATCCAACTCCTTGTTAATGCCACAAGTAAAGCAACGTAAGATGGCTCAAGAGCTTGGCCCCTGAACCCATTTAGGAGATCCAAATTAAGCTTTGGTCTCCTCACTTTGCCCTGCCCAGCTCTGGCCATTTGGGGAGAAACCATTGAATGGAAGATCTCACTCTTTCTAATTTCTGCCTTTCGAAGAAACAAATACAAGCCCAGTGGTTAAAGTCCTCGTCTTGAACACACCAGGATCCCATATGGGCGCCAGTTCTAAGCCTGGTAGCCCCGCTTCCCTTCCAGCTCCCTGCTTGTTGTGGCCTGGGAAAGCAGTCGAGGACAGCCCAAAGCCTTGGGACCCTGCACCAGCGTGGGAGACCTGGAAGAGCTCCTGGGTCCTGGCTTCAGATCGGCTCAGTTCCAGTCACTGCGGAAGCTTGGGGATTGAATCATTGGATGGAAGATTTTCCTCTCTCTCTCCTCTTTATATATCTGCCTTTCCAATCAAAATAAATCTTAAAAAAAAAAAAGCCAACAAAAGTTCTATATAATGAACTTCTGTTAACAGATAAAATCAAAAGCTTTCTATACCTCTTAAATCTTGTTATTCACATAAAAACAATATAACTGAATTCCCACACAACTGAAATTTTTTTTAGAGTCAGAAGGTAACATTTTACAGAACAGATTTTAAGTGTCATCAACGTGGTAACTTAATGAAAACATACCTCTTCTTTACGCTTGGCTTCTAACTCTTCAAGTCGCCTTATCCGCTCTTCCTCTTCTCTTTTCTGTCTTTCTTCATCTTCTTTAAGCTTAGCTAGAGCTTCTTGCATAGCTTTAACAGTGGCTTTGCTGGGTCCCTTTTTCTTCTCTTTCTCTTTTTCCTCCTTTTCTCCTTTCTTTTTCTTCTTATCTTTTTTCTTCTTGTCGCCTTCATTGTCATCTAACGTAACAGAAAAGAGAAAAAGAGCTAAAGGAAAACAAACCAAACCACCATCTTGTTACTTCCTACGGCACGATAAGCAGCCGACTGGGTCTGTAGCCATAAAGCATTCCGACAAATAAGTAGGTAAAACAGCTGGGAATAACTCACAGTTGCCCTACTGAGCAGCTCAATTCATAATGTGGGTCCAAGTGTTCCAGACAAACAAGAAAATGAAAGGATGCTAACAGCAGGCAATTAGGTATCTATCAGCCAACGACACTCGGTCAGGGTGGCCAGCATCTGAATGCTTGTCTGGACTGCCAACAAATACAATGAAGTAATTCGAACCTAAGGCTGGTAATGAGTTTTACTTACCTAAGACTGAGGTGAGAACTACAGAAAAATATGACTAGTCTCCAAGAATTCTAAAGAATTAAAAGTTATGAAGCAGGGCACACTGGGCACAGAGATGAAAACAGTCCAAAGTGGATTATCTGGGTTACATGGGCAGCTGAGGCAGACCCTGGGAGGCAACAATGAGCTCAAGACACTGAGCTCCTGTCACCCGCGGAAGAGACCTGGGCTGAGCTCCCAGTCCATCAGGTTCAGCGACAGGCATAACAGGAACTCTCTCTGCCTTTCTAACAAGTGAACAACAACCAAAAAGTGTGAGGTTTCATGGTATTTATTCTCAAGTAACAACAAAACAAAAATCCCAGTAATGGAGAGAAATAATCTTACAGTTCAAGAAACAATTTATTTCTTAAAAAGTTCATGGAGAAAATAACTTTTTAAAATGCTTTAAATGTTTTGAAGATTCATCAAATGTATGGATGTTTTAAAAATTTCAGTAGCAAAATAAACTTTTACCTTAATTTCATTTTGTACAAGTTTATAAACAACCACTATATGCAAATTTTGATCCTTAGCTATTTTCACTCTAAATAAAGGAAGGTAGTTAAAATGTATATATTTCTCTTGACTGACTCTGGTACAAAACATGTGACTCATACTGTTTAAAGGTGCTCATTTCCTTCAGTGTAAGTTACTTGTCTTTAAAAGCAGTTTCCTGTGGCTCTCCTACACAGGGGCAGAGGACTAGGCATTGAGCATTCCCCCACTGCTTTACAGACAGGTGGATCGGAAGTTGAGAAGCTGCATACAGATTCATTTTCTTTTGTTGTTGTTGTTGTTTTGTTTCTTTTTTCTTACTTGGAAAGTTAGATTCACAGAGAAAAGGAGAGAGAAGAACCTTCCATCCTCTGGTCTACTCTTCAAGTGACCACAACAGCTAGAACTGAGCCAATCCGAAGCCAGGAGCTTCTCTTCCTACACAGGTTTCCCACACAGGTGGCAGGGTCCCAAGGTCTCAGCTGTGTTTGACTGCTTTCTCAGACCACTTTCAGGTATCTGGAAGGGAAATGGAGCAGCCAGGACACAAACCGGCACCCATATGGGATCCTGGTGTGTACAAGGCGAGGACTTCAGCCATTGGGCTACCAAGCCAGGCCTAGAAGCTGGGATACAAACCAGCACCCACATAGGATGCCAGCACTGCAGCTGGAGGGCTAACCACTGCGCTGGCCCTGTAAGTTACTTTTTGATTGTACGGACTGAACTGCATTTTAAGAACAGAAAAATCAGCACTGCGGTGCAGCACATTAGGCCATCTCTTGCTTCTCTGGCAGCCCAAGTGGGAGCGCCAGTTTGAGTCTTGGCTACTCAGCTTCTCATCTAGCTTCTACCTGTAGGACTCAACGGGTAGAAGAGGGCCTAATAGGATGGGGTACCAGTCTTGCGGCTTCAGCATGCCCCATATCCCGTTGCTGCACACTTTGGGGAAGTGACCCAATTGAAGAAAATCCTGTCTCACTTCTTCCTTCTCTTGTAGGTTTGCAAAAATAAATCTTTTAAAGACAAAAAAGAAAATCAAAGATTCTAGTGTGACACTACTAAAAAAAGAAAAATACATTTTTTGCTAGATAACTTCTAATCTTAACAGCAATTAATTTGGTGGCTAGTTAACTCTCCAACTGTGTTGGCAGCATCTCTTATGAGTGTCAGTTCAAAATTCAGCTACTATGCAACTCACCCAAACCCTGCTAATGTGCCTGGAAAAATGAGAAGAGTCTAAGCACTATGGCCAGGTACCCATGTAGGAGAACCAACAGATGGAATAATCTGTCCTCAATCTGGAACTCTTTCATGGTCTAGCAGCTAAAGTCCTCGCCTTGCACGCGCTGGATTCCCATATGGGCACCAGTTCTAATCCCTGCGGCTCCACTTCCCATCCAGCTCCCTGCTTGTGGCCTGGGAAGGCAGTCAAGGACAGCCCAAAGCCTTGGGAACTGGCACCCTCACAGAAGACTTGGAATGGGCTCCTGGCTTCAGATTGGCTCAGCTTTGGCCATTTCAGCTTCTTGGGGAGTGAATCATGGGACGGAAGATCTTCCTCTCTGTCTCTCCTCATCTCTCTATATCTGATTTCCAATAAAAAATTAATGAAATGTGAGCCCGGCATGGTGGCCTAGCAGTTAAAGTCCTCACCTTGAACGCACTGGGATCCCATATGGATGCCAGTTCTAATACCAGAAGCCCTGCATCCCAGCTCCCTGCTGTGGCCCGGGAAAGTAGTCAAGGACGACCCAAAGCCTTGGGGTGCTACCCCTTGATGGGAGACCTGGAAGAAGTTCCTGGCTCCTGGCTTCAGATCACAGTTCTGGCTGTTGCAGTCACTTGGAGAGTGAATCATCAGACAGAAGATCTTCCTCTCTGTCTCTCCTCCTCTCTCTATATCTGACTTTCCAATAAAAATAAATCTTTAGTAAATAAATAGATATAGAATCTTTAAAATTTTTTTTACTTAGGAAGCCTTCAGTCTTCATTGCAAAAAAGAAATCTGTAGTGAAAATTTCTAAGACTTCCAGTCTATTCCCACACCACCTAAAGGATATTTTATACTATCTAGATGAAAGTTTAACAATGAAAATCCAAGTCAAAGAGTACTGACATGAGATTTTTCAAAGGTGTCTCACAATTAAGCATTTTTGTAGCAACGGACATATAGTGATCACAGCTTAAACATGAATCCAAAGCTGCTCCTTCGTTTGTATTACTAACCTTCAGCACCTGCCGGAGTCTCGCCTTTCTCTTCAGAGGCAGTTTTCACTCCAGCATCAAGACTCACTTTGTCCTCTTCATGTTTTCTTTGAGATTCTTTTTGTTTACTTTGATCTTTTTTACCTGTTTCTAATTCTTCTTTCTCCTTTAGCTTCCGGAGTTTTGCCTTCTCTTCATCTCGCTTTTTTTTCTCACGCTCTTTCTTTTCGGCCTTTTTCTGTGCCACTGTTTTAATTTTGAAGGAAGAGTCATCATCTTCATTCCCACTCTCCATAGTAGGACCTGGCTTATTTTTTTGGTTTTTTTTCGGTCCCTTTCGAGACTGGGAAAATTCATCCGATTCATCACCACTTTCCCCTGAAGAATTTACCCTGGGACGCTGCTTACTCCTCTTACTTTTATCCTCGTCGTCTTCTGACCCATCCCCCTTTTTATTTGATTTTTGAGCTTTCCCTTTAGGTTTCTTAGAAAATTTATTAAAATCATCATCATCATCACTCCCAGAGTACATTTCCACTTTTGCTTTCGTAGTCTTTTTTGATTTTGAATCTTTATCTTCTGACTCTTCACTATCATTATCATCAAAACTTTGTTTTTTGCCCTTCTGTCCTTTCTTTTTTTTATCTTGTTTTGAGGTGGACTCTTCATTAGAATTTTCTGTTGGCTAAAAAATTTTCATTATTAGAAATATTAACAATTATATTTCATATCTTAAAAATTAATGACTGTTAGAAGTTAAAAATAATTCAGGGCAAGGGGTTAAGACAGCAGTTAAGAGGTCCACATGCCACACTGAAGTACCTGGGTTCAAGTCCCATCTCTACGTCCTAACTGAAGCTTCCCCCTAATACAACCCTAAAAGGCAGCAGCAAAGGCTCAGGTCACTAGGTTCCTGAGCCCATGGGGGAAGTGGAAGTTTTCTCTTCTCAACCTCACTCCTCCCATACAGCCCCCCAAAGCTATTAAGGGGATGCAGGAATAAAACAGTGGATAGGAGTGTGTCTGTTCGCTCACTCTCTGCCTCTCAAAATTTTCAAAAATTTAGGCCTCTCAGAGTTATGTGCTTCGTTCAGAGCACATGTTTAAAAACTTACGAAATAAGGATTTTAAAGACAAGAATATAAAACTGAACCAAGCTCCCGTGGTAGCATAACTCTTATAAGCAATTTATATTCACCCCGCATTTCAGATTTGGAGTGCTATTAAACTCTTTGTATACTTGCTAACTTCTTCAAATAACATACGAAGCATAAGAGAAGAATTTAAACAAAACTTATCTAGCATTTTCCTGTTACTTGAAGCGTATTCAAATTCAGTAAACACTGATAATACACAGAATTAAAATTGAAGATGGAAGATGCCATCAGATGTACATTCTATGAACAAGCAATATAACACAGGATATGGGATTCCTTTAGATTCCCATACAAAGCCTCTGCATTTCTGAAAGGTTTTAAAATATATTACTTTTTCCTAATCTGACATTAGATTTTTCTAAAAACTTTATACACACACACACACATACACAATCTCAAAGGTTTCTAAATGGCAGTTATCCAGACTAGTTCCAAGAAACATGAATAGATTATGAGATAATCAAAGATGAATGTGTAACAACATTCTGTTTTTCACCTTCACTGTAGTGGTTTCTCTGTCAGCTTTGATGCCTTGAGCTTCCAAAGATAATTCTTCCAGCTCTTTCATGATATCATCTTCACTAGGAGAGGATTAAAATACATTTTAAATCATACTGACTAGGTAAACCCAGTGCCAAAACTAGCAAGAATCAATTATATTTAAAACATACTTACTCAAAGTCCTGCTTTTTTTTGTCCTTTTTCTTTTTCCCTTTTGATTTTTGAGGTTCCTGGTCCTTGGCAGCACCAGCTCCTTCTATTTCTGCAGCCAACGCATCAAGATCAATATCATCCTTGGCACTTAAAGGAAACAAAGAGCTGTACATTACTCAAGAGTAAAATAATCTATCACACAAATCTAGCAGCAAAATGAGAAGAATTATTTGCAAAGTTTCTTCACAACAACTGAACTACATCGATCTAACAGTCTCCCGATTTCCTCTGCCACAAAGTCATACTCAGATCAGAGAATTATGGTGAAGAGTTCGGGGGGAGGGGGGAGGCAACTGATAATAGATAAAGGAAGATTAAACTTCTTCAGGTACCAAATTTTCTTTTGTGTATCTTACTTGAATTACTGATAAAGCAGACAAAATATAAAAAGATTTTTTAAAGTCTTATTTCTTCAATATCAGTATTACACCTAAAACACTGTACCTTGTCCATTATTTTATTTGGAACTGCCAAAACTATAAAACCAGAAAGAACTTTGAGAGAATATGTATGCTATTATTTCATTTAGAAGACTAAAATGCCTGAGGATTTCCACAAGAAAAACGTGACGATATAGTCAAATCTAAATGACTAGGAATAGTTTGCCAACTAAGACTCCTAATATAACCAAAAAACACAGAATGCAATGTGCTCAATCTTTGACATCTACACTTTTGATTCTACTCTAAAACGCTCCCAACTACCCTGACATTAGTTGGGGTAAACCAGACTAAGTTTCACCTAAAACCTACAGATGACAAAGAAGGCCAAGCAGTTCCAGCCATGTTAATGAAAAGAATCAATTAATCAAAAATAGCACAATAAGCAAACAAAGAACTCATGCCACATGGTCCTAAGAGATAACTGACTTACTTTAGTAATGACAATTTTTCTTCTTTAGGACTTTTTTTTATCTTTACAGTGATTATATTTATCTAAGCAACATACACACATGTTCAATTGTAAGATGTCAGCTAAATTTCTGTGACAAATTGCTTTTTTTTTAATACCAAGAACATTATAGAGTTAATGCAGAGTCCTAAGGATTATCTAGTAGTCACTAAATTTCCTTAAGTCTTCCCTTCGGATGCTGTTATTTCTAGCACATTTAAGCAGGCAGTCTTTCATATGCTCAAACACTGGAATCTTTGGTTGCTACCACATCAGCTGGCTTGCAAACAAGAAGCCAGCCATTTTAAGAATGTTAGAAGTGAACAAACTGCAAACCCCAGGGGTGGAACAACCCTAAGAAAGAACACTTATGGAGAATTTACAACCATCACAATTGTCACTGAAGACTGTTCATGCTGTCCTTCTGAGATTTCAAAGCAGTATAGCTCAAAATAAAGGATCTTAACAAAAAATTGGCATACGCACAATGTCTCAACCAATTTTTTATGTGTCAATCATTTAGGTAATTTTTCCACTTGAAAAAATGCAATAGAAAACCGGACTCCATGTTTCACTGCCTCAGTTAATATTCACAATTACAGCGGCTACAACTCGGGATACAGCATCACCAATGCTGCGCAGAACCAGTTTATAATGAAATGAAGTGCTTTACACCACATAAATGGTTGTCCACAACCACTGGACAGTGCACCTATGAACTAAAATTTCTAGATCTGGGGAGAAACAAACACTGCTCCGATCATCTGCTCTGCTTCTTGTGTTCCCTAATTCACACTTAGGAAGCTTTCGTGTTACTCTTGGTTTCGTCAGTTTGCTTTCCCGTGGGGCTTTGGGCCTGCTGACCCTGCCCAGTGGAACGCGCTACCCGCTGTGCTTTCTGCTTTAACATTGTCCAGTCAAATGTGCCGTCATATTCGTGGCTTAGGGTCCTGAGAAGGATGTGGAATAGCTAGCTGCCTCAGATACACGTAATCCAGGCTTCCTCAAAGCGCAGCCCACGACAATAGTTTAAGTATACTGCAAACCTCAACAGGTGTAGACATCTTCTCACATCTGTTCTGTTTCAGCCTTTACTCCTTGCCAAGGCAGGCTGGTTCTGTTAAAATATATCTAAACATATCCTAATGACTCCATGCCACCTCAGTGACTTTGTTCAATGCCAAGATGTGCATTGAGGCTGGCATAGTGGGCAGTGCCAGTGATGTTTTTATCTTCTCTATGAGGTACATGTTGCCTTGTCCTGTTGTCTCTGTACTTTTTAGCCAAGTGAAAATCAATAAGGAATAAACTTATTACAGTGACACCCAATACCCACTAGGAAGTTATCCGGCTTAATGTCTCTGCACATAAAATTCTTCGTATGCACATACTTGATTCTGCTGATCCTCTGGTCAGCCAACATAAGTACAGTTTTCATTGTGAACCTTCTGGACTAGAACTTGCAGAGGTTTTCAAGGCTGCGTCTAAGAAGATCCATGACTAGCACATTACAGTCTCTACCCTGTCCATACCACCATATGTGGGGGATGCCAACCCCACCTTGAAGAATCTCCTAGCTTGCTCTCATACAGCAGCTGGGGATGCCTGGCCTTCTGCGATTCTAGTTTCACTGCCACTTCCTCGCCATTGGTGATGTTAATCACCAGATAATTGTCCCGGAAGGAGCCGAACAACCTTCCATACCAGTTCGTATCTCCCTCCGACAATGAATTCAGCCGCTGCTGCTGGCCATCCTCGGAGACTAGGGCAAAGCCCCAACTTCCTGGGGTCTCTGAGGATGGCCCCCCGGGCAATGTTGCAGAGGAGGGAGGCAGGAAACAGACTAGGAGGCCTTAGAGGGCCCAGAGTCAGCCAAGCACCACAGCTCAGTCAGGGTTCTTACAGCCAAGGCGCTGACTGTGAGGCAATTCTCACAGTTGCTAGGCTGGACTGGTCGTTTCTCAGCATCTGCCGCTGTTTCGCTTTCGCCGCGACATCGCAGACTGCAAAAGGGGCATGGTGAGCTAAGGGTGACGATACCGCTGCCACCCCGGTCACTGCCGATGCGACCATCTCATTTCCCAAGGCTTATTTTTATTCCAAGTGGGGCAGCTAGGACATGAACTGGTGCCCAGATGGGGCCCCGGCACATGCAAGGCGAGGACTTTAGCTACTAGGCTACCAAGCCAGGTCCAATAATAATTTTTTTCTTAAACATTTTTTTTATTATTTTGAAAGCAGAGTTACAGAGATTTTCTATTGGCTACTGGCCCTAAATAGTTGGGCCAATCTGAAGCCAGGGCGTTCTTTCGAGTCTCCCATGTAGGTGCAGGGAGGCAAGGACTTGGACCACCCTTCACTGCTTTTCCAGGCCATAAGCCATAATCAGGCTCCACAGCTGAAGGATTAGCCTACTGTGATAAAGAGCCAGTTCCAAGTAACAACAATTTCTAAACAGAAATAATTTCTAGCCATATAAGTGAAAGATTATAAAACAAAACACTGAGGATATAGGATTTACCTGTAAGGTGGTTGGTAGGAGAGATTAATAGCGAACCAGTAAACCAGATACTTAAAAAAAAAGAAAAAGAATGCTAAGTAGCATGAAATAAAGGCATTCAATAATAAAGGCATAGCTGACCAGAATGGACATGAATTTCCTACGCTTTAGACAGTGCCACACTGAAACACTACAGAGCAGCAAGTCCAGAATGGGCAAAGTCAGAGGCTTCACAGAAGTCTAGAGCCAGGTACAGGAAGAGCAGACGCAGGCAGAGGCAAAGGGAGGTGGGTGTCTCAAAGCACAAAGGCCTAAAAACAACAGAGCCCTGGATCTGCTAGCTGAACCACCCAGGCAGCTTTTGTACATTACGGACAGCCCACCCTTTCCCCAGCTACAGGAAACCAGAAAGCAAGGCCGTAAGAGCCTTTTCAGAATTCCCAGATATGTGCCACACTTGACTATTACTTTTAATAGAGAATTTGCCCAGGAACACAAGACAGATGGGCCTTGAAATAAATTCTAGTAACATAGCCAGAGCTCTCAACCCTACTAATATATTCAGATTTCAATTTTTGGAGGCTACCTGTGGTACAAATGGCAGGGCTGCATCCTGATTATTCATGAAACAGGGACACTAGTTAGGGAGCTTTTCTAGTCATTGCGATGAGAAAAACAGAAAGCCTAATTCACTCCAGTGACAAGCAAGACAAAGTATACCAAGCAAGAATTAATGCGTTAGACTCAGAAACACTTAGGACTGTGCATACCAAAGAACATAGAGAACAACTAAAGACAATTCACAGACTTCGTCAGGGAAAATGTCCTGCAATTCAAAAATGTTGTATGAATGATTTGTGTATGTAACATTCTATAGCTGACATTTATGAAAAGACAAACTTCCAGGAATTAGAATGGCTTCCAGCTTGCCAACGATTCCAGACACCAGGAGAGATAAGCCTGACTGCGGAACGACAACACGTGTGCAGGGTTCTTGCAGTGACATGTTGCATCCTGATTTGGGTAATGAATACACAAATCTATACACACAATGTCATTCAGAACACAAACACAACCAAGTACAAAAGGAATTGAAAAGCCTGATTATAACCAGTGAATAACCACTGTCAGTACCTGAGTCGTGACACAGCACAATTTCCCAAGAGATGACCACTGGGGAGAGCTCTGGGTGAAGGGTTTGCAGATCTCTTGCCTAACTTTTCACAAACTCATATATAACTGTCTTCAAATAAAAGGCAAGCCACAGACTGATAAAATACAGGCAACACACTGATGAAGAATTTGTAAACTAAAAGAATGTCTACAAACTTATTACCAAAAAACAGCACAAAACTTTTTTAAATGGAAAAATTTGAAGAGACAAATAACCAATGAATTTCACGAATGGTGAAGAAACACTTGACACCTGTAACCAATAAGCAAAAGTAAATGTGAAATTGCAATTAGGTGTCACCACACAACCACGTGAATGACAAAGTCAGGATTATTTTCACAAAGCACTGAGAGATGTGAAGCTGCTGAAACTCCCACATAACCCTTAAGGAGAATGCAAAGCTGGCAGAGCCACTTGAGAAGACAGCCCGGCGGCTTCTTAAAGCTAAGCAAACCCCGCCAAAACCCAGCAACCAAGCTCCTAGCTGTTCACCTCAGAAAATGAAATCTACATTCATACACA